ATTATCCTTTACCTTACATAAGGTTAAACTTAGTATGTCATTGTTAAATTAGATCAATTTTAATCTAAGTAATTTATTATTATGAAAGATAATAAGAAAATGTGTTTAACTAACTTATTGTTATTTTGATTATATACTTACTATTAGTATGATGCGGAATGAAACACCAAAATACGAATACCGGCAGCAGAAAATGAGTAAAATAGCGTTAGTGAAATCCTTTTCAGTTTTTTCTTGATTATTTTAGAACCGAATATGTCGTTCCTTATTTCTCTCTATTTTATTGATGCTTATAGACTTAATAACTTATATTGCCATTTAAATGCAAAGACAAATGAACCACTCAGACTTGCGGGGTCAATTCTTTAACATCAAAACGCCTTATAGATGTTAAATAGTCAACTACCACCAGACATACCGTTATTATAATTATTTCTCAAATATTACAGATTTTAATTGTCTTATTTCTATGGCAGTTTTTTATTATTTTTGAGTCAATCTTTAATTATTTAGTCCATACAATTATAATATCATACTTACACTACCCCTCACGATATTATTGAATCTAAAATAAAGAAAGACAAGTTAATGAGGAGGGACAAAATAGTAATGTGTATGTTTAAGTGAGTGTTATTAAAAACAGAATTACATTGGGATGAGATAATATAACTTCTTAAATGAGTATCATAGTTCAAATTAAAACAAAACTGTCTTGTTATAATTATCATTGATTATATTTAATAAGCTTTTTTTGTATTTGCATGTGATTATGATAGCGAGTATCAAAATTGAAATTAACCTAATGTCATATTTTGCATATAACTACTTATATGAACATATTAATTATTTAAAATTATTTTGTATGAAGCAATTAGACGCATTGTATAATCAATGATTTCATTTAATGATTTAAGGTATACACAAACCTATACTATCAGCACAAAACATTTTCAATTAAGGCATTTTGTAAGTTATAAATTTTGGAATAATTAAGGCATACTTTTTTGATAAGGCAACTTAAATGTCAACCGACTCATTAATAAGGTAAAAATAATTGAACATATTTTGTAGTGGAAATAAATTTGCTCTATTATTTACAGGATGTATAAGATTCATTATCTCTAACGAAAAAGATTATTAAACGATTATTGTGAGCAAAATAAAAAATAGTCAACTAGTTTACTTTTTATGATACAGTTAATTAAATTTCTCGATTTTGTAACAGAACGATGGAATGGCATTAGAAAAAAAAATCTGAAGTCGTAAGTATTTGAATATTGAAAATAAACAATCAGTCCCTGGCTGGTATATATTACACGCTTTATGTCACTGATCACATCCATTTCATTACACAGTTTTCATAATTTGTATAATATAATTATTATAGATATTTCTGTGTTTGAAGCTTGTAGGACTGTTGTTGGTTTATTTTATTCAGTTTATTTTACTGTACAGAGGAAATCATTTTATGTTGTAAGGAAATGAACACAAATGCCATTTGATTAAATATGGTTGTGACAAGAAACCAAAATTTTTAAAATGAGGAACAGAAAACTAATTAATTTTGTTACACAAGAATGGTCTAATGCTGAAAAGATTTTCATTGCAATGAAAACAATTCAAATGTATCTAGCTTTTAGAAGGACACTAACATCTGAGAAATCATAAAGAGGTTAAATCCAAATGAAAATAACACTGTATTATAATGACTTTCTAGTCGTTATTTGGCAAAGAAAAGTCAATTTAGGTGAGCCATTCATTATTATGCGGATTCTAATATCAAATACAGCAAAGTTAACAAGCAACTTGAGAAAATCAGTATTTTTACCTAATTTTCTAAAAGAAAATGTGATCAGCCAATTGTCTTATACAGTCTCTATCACCGAGGTGAATCATCATATAAGGTAATTTTGTTTTCCTGACGGTTTTGATAGGCCACATATTTTAAACAAAGTGTCACTTTGACGTTGATATTTGACGAGTGACACAAATACTGACCAGACTATACGAACAGGACATACAGAGCAACACTATCTGGTATTTTCTCACTTGTTTCAGTTGGGGCCAATATAAAGAAGTATTTATAGTAATATATTACAAATGAAACTGACATTGCTGCTGTACCATTTTCCGTAATGAATAAATAATAAATCGATTTCAACATAAACAGATGTGGAAATCTATGTACCCTTGCTTCAATTTGACGAATGCATTGTTATCTGCGTTAATGCTTATTTTAAGACTACGTAGTAGTGTTTGTTACAAATCAAAGTTTAATTGGCTGAATACCCACGTATAAATTGATTGTTTAATTAGCATTAGTTAAAGTTGATATAAATTGGTATTTCCTTGTTTTCCTTTACATGTATTTTTAAAAGCATTGACATTCTATCGGATTCTCTCACGACTGCTTTGATATTTAAGCAATATAGTAAATGTGATATAATAAAGAAAAGGTGTCTGAAAGTAGTACCAAGTAAATGTCAGACTACTTCATTTCTATTATCCTTGACAGGAAACCCCAATCTAGATATATAATGATAAATTATGTAAATGTTGTTTTAAGAAAGGTATTTTTAAAATCATTACTTTATGTTGGATCAAGTATGCTATTTACAACCCTTTTAGGCGTTTTCTAAATATTTATAAAACTAGTTTTGTATTTAAATCTTACCTCATTTGTTCCACACATTGGCTTCATTGTTTGTTTTCTTTTATTGATTGCAATATTGTATTTTAATGATTACTTCCGGAGGATCTTTTCTTTGCGTCAAACTTTTTTACTTTCTGAGCAATATTAAGACTCGGTACATATCTCAATCACGGTAAGAAATATCACTTTATTTCAAATTGAAAATAACAAACATGTTTTTCACTTAAAAACAAACATTGAAAATGGTACTAAAACCAATGAAACTAGGTATATCTCGACCGTGAGATATTCAGACATTCATTTTGTTTCGTTTAAATGTGCCTTATTTTTTCAACAAAGTGATGTAAATTGATCTTGTTATTTAAATGATGAATGTCTATTAAAATTTATACTGAAACTTTTGTGTTATTTTCAGATGCAATGTGCAATCATTCGGCATTGCTCTGAGAGCTATTTTATAAATCAGTTGATATATTTTATATACTTGATTTATCAAACATTTTCTGCATGTGTAAGTATATTTATGTCCATTTTTGCTAGTGGATACTAGTTTATGTTAACAGTGTCTTGCAATTAGTTTGTTAGTAGTGATATATTATTATTGTTCGTATATTATTGTTCGATTGTCGCAAAAGTCATTGAATATGCTGGGAATTGTATGAATAACTTGTCAATAAAATATAAAATACGATCATATTTAAAGTAAGCAACAATGTTGTCGTTCAGTATTGTGTAAATAGAAGAAACTTAAAATCAAGGAAACTTTCTACGATTTCGACAAATGCACTGCTGAAGCTAGCTTCATTAAACGCTGTAACTTAATTCTTAAATTACGTTTTCACTAAATGAAAGTTTAAATTGCATCTTGGTATGAACTAAATAAAAAGGCAATGCAACTGAGTCTAATGATTATTTGTCTGTCACTGTTGATTAAAAAAAGTATTTTGGTAAATGCGGAGGAAATGGTAATTACTATTAGTTGTTTAGGAAAGCCGGTACACCGGGCCAACCGATGAGATATGACCAACACGTGTCAACATCGGCGTCAAAACCAGACAAATAAACAAAGAAACCGGGATAAAAATGTCCCATTTAGTTCGTATTTGGATTGTTTTATTTCTGTAATTTCTGAGTAGACCTTGGTCTATATCACAATGTATACGTATTGCTCTTAGATTTTATAATGATGCTAAATAGGCCGTGTCCTTTATTCGTTACATTTGTTAGCTTAATTGCAATATGTTGTTTTATATAAATCCATTAAGGTAGGCGTAAAAAGTGTGAGTTAACGTTTTCTAGACGTTTGCGGTCATGCTTTCTAGGGGAAACTTAAATAATACGACAGAGAACAATTTGTCCCAAAACTAAATACAGACGAATAGCGAAATAAAATAAAAATCGGATAATATTCTATTCCCATCAACTAAGGTTATTCTATATAGAGTATTGCCTTCTTTCTTTGATATAAAGCTAAGACACCTTCGTTTAAATAAAAAGATATAATAAGTTATTTGTATACTAACTCATATGTCAGATATCCTGGTGTTGAAATACATGTACATGGAAACATGTTTATAACACATTTTCCCATTTCGCGGCATTGCAGTTTTAATACAAACTTTAAATTTAAAGTCTGACTACATTAAAAGAAGATACTCTCGATCAAATTGTCAAAATGATTTAAGTTGTTCTGATATGCATCATGGCGCTATGCATATTAGAAATTTTTGTTCAGTTAAAACTAAAATATCCATGATGTACAGCTGTGTGACATTTGAAAAGAAATCGTACCATCATACGTTTATTAAGCTTGACATTATAAGTACCATAAACCTTACAGTTTTACAAGATATCGATGGTATAAGTATATATCCCATTAGAAAAATTCCAACACATGGTGTATTAATTACTTAATAAGTTATTATCCAGTATTGGTCATATTCAAGCTGTTCGTCTCAACGTTCAAAGAAAATGGGAACAAAGCATTTGCATCAAGATGATAACATTCTTGAATCAATAGATATGTGACACTGACACATTATGATTGATGGCATTAATGCGGTTTATGGTTTTTATAAATAATAAAGGATATCTTAGGATGCACGTATACCTTATTTTTATAAGGTTAAACACATTTTGTGGTTATTTGACCGAATTAATTATCAACTAAGTCAGTATTTATGAAAACGCACCATTGTAAATATGATGCTTCGTCGATCACGTGACCATCATAAAAATTATAGAATATAGCATTTAGTGCAAACATTTATGTGCCAAATCAGGACCTGATATATTAGATATTGTCATTTTTCCTTCAATAAATACACAAATGACAATATAATGTTGACTACTTTTATTGTTTTACTGATTTCATGTTGTGACTTTTATTTACACAGCTTTTATTTTCATATCTTGATCATTATAAGCAAAGTTTTCCCTGTGCAGAAATATTTATATGAGCGTTTCTCTACAAACTTTGAGACAAATATTTTTTACTTTTTATATTATACATTTTATTATATTTTTATCTTTTTTATTTATTTGAAGACAACAAAGAATATTTAAGATACATAATAACAACAAAAATCAAATTATCAAGTTAAATATGTTGTAAACAAGTTAACATCATTATCTACATTGTCAATAATTTGTTATCAAGAGAAAGTACAGACAACAGAATAAAAACAGGTTTTATTTGAAACAATGTCCCTCTTAAAAATATATGTTTATTTTGTGCTTGTATTTGACTCAAAACCTTTTTTCCTAGGCCTAGATCATACGAGAGCAGTTGATCCATAACACAATATACGAATGTATAAATGTTGTATCAAAACTCATTTGAAATAACCGATTTGTTATTATAAGTACATATTACATCCTTGAATTTAAGGCTGATTTGTTATTACAATATTAACCATAAACCACTTAATCGGATTACATCTGTACACAGTACGGAATTTCTTTTTGTCGGATCGTATTTGAGCATGCCATATAGAAATATATTGTACAAAAAACACAATAAAAATCAATCCTAAATTGAACTATATAACATCCCTCAATGATGGAGTAACAATTTAAGAATAAGTTATATCCGAGCATAACCACATTATACGGTAGGCAAACATAAAATTAAGGTGTTCAACTAACAATCATAAATATATGCCAAAGAACATGTAATTTGAGCATCGTATGATAATTCTTACAAAGAATCCTGATAAAAGGCAGTTTGATTTTTGTTTCACTAACAAACTGGCGAATATTGATAAATTGGCTACTCTGATGTCTGTTTTGTCTAGGGGGTACACATATAATATAAATGACAACTGAGAATATATAAACATATGTTTTGCTCTACAGTCAATGGTAAGTATAGCCTATATATATAATTGTAATTTATATGATATAATGGAATGGTATTGACCCTTTCTCGTTGCACTAGATATATGGTGAGGTGAAATCCGGCGCATAATACACGGCGTTATATGGTGTCTTATTTGAACTGTAGTAAGGTCTTGGTATGTTCAGATTCGAGATGGATGACCTGAAAAGACAATATATAAATTAAAATCTTCACACTAGTACGAGCAGTTTCCATTTCGGATTAACTCCGTAAACATTTTGACTTAGTACAATCGATTATTTTATATACAATTACATAATTTCAAAGATAATTTGTCTATAATGGAAGGTCTGTAATTATACAATGAATAATTACGTTAAAAGTACTTTTGGTATAAGACATATCAACAAACCACGAAAAAATTGTTGGCAGTTTGTGTGATATACCTGATCTGATATTTCATTTATCCATATAAAAGATATATGTTCTAGAACAAAATATAATTATTCATCCTAAAATGTGCATAATCTATATTACTTAGGACTTTATCAACAATTTTGTTTCAAACAACTTTTTATCAAAATATATAAAATTGATACATTTCTTTTGTTTTTATAAATATTTAATAAGAAAAACAATATGGAAAACGTTCCCTTTTAAGATCTATCCACTTTAACATATAATTTGACATCATGTTTACATATGAATATAAAGATAAAGCTATATGATTATGGACACAGAAGCAGACAATTAGATAAAGGTAAATGACTATTAAGACGGAAGTAAACAATTACTTACAGATATTTGATTATCTACACGAAACTATTTATCAAACCTTTAGCGCAGCACTATACATCAAGTTTTATAAATTAAATTTAGAAATGTTTACACGGAAGCAGCAGACAATTAGCGGTAAATAATTGCCATCCAGCACGAACCTAGATATAAATCAACAAACACATTATCAACACGAAACTGAATACGAAGACAATCAAAACATGCTTGAACACGAAGAATCTAAATGTATATTGCTATCAACATGGAACTGAATACAAAACTACAAGTATATTTCTATCACGGAATCAAACACGAAGCTACAGCAATATGACTATCAACGTGGAACCGATCAGCACATATTTGACTATCGAGAGGGAAAGGGGCATTTTATTGTATTTATTATTGTATCATAGTTTGGAGACTTTATTATTGAAAATATGTCAGAGCTAAATCGTATACCAAAGAATGTGCAGTGTGTTTACATCATCGCACTCACTGTCACTTAAAAAATCATATTAAAGTGCTCGTGCATTGGTTACTTATTTCTTGGGTTTAACAATGTTAAAACAGGGAACGTGTTTGCCTATAAGTAAAAGACGAAAGAACATCAAAACACTAGGCAATCTGGTTGATAATCGAGGGCTACGCCTCCTTGACCAAATCAGATAGCCTCGTGTTTCGATGCTCTTTCTTTTACATGCAGAGAACTTGACTTCAGTGTTGTTATATTTTCTGGTCCTTCGGGATCATTGATGCCAACACTATAAAGTGGTGTGAATTGAGTACCGCTCAAGCCGGTGCTAGGGGGCGTGAGGGATGTTGCACTTATTCATTATCCCTCATGTACAGACTCAATCAAACCGAGTCTGCAATTCTTATGTTATGTTATTTTCGAGGGATCACTTTGTTTCCAGAATTTTGATGTAATTGTCAATAAACAATAAGAAGCAGGAGTATAGTATATTATATAGATAAGTCACATAAATACCTTCTTCTCCACAGGTACCGGTCTCTTCTGATGTCTCGACTAAAAAAAAATAATTATAGTAGTAATTTTCACATATAAATATGATTCTTTTTCATTTTCAATTTGAGTGTAAGGACGATAGGAAAACGGACTCATTTTTTATAGTTAAAAAGTTCATATAAATTGGTGGCTTAAAACTAACTGTTATGTTGCATCTTTGAAAGTGTCCTTGGGGCAAGTATTCACTTATGCATTTCAGTTTTGTTCTAAATCAGATGTAAAAATGGTAAAATAACTATTAGATTAAACCTAAAAGTCATACATATGTTTGTCTTCATCCCCTTCGGTGTTCTGAGTTTCATATTGCTTTTCGTCATCTAAGTCGTTAAGTGAATACGCCTGTCGCATATGGTCAACGTCGGTCCTAAATCTATTAAATTTACTCCGGGTGTGACGTTTATCTTCCCTTTGTTGATAACGGTGATCATAGTAACCCTGATGCTGACCTTGACCATCATCACGTAGCTAAAAAATGAAGATTGTTATTATAGTTAAAATTAATGGAAATAATGTCTGAAAATAGATATAAATGTTTACAGTATATCTTGTACAAACACAGTCAATAGATCCACTTGCTTTGAAATGCTTTGAAATGTAATATGCAAAACGGGTAAGAGGAGATGGGGTGTCATGTGTGCATGTTTCTGCTCTTTTGCAATCGGAGCTAAGATGTTTGCAACACTATGCGTTCGATGCATTGCAAAATGTTCATTTCTGTTAGAAACAAGTTTATTATTTCTTTCTACAATCTATAAGCGCCGTTCGAAAACATACTGTTTTGTTTGTTTGTATCATTTTACGCCTTTTTCCAACAGTATTTCAGTCATATAGGCGGGTAGTTTCCTAACCATCGTTCCTGGAGAGTTAGACCAGTACTTGACTACCTTCCTCCGCGCTAAACTACCAAAGCATCTCCCGGGGATCGAACCCACGCCAGAGAGGTAACTGGATTAGAAGTCATCGACTCTAACCACTCGACCACGGAGGCGGTTCGAAAACATACACCATTTAAATACCGTATCTGATGAAAGCAACATAAGAGAAAAGTTACAACGTTGTTTGGTTTTGTTTGTGATGAACTAACACTACCTGGTTGTTATATTCCTCTGTATTATTTTCATAATATCTGTATCTGTCTGGGTAATCATGAAAATGTCTTGTCTCATTCATGTTATGTCTCGGGTTATTGTCGTCTACTTTCCTTGATAAACTAAACAATAAGTAGTATAAGCATTTGAACACAACTTTATGCTATGAACGTGGGAAACAATAATGTGATATATAGGAAATATTATCGTCAATTTACAAGCGACGACAACAACAACGTCAAGAAACTTCAACGTAACGTTGTAAAATAGGTTATATTGATAAAAATAATAATGCCTTTTAGATATGAATTACATGTACATCACTCATTTCATGAGCGAAAATCTCAAAATCGATAATAGTCATTAAGACCCATTACAATGATATAACGAAGGGTCAGGGATTTACTTCGAGTGTCTTATAACTTTGCTCATCTTTACGGAAAAGGTAATTTCTAAAAAAAGGTAACTTATTCGAACCCATGCTTAGAGCTACATGTTTGGTTGTTAAATTTGACTATAATTGCGATTTTGTCGTCAAATAAGGACTGATTCGCAATCGCAAATCAAACGACCACTTGTCACATAAAACACACTATGAATTATGATAAACAAGATCGACAAGGAAAGGCAGCGCTCAATGAACGCAGCTTACAGTCTGTCATAAATGACGTCACACCATGTACATTTTACTTACTCTTACTACATTCCAAAATATTATGTACGCATGACGTTTGCATGAGTAGTATCTTCATGAATAGATAATGTTAAATTGTTCCTCTTAGGATTTCAAAAACGAGAGAAATTCTGTTTGTGGACTAAAGATAAAAGTACGAAACCGACTCGTGATAATAATGATTGACAACCAAAGGCAGGCAACATTTAATTATTTAAGGCCAACTATGATTTACCTGTAAGGATGTGACGAGCCGTCTTCAAGGTAATATTCTGACGAATCCCTGTACCTAGATTATAAAATTATGAAAAAATAACAAAATACATTTTTAAAGAGACACTCAATTTTTCGAATTTACTAGTATATATCTTCAAATTTTAAATCAGTTAGCTAGTGAAGTTACTTCTATATATGTACAGCAAATTTAAACACTATGTTAAACTTTTATCAACAAACGAGGTGACATATTGGTTCGACGGCATCACACTTTCGTTCTTATTGAGAAGCTCTACAACAAAATAAAACATACTTGTTGTTGTTGACGATGGCAGTCATCTTGTTCTCTTTATTGAGCATATTAAAATAAATGCAATATATAATTGTTATCATTATTCAGTCTGTTATTTTTATGTAACTCTTTGATTTATTTCTAACTTCATCCACCAAAAGTATCATTCGACCTTGTCGATTTTAAATTTTTTTAAACAAAAAATAATAATCTATAAAAGGGACTCCGATGAGGTTTTTTGACATGACGGGACTGGAAATTATTTTTAAATAATAAGTTTCTATTCAATGTTAGTGCAGACCAATTATTGTTATCCAAAATTTTAAATCATTTGTTCCAGAATAGTTATTCTTATCTTGACAAAAGACCCGAAATCGAACTGCGTTGCGACGCTTTTCTCTGACATTTTTTGCATGTATTTCTAGCTGATCTAAAATCAAAATTTTATGTTTTAAGACTTTTGGAACTCAGCGGAGTTTGTTTTATCATAAATTTTCCCATTCGATCAAATATATCTGTTATGAAAGCAACGGTACTGTTATAAACGTCTCGGTCATTCATAAAACATATTTCATTTTTATTAAAGCTGTATTTTATAAACAACTTTTTAACAATAAATTTCTGTTATCTAACATCTACATGTATACTTCAATGGAGATAAGACATAAACATAAAATCAGATGTAAACTTAAATCACTTTAACTCTGAACTATTTTTCTATAGTATATCAATTTTTCTTTTCTTCAAGTAAAATTTCTTTTGTTCTCCGAGTTTGACAATTTTAATGAATTAAAATCCCTACCACAACTGGTCACCCCCCCCCCCCGCCTAAGAAATCAAATATCTTTTATATCATTTTATCATAAAATCGTAGTATTCATTATCATAATATTACTCTTGTTATTATTTTTTGAGTTTTTTAACATTTATACTTTACTTGACTTCAATGTTTCTCCGATGATAAAGGATGGGAGATAACTATTTCAATATTAAAATACAATACCCATACTGCTTAGTTTTCTTGTTTCCTCTTCTCCCACAGTATAATGCGACACAGACGAAAATAATGAGAGCTGCTACAAGAAATCCGACGACTCCAAGTACAATTATTAGTATCATGGTGTTTTCTTCTTCATTAGAGGTAGGTGTTGCAGTTGTGACTTCATTAGGCACTGCATAAATAATTGTTATAACCTAAACATGATGTAACATAGGTTTTAAAGATAACAACGTTCACTTAATTAAAGATAGCAACGTTAGTTAAAGATACATATAGTTGCTGATTTGAAAACAGTTATTAAATTATCTCTCAAAATCGGGCATAATAATTGATGGAATGTTCTCAAAAATGAAAAGAATAAAGATTGTCAACAACAAAAAAAAAATAGAATTTCAGTTTTGTTAATCTCAATATGACATCCTTAAAGTACTATGTATATGAAAACAGGGTTAAACTGTCCACTTAAAGAACCTTTTTTATGTTTTTTGTATCATTTATCAAAGATTTAAACATCCTTAAATCTATACCTGTTTGGATGACAAGCTCAACTTACATGAATATTTTGTGTTCGTTATATTATATATTTTGAGTAAATACTCATGTAAGACATAGACGATATTTAAGTTTTTTTTATATATATATACTGATATTTTATCATGTGGTATGAAACTGGAGTGAAATATGATAATGTTTATGTCACAAGATGAAAATAAATCCTGTATTTATCGAAAAAAACTTATATTTCTGTTTATCATATACATTATTGGTTATTTGACATTACAATTTGAAAGACTTCCCCTTAAATTGTGTGTATTGTTTGAATGAAGAAGAAAGTAGTTCGGCAAGACATCAGTGAAAATACGGAAAATATGTTTCACTGCAGTGAAAAGAAAATATTTACAGTGAAAATACGGAAAATGAAAATACGACTTTTATTTCATCAATATTTGTCAATATTTCATTTACATGTATAAGTAATGTATAAAATATTATAATAAATGTAATTGTTAGACAGTTTAAATACTTTTACAATAGGGGTCTGCAGACCAGTGTCCACTTTGCATGCACGTGACGCTTGATGGTCCCACTAGCGTCAGACCTGGTTGACACCGGACAGTTACAACTGTGCCGACACTTCGTGAGTATGTGTTAACTATAAGATATTTCAACATATCAACTGTAATCACTGGTGGATTTGGTGGCAGCTCTGTTAGTGAGGGGCATTCTATAATAAAAGACATTAACAATATAATTATAGTTTCTTATTACTAAGGAACAAACGCAAATGTTCTCACTAAGTTGAAATGGACGCTGATCATATATCGATGATGATCAATTATTGAGTATTTTTTCATTACATTGATAGAAAATATACATATAGTTCGAGATATGAGAGTGAGATTAATTGTCTTATATTAATACAATTTTCCCATAATATAACATTGCGGTTACACATACAAAGCAATAAGCCTAAGAGCTGAGGGACATTTAACCAATTAACAAAAATCTAAATCTTACAAATTTTGCTTTCACAACGCTTCAGAATCCAAGATGGCGTTCAATATGGTCGTCGATTTTATGCGAACGGGTATATCTTATTATGGTAGAGTTTTCATCAAGAAATATGCCGTTTTCAGTAAAAAAAGTTAAAAAAACATTTCGGAAATGATCAAATTATAATTAGATAACAATGAAATACATAGCTGTTTATGTTTTTATCTTAATGTTTTTATACGGTTACATAAAAATAACAAAGATAAGCTACTAAAATTCCAATAGTGTTTGTTTGTTTCTCATAAATACTATGTGCAATTTAATTTCAAACTTGCTGAAATGAAAGAAATGCATGCATGTAATTATAATTATGTCAATTGAGAATGCGTCAGTGAATACATCTGTACATACAAATTTTGAAAAAAAGTAATTAAAAGTAATAACTTCGAATATATAGAATTTAAATTAACTAAGTTAGTTATGAGACCGGTATTTTAAAAGAATATTGTCTCACGGGAGGAAACGTTTTCTATACCTGTCATGGTAAATGCTGTACATTAATTCAACGGCATTGAAGTGATCTGGAATTGGGATGAACGACTTTGGAAATCCTCTTCAAAATGATTATTCTTTATCTAAGAACATATAGAAACGTCTTGTATTAATTAGTGTGGGTAACTATTGCAATATGGGTAATTTGTTTACTTTGTCCTTTAAAAAATATCATGATATTCAGTATCAGTGATACCCCGAATGTTTTCTTATGTTTCGTTTTACGGCACACCAACACAATTTAGGTCATATAGCGCCGAAATAAGAAAGAAGATTTTTGCTAACCGCGGATGTTTCAAACTTGACAATGTTTCAAGGTTCAGAACCATCTAACCTGCAGGAGGTCAGAGATACATAGACACCTGTAATAAGCAGATATCTGTTAATTTATAAACTTATATAAATGTTCAAATGGATTTTATTTAACAAATAGTACTCGTAGAAAAGTATGTTCAACGCAAACGACGACTTTAGTTCACTCATTCTCACCTAAGCTAAATGAAAGGGTGTAAGGAGCCTATATATTCCAGCTTTTGATTTGCGTGTAAAATTATATTATTCTAAATCAACACATATCTAAACAGTCTGTAAACAAGCATATATTTAGCCTATTGAAATTGCTTCAACTTTACATGCATACACAAATCAATAGCTATTGTAATAATAAACATAATTTCTAAATGAATGTATTGATATTTATCCAATACGTGCCCTGTATGAAAAATGATCAATTACGATGTTGAAAGCCTCTAGCATCACTTGAACACTAATTGAAGATGCTATCAAAGAATAATATTGACAAGGACGAGTTTAATGGTATACTTTTTATCATCGATTGATTATTCGGGAGGCTAAATGGCAGATAGATCAAATTCCGGTCAATTCGATATGTGTTTAAAGTTGTTTTTTTTTTAGATACAAACGTTTTACACTTTCCATGCTTGCGGTGACAGAAGATATACATGCGACCAGTACATACCAAGAACAGCCTGTACCATTCGTGTGGCTCTGTGCGCTATTAAGTCAGTACTATATTATACTTTTAACCTACATAATTATGTTACATCGTTTTGTCGAGACTAAATAACATACTTAGGATTCTTGGCATTTTACATGTTAAAACAGTATGTGGGTCAACAAAGATTATTTACAAAAGCAATCAATATAACAAGATATAATAAAAAAGGTGCATAATTATGTTTTATAATCAAATACAACATAAAGAAACGTATTTAAGACGATAAATAAAAAGCAAAATTTTTACCTTTTTATAATCTAATCCACAGTCATGCTTTTAAAATTTGATCAAGTTTTTCGTTGCTTGTTCGACCGACTGAAATATTTATATCCAGTGTTTACAGCAGCAACAGGTTTTCAGGTGAAACGCATGACTGTTAAAAGATGTTGAATCAATATTGAACAAATAATTATATACCACAGTCACGGTAGATGAATTCAAACAATATAGACGCTGAAGCTATCTCACGTGGTAAACATAAATTAAAACCAATATAACCTAATTACATTGTGTCATAAAAAGGGATAAATTCTATTTGTTTTATTTTATTATTTTATAAAACTTCATTCCCACTGCTGAAACATGTATTGATTCTTTTCAACGGGGAAAATGGGGATCGAAGATGTTGAAAGTCGAGTATTATTCGTCACTTATAGTTTAATAATTGCGTTACCTTTAGGAAAATAGCTATGTTCGTCAAAGTTGTTGAAATATTGATTTTCAAAGTTAATAAATTATTCAAATATTGCATTAATAATGTTTTGAATTAACTGAACACTGCTTTCATTTATTAGTTTTGCAACTATAAAATTGTCTGCGAAATGAATTATTAATAAAAAATAACTTGCAAATTGTTGTTATGTTCATCATACTAGAAAGAAAGAAAAATATACTGTAAAAACATTGAAAAAGCCTGTAGAAATATAAACTGGCTTATCCTAGTCAAGCAAATCGATTGAACAAAGTCGTATAGAGATTGATGAAACGACAAAGGCGCAATCGAACCGTGAAGCGCAACACATTTGTTTTATCGATACAAGTCATCTTTTTATCATCTTTGAAACAGCTTGCAGTAATGAACAATGTCCCTATTATGTCGATATATCGACTTTGTCTTGAGACAATTTATTAACAATTTTTGCTTCATTTGATGAACAATATTAATGATATATATTGATTAATAGCCTTTACTAATTTAAAAGAAAACCACAATATTTATGTTATTTATTTAATGATTCGTTTATTTATTTATATTCTTATATCATTAAACATTCATTGATTAATTCATTTGTTTATTTATTTACAGGTGTCACAGTCCACACTAACTTAAGGGAAACGGTGCTATTCATAGGTTCAGGGCTTCAGTGTGGCTTCAAAAATACACAGATGCGCTTTCAGAAAATATTTATTATCATTCAAAGATACTCCGCGCGCGACATTTGGAAGTGAAAATACAAATAATAATTATAATGACAAATGACATAGAATCAAGAGTTGCAAAAGGAATAACAATTATGGAAACAACACAGACATTAATATATACCTGCAAAAAAGCGAGGACGCGCTCTCAGAAAATATTTATTATCATACAAGAAAGTCTGGAAAACGTCATGAAAACCTTCAATATGAGTGCGCATGCGTGACGATACTTAGTGCGGAAATAGAATAATAGATTGAGGCCCGTAACAGTGGTCAGTACATACTTATTAAAAAATTAATGATTGAACACATGAATAAGATAAATAATGACTGACAAGAATGAATAATTAACAAATGAATTAATGAAATAATGGATGCGATATAGGACAATAGATGCAAATAAAGAATTTTACAAAATCTATACAATAACCATACAACAGAATGTTCCGGACATATTACATAACATAATTTATCGCGTATCATACGAGAAATATATTGAAAAACAACGTATAACATTTACACATTAATAGGAATCTTCGACAATACACTTTTCTAATGAAAGATAAAACAATTAGTTGTAACTACATAGTACATGTGTATATACATGCCCAGGTTTAATTTCAGTTTTCAACGTTTTTCTCTGATTTGAGTTGTATTGGAGAATATTGAAAACAGCCGCATGACCTATTTAAGTGGAATGCAATCTGGCGTTTAAATAAACAAACAACAAATACGTTTATTTTATTTTCTAAGTTAATGTATTTGATGCGAGCCGACATCCTTTTTGTTTCTTCCTTTTTTAATTTAACAATCTGATTTATAAGTGAAAAAAAAAACATAAAAAAAACTAAAAAAAATATTTTGATAATAGTACAAAATGCAAACTGAATGATCGAAGAATGAACATGAAAAAACTTTGTTTAAAGTTGCAAGCAACACAAAAAATACGTATAATGAAATAATGAATGTTCAACAAGATCTTATTGTGATGTATTTTTTTATAAATCTAATCTAAAAAACTGTATGCTACGCTTTTGTCAATTGGGTTATTATGATAAAAAGTCAACATTCGATAAGAGCATTGCCACTTTAAATGTCAGAAGGTAATGATAGTATGATGTTTAAAAGTTAATCTATCATCATAATGATACAAATTACAATATTTGCGTTCACGTATAACTGATACTTGTACTTCAAGTACTTATTTACTAATACTTAACAATACCAATGAATGTAAAATCATTATGGAGGTCAAGGATTTTATGTTCATACCGAAGTCTGGGTAACTTTTACAAAAATACAATGCATGGCATTTCGTTACAGTTTAAATACACTAACAATTAAAAACACTATCATCTAATATATGTTAGACGCCTCAATATGTATTTTGGTGTCTTGGTGTTGATTTCTTTGTCCCATCTGTTCTTCCTACTTCCTTGCAGTTCTTTGACAATTGCATCTTCAATGTTTTGCCAACATATTTTTGTTCTGAATCTGAAATGGCCTTAAGCGGAGGCCTAATGATATTTTGTTTCAGAACTAATTGGTTACGTTCAATCATCTTTTACAGAACAGAAATTGTTGGCGTACTATTAAGATATTCACCAAATTACTGACATTGAACGATGCACAAAAGTAATTTAACTGACAAATGATAAGGTGTTTCATATTAGGAATGTCGACTGATATGTTCGGAGAAATACAGACAGTGGTGGTTGTATTTTCACAAACATTTCTTGCTTGGGAAATCATTTGTATCAGGAATGGCATGGCTTTCCTGGGTATTTTCATGAGTTTGGCATGCTTACCTTAAAAGGGCAATTTTGGAGAGCGTATCTTATAATCGTCTATACAATTCAGAATTAGAAATAAGACAGGAAACTAAATTACAGCCATTTGCAATTTTAAGACGAGTCTCTTTAAAATTTCTGAAAAATCAATTTATCAATGCCAGCTTCACTCTTAGCTAATTCAGACAATAATAATTGCTGGTGGTAACTTAATCTACTCGTACAGATGTAATTAGCAAAGACAGAGACAAGCTTTGACATCTGCGCTGTTTAATCATGATATGCATTGTTTGCAACCCAAAAAATAATGAATATATTTTTTTTGAAAGACTAGCAAGTCCATTTGAGATATTTAAAAGTTTATCATATAGAATATGACTAACGTCATTATTACCAGAAGGTAGACACATTGACCTCACAAACATATGAAATGTGATTTAGATAGTTATATTTTTTATAAGATTGAGGTATACTCAAGGAAGTTGATAGCAACCTTGAACAAAAAATAAAGGAGGCTGATATAATTTTGATCATGTAATACTCTCGGCGCTCATTCCTCTTCCTCTTGAAGTTTAATTAAAATGTTGCTAATAAGCATTTCCATTTGTGTTGCTATAATAATTACATATAAGACAATTTAAACTAAAATAATCGTTTCCTGAATAACAACCGACTTAATTTTAATATAAAGAACTTAGACTATCATATCTTAAGATATATCAAATATGAAATAATATTCATTCAGGTACGAACGGTGCGGAAAAAGATGTTTATTCATGATAAGAACATTATTTTCAAGTATCCTCACTTCAAGATTATAATGATGAGTATGGATCTTTGTTGGTTTATCTATTATAAATGATAGGTGTATTTACTTATATGAGCTACCACAGACCATCTTATACACTAAGTTTATCAATTTGTGGGTTTTTGTGTCAAAGTTGGTCAGACTTTATTTTGCTAACGCAAAAAATAGTTGTTAACGATTTAAAAAGAATTTCATATAATAAGGTACACTTTCGTTAAACGGAAAGTTGTCATTATTTCGGAATAAATTAGTAATTATTTAATGCTTAACTGTTATTCAAACATTTTTTTTTAAAGTTACATTTTCTCATTTTCGCGATTCTTTCTTGCTATCATTTATTTAGATGGTTCATCAAATATTGTACTTTAAATATATACTGAAAATATGCACCTTTTTCATCAATGTTGTTTCTCAATTTTTTATTTAATGGTATAAAATTGATAGTAAACTTGCATATTTTGAAGATTGATTTATACATTCACCCATTACTGCATAAACACTTTGTGAAAATTAGATGTTTTTATTGAGGGGGCTCCCTTTTCAAGTTCAAATTGCTATAAAAATATAAAAACTGCTTCGATACTTATCAAACTTGGCACAAAGTTAACGTTGACTGGACCATTGACTTTGTTACAACTTGCTCAGTTAAAATTTCCTGCTATCATGACAACGAGGGGACATCTCAAAATTGCCAAAAGTCACTATTTTGCGTTGATTTTTTCCATCAAAATTTATTTCAAAGCGCTGCAACTTCTCAATATATTAAAATAGAGACAAAGGTTTTTTAGCGTTACCTTATGATCGATCTTGGGTCATTTTTATCCTCTCACAAGTCCAATTTTTTCTTTGCACATTTCCCTTCTGGCAACCACCTCATGTATCTTTTAAGTAGGGGCGCGCCGAAAAAGTGGTCATTTTTAAACAACATTTCTCAAACAAAAACAAAATCCTAAATAAGAGATTTTACGCACCATTTGAGACAACAACAAATAGATGAAAAAGGTGTTAAAAGGCGTAAATATTAAGTTATTGGTTAACAGAAAATAAAAGAAATACAAGAAATTACCATTTTTTCCATGTTTAAACATAGCCCAACAATTGAGCCGCGTCACGACAAAACAAACATAATGAATTTGCAACCAGCATGGATCCAGACCAGCCTGCGCGTCCGCGCAGTCTGATCAGGATCCATGCTGTTCGCTTACCAACCCTATTACAAGTAGAGAAACTGATAGCGAACAGTATGGATCCTGATCAGACTGCGCGGATGCACAGTCTGGTCTAGATCCATGCTGGTCGCAAACGCACTATGTTGGTTTTGTCGTGACACAGCTCAAATGAATTTGAAGAAAATTGTTGTTTTGTAGATTTTTTTTAATTCTTTATGATTTCCTTCTTATACCTATTTGTTTAGAGAACTAGGCTATAATGGACAAGAAGATCGGAAGAGGTTCGTCTAACAATGCTTTTTATAATGATGATCACAAGTGGGATTCTCAAGACTCATCACATTTTGACAATAAATGTTGTATACACATTGAAAACAAGAATGAATCAAAGAAGTCAATTAATAAGGAAAAAATGGATTCTGATAAAAATAAAAGAGTAAAAAGCGAAAAGAATAAAGTAGATGGGCTCAGTTATTGGTGGGACGTGTTTGTTTGCTTTGTCATCAACGTTTGTATTCAAACAATTGAATCATTTGTTGACATAGGAATACATGACCAAAGGTTTTTGAGAACATTTGATGTGAATGAAACGGAGGTGCAACAAGTCAATAACTATTTTAAGAGTATGATAGATTTCTTCGGTAATTATTTCTTTTACATTTGATTTATATTCTAAAAACAACAGTGTGTACATTATTATTAACTAAAGTAATAAATGTGAAGCAATAAATGACATCACAGCACTTATATTTATGTATCAGAATAGCACACCAACATTTATTTCATTTATGGCCTAGTTTCTAATTTGATAGTTGACATCACTAATATTCATTAAATCTAAATTTTTAAAAACAATAAAAACTCATTGTTAATTCTGCTTGCTTTTCGGATTTATAATATTTGTCATAGTTTACGGTTCGGATCGAAATATCCGTCCCGATGTAACCCGCCCATTGAGCGGTTACGAGGCTTGCCCACTTACCTCCCATGGGCGGGTGGCCGAGTAAAGGATATTTCGATCCGAACCGCAAACATATGTCAGATATTTATTTTTGCATGTTCTGCCATATTACACTATATTTTAAATTCTTTATCTTTATTTTCAATGGAAATTTATATCATTACAACCGTAACTACTTTCTTGCAACAGCGTATGAATTACAACTTTATTCATAACGGTATAATGACGCCATCCTAAGCGTGCCATTGTACAGCACATGAAATTTCCAGGAAACGCCAGTCTGATATGCAAGAAAAATTTATTATATTCTAATCACGGTCAGTAAATGAATGGTCATTAACGTTTTCAGGCACATCCAAGACTTTGCCATACTTTGTTATTGAACGTAATGATTATTCTTCATAAATTAATAAAAAAAATATGCATTTGACTAACCATTATTTCACTGAATTTTACTTATTCTTTCAAAACAATTTTAGATGTGCACAACTGCGTCTTTTCGCTTTCAGCTCCGATTGGCGTATTTGTGATGACAAAGTTTGGACAAAGGACAAATATTGTTGCCGGATCACTATTGATCTGCGCTTCATTTACAGGCATATCTTTCCTTGACAGTAGATCAGGTAAGTAATCACAATTATACATATTTTGAAAACATTTTTTTGTTTGTTTCGTAGCTGAAGTTTTTATCATAGTAACAAGAAAAAAAATTGTTACTTCACCAAAAACAAGTATCCAACAGCAACTCTTTTTGTAAGAAAATCTTTAAGTCAATTAGGTGAGAATATTAAGTATATAAAATCTTGAAATATAATGTTGATAGTTCTCAGTACCATTCATGTGGAGACAAACTACTAATAATAAATTGATTGAAACAGATAATGATGGTGAAAATGATAACCTTATACATATCTATATACAGTAGATAAGTAATTATTCAAGAATCAAATGTTATTCATTATTTTAACTTTATCACCTTTAACTAAGGATATATTAACTTAAAGAATACCATGATATCTAAAAAAACATCACTATTGTTTTAATCAATATTTGAAATACTTACTGAATAATTGTGCCCATTCACGACATATCAAAAGCTTTGTTGTTGTTTTTGTTGTTTGTTGGTTTTTATATCCTTTTTTCTGTGTTTTTTTGTATTGCTATCAAGTTTCATTAAATGTATTCCTCGATAATCAAAATCATTCAAAATGGACAAAATTTAAATCTCAAGTCTCATGGACAACCGTTAATTTGGTATATACTTTATTTCAAGTGCCGCATTCTGTCTGGTACTGGAAAATTGGTATTTGTGGACCAGCAGGTAAATGTGTTACTCGTTCTTACTTGCTTCTTAGTACATGCTATCCACGTTTTACATTTAACCGCTGTGCAAAACCTGCATGTAAATTGTGTAAAATTGATTTTGTTTAAAGAAATGAAATGTCAAGACATCATGTGGTAGGTAGCTACGGACCCTCGAATATGATAAAAGTTGATGAAAGTAAGATACAGATATACAGAATAAAAATCTTCTTGTTCATACAAAAGTTATAAAAAAAAATTCTGGGATGGAAATTATCGGAAACACTTTTTGTCAATCAAGTGATGTAGACCCCTTCTTCCTCAATTCACTGGTTATGGCTTGAAATAACGTGTTCTGCATCTTCAATGCATGGGCATGCTTCAGAAAAAAAGACCTGTTCATATTTTGACCGATCAAATAAGCGAAATTGTAAGTCAACATATTACGCTGTATTATGTCATTTCCAAAACTAAATGTTGTTTAACTTTAGGGTTTGGAATAAGTCTTCTGAAAATAGGTGCCTTGGTTCCTGTACTCGAGTATTTTACTAAAAGGAGGATGGAAGCACTTTTGTTGACAAAAGTTGGTTTTGTATTAGGATATGTTATTGACATGGGTGCTAAGTTTGCAGGAACTCTACACTGGACAACATTATACAGGTAAGCTTCACATTATCATACAAATTTTAATCTTATGAAGGGCAATATTGATAAGTAAATAAGTATTTTATTGGTCTTGGTCCTCAAATTTCTGAACTATAGAGATATATACATTCTGTCGTATTAAGATATGAATTATTTGTATTTGGTTCCAAATTGTAATTTAAGTAATACTTTAGATATCAATAAAGTGTTCAACTAGATTAAATAGATTAGTTTTAAGTTAAGGTAAAGTCATACCTTAGATATGTATAATAGTGTTTAACTTGGTTCAAGGGATTAATTTTAAGTTCAGCTAGATTTATACTTATTTGCCTCCGCGCCGAAGCGCGGCGCCTATTGGAATGAAATGAGATTTTGTGAAAGGGCGACAGCAACTTCTCGAGCCTTTTATAGTTGCCAATAATAAAAGCCGATCATTCCGATCGGTATGAGGGTGCTTGATTATTAATTAGTCGCGATATGTACAATGAATGGCGAACTGGAGAATTTCGCAATGCAAACATTTTCAAATGAAATAACCTTTTCCGTCAATAAATCGCGCTCTTCGGGGTATTTTTGCTTATCATTTTGTAGTACACAGTGGGTTATTATGGTATGTTATTCCGAAAACGTTAATAGAATGATGAGTTGATGACCTAAATATTCCGAAAATCTATTTATAGAGGGATGTACTCCTATCCGTAATTCCCGGTCTCTCCCGGGATTTACTAATGACCGGCGAATAGTACCACACGTTTATTGTCCGGTCTCTCCCGGTTTTGGAGAAGATATCGTTACAGAACAGAACAAATATTTTACAGATAAATAAGCTTTTTTTCAAAATGAATGTTTGTCACTTAGTTTGGTTACAATAATTAATAAACACAGATCAACTCTCGAATTGATTGATTATTATTATACATAAACATACAATTCGAAAAAAAACCAACAACACAAATCGCATGTTATATTTTATCTATATGAGATAAAAACAATAAATATGTACAATAATTGAGAAAAAATGTACATTTTTATGGCATTAGTATGACACTATCAACTTTAAAACATTTTATATAATTTGTTATTCGTGTTTAGTAAAGATTCCGAGGAATTATTCAAAGTTACAAATCAGATTTTAAGAATTATTCAATTGATTGATAATTTAAAAAATGATAAAGAAAAATACAAATGTACATGTATATGGTTTAAGAATAAACAATATTATAAATTGAAAGATTAACCATGATTTACTGACTTTTTCCAGTTAAGTTGACTTATAATCGTCGATCATTATGACAATTGAATTCTTAAAATAGTAGTAAACGTAAAAACTCAGTATTAAAATAGCGCATAAAACACACACAAAAAAAGAAAAGAAAACAATATTCATAAAATCTGTAATTTTTTTATTAAAATAGAAATTATATTTATTGTATAATAAACAATTATGCTCAACATGATCAACATGGTAATATAACAAGTGTCATATTGTTACTTAGTGTGAACAGATACCTTAAGAGGGGGTCCTCGTTAATAGCAATAACATAATAAGGGACAATTACACAAGTATGGTGTTGATCATGCGTTACACATATGGATTATAAATGATTGTATACATGTATATCCGTTGCTATTAATAACCACGATCATAAAGAAATAACAAGTAATATTTTAATTTCTAGCATGCCGATCAAAGTTATAAATAATGAACAATGTCTTTCGTCCGTTCATTCAAAAGTGATATACAATTCTGGTAAAACCCAATGAACCATTGAAAAGTTTATAAGAATATCTTGTCATCATATATCTACTAGTTCATCTGCACCTGCTGTTTGGACGCCCTTTGATGCTTTGCATCAATGCTTTTCTTGTTGTCACTATCATACATTTGTAAAGATCTATTCTGTGTTGTTTTGATCTTGTTTGTGCGCGTGTTTTTTGGGGGGAGGGGGGGGGTGGTAGTTCCCAGTACTTAATATGATCGAAATATAGAAATAAAATTATGCCTTAATCCGATTTTTATTTAAAAAGTAATTGATGTCTTAAAATATATTAATATTCATAGGCGAATGCCGTCAGTGTACGCTGCTCTGATTAGGTCTAAAAACAGTTCATAATATCACAAGTTTCAGGTTTGAAACTTTGATATTTGAGATGATCTTTAGTGTTGTATGTTTACAAATTTGAACAAAAATTGAAATATTCTTAATTTTCTGTCTTTTACAGCGATGAAATTAAATCCATCTGTCATTTTACCTGCACATGTATTTTCATTTTTTTAGAATAAATGCTGGTTTATGTGCATTTCCTTTAGTGTTTATTTTTAAGAAGAAGGTTTTTATGATTAAGGTATGTACAATTTTAGTGCTTGCAATCGTTCAAGAATAATAGTTTATCTGTAAAATTTTGTATGCTAAATCACGTAAACAACTGCAGACAGATATCATCATCCATGCTTCTATATAAATCAATATAAGTGTGCATGCACGTAAATTCGTGTATGAGCCTGCATGTGTACATAAGTAAATAGAAAAGGAAAATATTAATTTACATTTTTGGCAGTCAAATGCTCATTTCAGCTAATAAATGTAAAATATATCATTTTAGACGAATAATTATTGTGAACTTTACAAGGTTTTATATTCAGGTTATATCTGAACAAGAAATCGAGGAGGAAAGAAATACCAATAAGAAAGCAGAAACAAAAGGAGGGCGGAAAAATAATTGTAAAGTTCCATGCTTAGATAAAGTTTTAGACAACTTTCCTGTGTTGAAAAGGAAAACGTTGTGGACAGTTGTTGGGGTGTTTTCCACCTTTAGATTCGGTACCCGTTATTTAATTGTTACATAAATGATGATAGAAGTGAAAATTTTATTTAAATGAAATTGCCGGTTAAAGCTTCTAGAGTTTGTATCCTTTTAAACAGTAATTAACTGCCAATATGTCCGAGTCATTTTACGTTCTGTCTTCTTTTTGTGTTTTGAAATTAATACAGTTATGCAGATACATTTCTTTAAAAGCATTCTTTGACCTTTATTATTATTGCTTTTTTGTTGTTGTTGTTGCTGTTGTTGTTGTTGTTGTTGTTATGTTGTTATCTTAAAGAAGTATTGTTAATATCAGTTTTATCATATCTTACTTAAATTGTTATTAAAACTATTTAATTATTATTAAAGGGACTTCACTTCCCAGATTTTCTCAGTCGGGGATCTCAAAGAAAATTAAGGGGCATATAGAATCTACCACAGATTCTTTCGTTGAAGATCTAACAGTAATAATAGGAACTTTAGTCGGAATAATATTGTCATATTTGGCAAGGAAGTGCAGCTGCCTCAAAAGGTAACAAACTTTACCAAAATGAATATGTATTTAAAAATACCTTCGTATAGTTCCGATTGCCTTACACAATTTCTTAGAGTTTTTGGGGGAAATGCGCAGGTAATGAATCAGCGTAATCCATCTTTTCTTCCATCTAGCTTGATTCATATATAACAGCCAGTTGATCAGGTTGATTTTAATAGACATGACTGAATGTTATAGTCACATAATACATTTATTCATACACAATGTTTAATACAATATGTCTACAACAATCGGACCCACTACATGTTATATATGGATCATATACAATCATGAATAAGGAAATTACGGAGTGTACTTGGTCGAATGGTTAATGTTTTTTCTTTAAAGCTAATGGCCCTAACCGCTGTGTATACGAATCCGACATGGACTTCAGATTCGTTAGGTGATGTAACTAGCGTATGGAATGTCGCCGCTTTTACTCAGGTGCCCATTCATTCAAAAAACGGGAAAAAATGACCTTTATGTGTTGGTACTGTGTAAAATCTTGTCCCGAGATCATGTGTTAAGTAATTTCAATCGAATCCAACTTACGTTTTCGAATTGTTAACCCTTTCTTTTATAACGAGTGTCATATTCTTAATCTATTAATGGACGGTTATTTATTTTCACATATTTAAGCAGGCAGGAAAGAAATTAAATACTGTCACTTTCTGCAGTTCCATTTCTGAGTTATGATACATTTTAGCCTATTGCAGATGTGATGTATTGCCAAAGAAAGAAGTTCAATCAACCAAATCCTGCAGTATTTTCAAATTTGTCGTTTTGGGCGTTCTAAAGGGATTTTAGTTTTTCTCTTTTTTACAAATGTACAATTTGAAATGTATTTCTTTTTTAATGTAATCTTAAGGTTAAGCTGGAAAAGGAAAATATCTCTTAAAATCAGTGAAAGTAAATGCATAAAAGTTGATTGAAGTTGAAGAATGAAAAGATATTAATTTAAAGTTTTTAAACAATCTTCATGAAACCATGCCTGTAAAATTTTCCATTTTACCGCAAATTACGTACTTATAGGATTCTGATTCTGTTTTTTGTTTGTTTGTTTTTTTTTTCGATTTTAGTTATTGCCCTGTAACTTCGGACATTTTTCAGAAATATATGTTTTACTTCAAATTTAGATTTTTTTTTGATATATTTCAAAACTTTTACATGAATGGATAACATGCATAATGACGGAATAATGGTATTTAAATGCTATCGTCATTCCTGTACATTGTGTGTGTTGAGTATTGGTCCTGTAATATTCTATTTATATTTTGTACTGTGAAACGAAAATGTTGGTTCGGCAAATTATTCGTTCTTCTAGGGTCCAAGTAAACTTTACAATTAACTAAATGTTAATTGATCTATAAATCATTAATCGTATCCAAAAAGGTAAATACAAATGATAAAAGTATTTGTTTTCATATAATGAAAACAATTCCCAAATACTGTTATTAATGAAATAAATTTTGTAAATTTCCGCGAAAGAATTAATAGAAACCTAAAGTTTTGAATATTTCTCTGTATAATTAATTCCAAAATTTATCATAAAAAAGTTTAATTTCCTTCAAAGCACCATAAGACTAGTAAAAAGTTTATTTTTGTAAAAGGATGTTTAGTTCTTCCACTAGTGTATGATAAACCCCTATTGTATCATATTTTGCCACCCACGTTCGAAATTAATTTCTGTCTCTTAAAGTATGAGCTCCCTAAGGACACTATAAGGAACTATAAAATTGACAACATAGGTCTAATATATACCTTAAAGGACACCTGTATGCAAAATTTAAAGAAAGTTTACCATATGGTTAACGAGTTATGGTATTTTTTCTTACTTGAAACTTAGCTACAAGAAGGGCTCTTTTTCAGAAAGGAGAAACTCTCAGTAATCTATCATAATTATAATCAATATGAAAAATATTTTCCATTTGATTATTGTTAAAAAACAAATAATAGCATTCAACTAACAAATTACACAAGAAAAATTAGTGTTTCTACACAAAATGTTTGAAATATGTATACAAGTGTTACCCTACCCCACCAATTTTAAACCCTTGGTTGACAATTTCCTTCTTGGAGGACCTTAATAGCCTTAAAATTTATCAAATTGAGGGACTGTTTTCAAAGTTTGCCTATTTTTTTTTAAAGTATACTGTTTGAGCTTGTCAAATATAAAATACTGTTACCGTCTAATTTTTTATATAATTAGAGTTTGAAAATATCAGGTATCATATATGTTGATAAATTTGGCATAATTTAGCCATAAAATATCAATAATAATTTTATAATTAAAATGAAACACTCTTTTCTTACCAAGAGTGACCCAAGAGACACAACAAATGTTGAAAGAAAAAAATAGAAAGAAAATAAAAGTTGCCTCTACCCGCGCCCCTCAGCTTTAATGCAGTTGACACAAGTTCTAGCCTATTTGAATACTCTTCAAAGTGGAGGTAATGCATTAGGTGGGTCATACCTTAAATGATCCCCTTATTTTGCCATTAGAAAGAATTATTATTCTTTTGCATATACCATTTATAAACTTATCTAATTCCTGTAAGGAATCTGTTCGGAAAGAAATGAATCAGAGGGATAGTTTCTATAAATGTTGTACATATATATTGTCCATTATCTATGTTGGTCATAAAACCCTGTTGTCTGTTTGGGCTTGAATATTTCCTTCAGGTAAATCTTGACACGTTTTAGACAATATGTAGAATATATTATATAAATCCCTTTTATATTATAATAATAAAGTAGTATTAAACAAATAACACTAATCAACCATCTTCTTTAAATGTTCTGCAACATTTTGTTGCAACTTTCCTAAACCAGATGCTGTGAGAATAGTAATAAACGGTTGCCGAAACAAACTTGCTTATATTTGTTAAATGGTGCAATAATCTTTACATTTAATCTAATAACAATTGTTGAAATTTCAGAAATAAATGTTGTTTAGTTATATATGTTTTGTATAATTTATTTGTAATTGTTTCTCTGAACTGTATCTATTTAATGTTTTTCAGAATAAGTCCTGAGGATTTTGGAAAATTAAGTCAACTCCTACAAGTTATTTATTCTATTTTGTATTCCTTTTTCTTCCTATATAGATAACATATTCATTTCTTAAAGTCAGGAATTGACGTAACTGGTTTTTGCATTCATTTTCTGTCAAGAGTAAATTCTGAATATCTGGATTTTGCTATATTTTCATAGGTATAGAAGGAGAGGTTTGGACTTTGCCTTCACAATCGTTTCCATTGCTTGTCAAGTTATCGGTTTTTCTTCTGCAGTAACTTTAGACAAAGTTGGCTATCACATCTACTTCAATCTTATTCTTATGGCTTTAAAAGGTATAAATTTGCGATTTTCTTCAAACTATATGTTTGTCTGTCTGCATACAAACATGTTTGTTTGTGTTTATTTGCATGTTTTAATCATTCAATGTGTTTTGTCGTAAAGTTTTTAGAATTATTGTAATGTAAAAAGACTTTGTTAATAGAAATTAAGTATAAAAGGATAATTTAGAACAAATGAACGTATTTTTCACAATTCGTAGTGCCACTTAGATGACCTATGTGTGTAGTTTGATATTGTACAATGATTAAACAAAAATAAACACTGTAACACTAGGTTAAACTACAATTGTCTCAATATCTCATTCCTGGTCAATACAATAAAACTCTAGAACCGGAAGTGGTGTACACTCTAACATGCATGCATCTATTTAAACAATAAGTAGCTGATTCCATGGATTAACCTGATATTCCACATGCATGTCATTGCGCACTACTCTTGTTCATCATGTTTTCATCACAATAAAAAAGTACACATTAAATTGTATCAAGATAACGTTAATTCAATGAGTCACCATTTAGTGCATTTTTACTTCCTTCCAAGAAGTAGCGAATAGTATGTAAATAACACATGGGTTTGTGGGTAACAGTATAATATCATCCCGAGGAAAACACTGTTACCCGAGGCGATTACCCCGAACAAAAATACTGTGACGATCTGAAATTGTCAATTAAATCTAACTCTAACAAAAGTAAACCAAGAGTAACAATAACTAAACTGTCCTTACCTTTTAAGTTTTAAGTGTACTTTAGGCCTACTTGAGAAGTTTTCTTTTTCTTTTATTCTTTAAGCATGTGATGATATCTACAAATCATAAACATACAATAAGCTAGCTAGGTTTAATTTAGAAAACAAAACACTAAAATAACAAGAAATAAAGATCACAAGGCAAAGGCAACGTTCACAGGACGCCGCCCCCGGACACACCCAAGCAGGACACCAAAAAAGTAAATGGAGTGGACACAAGGGTGAAAGGAGCGGGACATGTATTGTGAAATAATATAAACAAAAACAGGCACATAATGAAATTAAAGGGAAGGGGCTTTACGGGTGAAAAGGTGGGGGGGGAATTAAAAATGGAAAGGGGGGGAGGAATACCTACCGTCAACGACAATCCAACAAGACAGACATCACAAAACAAGTATACATCTAAAAACAAGTAACAATACAGATACACACATAGCTGACACATCGATATTTTAATGTATTGGCGGACAATATTTATACATGTGTTAAACTGACATTATCACTACTTTGCAAGGTTTATCAGAAAATATAAGAACTGAAGCAATGCCAGATGTCCTTGGAAGTTCTAATATTAAAATAACGGAGGGACTTCTTCATATGTTCACAGGATTAGCCGGTATAGTAGCTGAAACTGTACACAGTAAGTTTTATTTCCATTTAGAATTGCTGAACACTTTTTTAATGATATTAAGTCAAAGAAATTGTAAGATACTGGCTGGATGAAAGCATAAGCTAAACGAAATAATCAGTAATATTAATTTACAGAATTAAATCGTAACATTAAACTTTCCAAATAAGTTGCATCATAATATACGCTTTCACCTATTTGCAAGACTTTTGTTCAAGTGTCAACTAAGGTCAATACTTTTTTTAATTTGTTTTAGTGTGACTTTTGCATTCTGCAAAATGATATATAATGGGTTATAAGCACCTTTATATTTGTAATGTACTAATAAATTTGGATTTCTTTTAAATATAAATTCAAAGTTTATTTTATTCGAGGTGCACAACGTACGACAGACGGCCAGCAAGACTGGAAAAAAATGTTTAAGATAGGTGGTGGATGTCTCCTTATGAATGGTCTCTTGTCAGAGGTATACGTTATGTCAATGTTATTTAAACATCCAAGACAAGATGAAGATGTGTCAAATAAATTGAATGAAGACGGAAATGAATCTAACCAAGATAACGAGGATTTTGCTGTGGTAGAAACCTCGAGTATTAAAAATGCAATCAAGAGCAAACTTCTAGCGTCGAAATCAACGGATACTAACATACTAACAGTAAATACAGGTACTATGACAGAACCATTCAAGACTGATCCGATGCCAGAACCATTAACGATTAATGTTAACCCACTTCCATATAGCCAACCAACATATTCTAAAGCAAGAATACCAGCAACTACTCCATCAAGAAATTCAACAATTTCACCTGGCACAGTAGCTGCTGTCATAGATTGTCCAAGATATGTTAAAGCATTGATGCCGCCATATAAACGAACATTTCCAAAAAACATGTAAACGATTAGTAGAAAAAAAGAATGGAAGACGCAGAGAATATAATGTGTTTATGCATATGCAAATAACATTTCTAAACCTTATTGTCATTTACAAAAGTTATAATATTCCTACTCAATATTAAACTCTTTTAATAATGAAGTATTATTGCCTTTTATATTAACATTGAACTCTTTCTTTAAGTGGTCAAATCAGCTGCAGGTAATTATGTTTAGAAAACAATACAATAATTAAAGTAAATAACAGGAACATTTGAATCTACGACTCATTAAATATACATTCTCAAACTGTGAATGTTGTTTAACCCAAACACTTTCAAAGATAATTTAGCTAACCACTTTAGTCACATATTGCACAAGATTATTGCTTCTATTACAATTATGCTTTAAAGCGGCCTTCGGGTTTTCTTAAGTTGAAATTTATTACCCTTTAGTAGATAAATCGTTGCATATAAGTGTCAAATCAAAATTAAGTTGAAAAATGAATTCTGTCGACGATAAAATGTATAAACATGAAACCGCTTGATACCTATAATCTACCGGTCCATCCTCTATATTTAAACTTAATGGATTTAGCTCAATACAGGATTGGAGCAGCACCTCTAGACGCTTGCAGAAATCATGATCACAAAATAGGCAAATATCGTTTTTTTTTTTCGCCGATTTTTACATTTCCCTTGATTATCGTACTAGATTCGGTGTGAAAAGATGAATTAGACCTGTTAAATTTAAATTCCGTTGGGTAAAAAGACAAGCTTTTAGCATTTTATCATTCAAGCGCCTTGTCCGGTATATACCGGAATACGGTATTTAGTGTGGTGCTCCAATCCTTTTTTTAGTCACAGGCTCACAGCCAAACTTAATTAATAAAGATTAGTTCCCCGGTTTTATATTTTTAGAAACGAACGTCATTGTCGCGTTATTAATAGCTATCTGGACGGTGTTTTGTAAATGTGAACTTTTCGAAAATAAAATTACTGACTGAAATATTTCGTTTGAGAGAACGCATGATTATTTTTTTAACAGAAAATAAAGCTTTAGGCCGCTTAAAATGTTATTCACTTGTAATGAATATGAGAACAAATATGTCATTCTAAAGATAAAACAATTGTTTTTGTAACAATAAGAAGAAATAGCATTTTCCATTTACTGTCAGAAAATGACCGTTACACTTACTGCAATGTTTCACGTTCAGAATATAGAAAAGGTTGCAAACACAATTGAGATTAAAAATCACAGCAGTTTTTTACAAGTCATAGAACGTGTAGTTACATTTACGTGATATTAATTGACAAAATATTTCATCTATGTATTCCGATTATGATATGTTTCGATCAACAAATTGATTTTTTTACTTAAAAGAGGAATATACCTGATACTAAAACTGTTTTGATGAAAATAGAAATGCCTAGAATTATAAAAAGGATGTTTTTCACGAATATTAGAATATACAAAACTTTAATGAAAGCTTAAAGTACTGACGTAACATAAGGTTACACGGTTTTGGTGGAGCCCAAATTACCAATCTATCAGTTTTTCAACTAGATATAAACATATTTAAGATAGTTAGAAACTTTTCTTTTTTTAAAAATAAGCTCTAGTGAACCACTCTCTGTATTTAAAAATTAAAGCTTTATTTAGATTCAATACAACTACCATTACTCAATGCACCTATCAATTTAAAGATCCCGAAACAGATTTTTATGGTTTTAAATCATAAATATGATGCTTAATAAATTAAGATTTATCAATATTGTAGGTTAAAAAAGCATTTTAATTTATAAAGATATCACCGATGTAAATAAAGGGAGGCAATAAAAATTGTTTTTTTTTGCATAATTATGTACATATATATTTTTTCACTTAGTGTGGTTTACCACTTTGATCAAAACATACAGGATCTTTAAATGGATTGAAGCATAATTAATTATAGCAGACATATTCTATGTATTAATAGTTTCAACGATAGTTAATTGCAAAGTGTGCATGTACCTTATAAATACCCCCATTTACGTTTTTTTTTTTTCATTTTGATAGCAACATAATTGTACAAACGTAGTGAATTTGAAAGATTTTGATGTATGCAAAGTATTTTTAATCCTGAGCTACGAAAATGATATATATAACCAGATTCAAATAAACTTAATGAATAAAAGCAATTTATATAACATAATACATTGTTATTTCTTACCCAACAAACACAGAAGCTTTATATCTAGAAGGAAGGGTGTAACCCATCTTAAATTTGCGTCAACCTTACACAAATAGGCAAGATTGACGAGACAAGTATGTCTATTTTGTCTAACAGCAAAATAAAGAGCCCTTGTCCAAAAGAGAGAGCAAGAGTGTAACCAATCTTATATTTGAATCAGCCTTACACAAAAAGACAAGATTGACGAGACTGGTATGTCTATTTCGTCTGACAGTGAAGTAATGTCTTGAAAGTCATTACGACGTATCGACTTAGTAAAACGACGGCTGGCATTTAAACATCTGATTGCGTTTTCTCCTAGTTCTAAAGGGCAAATAAAGTGCAAATTTATCATCCGATTAATTACCGGATGTATTGATTGACTTCATCAAGGTATTTTTGGCCAAGATAATTTGTGTTTGTTAGCTTTAAAAAAGGTTAGTTCATACGAATTTGATTTCTTTCTTTAGTGTTGGAAGCAGTAAGCGTATTGAACTTTTCTCAAACCCATTCCTTGAGTGCCAACCTTTACACATCAATAGGGGTAAAATCTCTTACTCATGGAAATAACGTCTTATCCAAGACATAGTTTGAACCCACGCTACCAGCAATCCTTACCGAACTAGTCATTCACATGCCACCGCAATTTGCTATAATTGTCATACAGGAAAAAATGTACTAAACATTGAAATTATTGAAGATCAAAAGTTGTCCAAATGCGACTAAGAAAAATGTGAGGAAATTCAGGAAAACAAATACAGATAAAGAATAAGCCCAGGCAGGTGTTACGTGTTAATGGTAAAGCAATGCAAACGCCAGACTCTATTCATTTAGACTTGAATTCATTGAACGCCGCCTTTCCTTGTTGATTTTGTTTATCATATTTCGAGTAAAATTCGTTTTTTAAGTATCCTTCATATGCAACATGAAAGATGGCGGCGGAAACAAAAAATACTCACGTCAAAACGGAAGTTGTTACTGTTTAATCTTTTGACAATTTAATTTGGCCAAAAGGAAATTTGATGACCAGTCATTGAATAAGTGCCTTATCTGCATGTGTTAGAGATGTTCACAAAGATATAACCGAAGTTAAAGCAATCCCACTTGGTTAACGAGTAAATTTCAACAAAGGCAATGTCATGTTTTTATGAAATAATTGATTTACATAACAATATATTTATTATATGTTTTTGAGACAAGCAACGTTCCTTTCAGGGCAATTGATGATCAAAGCAGGATTTTAATGTAGAAGCAAACCATTTTATAGAGGAAACGCTGAAAACTTTAGTACCATATGGAACAAATGCACCGCTTTTGGGCCTTATATGCACAACATTGTTGAAACACACATTTTGTCTTTGAAAAAGCAGTTAAAAACTCGGGTTATTGTTCCTTTTTGCGCTAAAATTTTCGATATTGACATTACAACAAACAAATCTTTCTTCTTTTATACAAACAGCGTGATCTAAAGTAAAAAACGTGGTAGGTACTTGGTAACTATTAAAGCATATCATTCACTTCGTTAAAATCAAATGACGGTTTTTTTATGCATAATTTTCGATTTTCCAGGATTTTCCATCAACTCGACATCGGGAATGAACGATGTCGAAAGACTGCAACTGATTTTGACAATATTTCATCCACACGATACATTGTCACAGCTAAAGTAGATATGGTAGGAAGTGGCTTTATGCTCATGAATAAAACAAAGAACTACATTTTGATTAAATAATGAGATTCTAAACGAGGTTTACACATGGTTCTACCAAAAAGTCTTACATCTCTCAAGGCCTGTCCGACAGCTATCTGCGCATGCGCAGTACGTATAGTCTTACGCATCAAATTTCAATCTTATCCCTAACATGTCTTATTGCCCCTGATAAACAAGACAGTGTACACAAAAGAAATCCCTACCAAGCGAAATTCTAACATAAATTTTGTAATTGTTACAAAAAGTAAACGTTTGTACATGAACAGAAAGAACACCAATGATCAGACAAAACAGGAACGTTTGCATAAAAACTTTTTGAAAGAGAAAGAATGATCTTATATAAGCTTGTCTATATCGTTTTCCTTTTTATTCCCATTTAACAGTATCATTTTAATAACTTAACTTTTTCTTGATAACTCTCACATGAAATATGATTTGTTTTGCCAAGTCAGTATTTTGTCAATATTTTGGCGTGTATTGCATAATACTTGAGAAATCAAGTTATTGAATATGTGTAGAGTCTTCTCAAACCTGTTGTTCTCTATATATTTTTGTGCACTGGCCGAATTTAGATGACAATAAGACACAAATTTATTGCATCACATTCTTTAAGCCTAATAAAAAAGAAAATATTGCAGAACGATCGGTTAAATCTACATTATGACATAAATCGTTTGATACTGGTTATTTTCCGATAAGTTTCGATCAGTTCGGGTGACCAAACATATCTAATAAAATTGTCATTTTGTTCTCCATGTTGACACTGTACTACATTTTTTACTACAATTGATATTTGAAAGAAATAGGACAGTATTAAACTCGTTCACATTGAAATAAACAATGAGAGAAACATAACATTATTGCGTTAATTAATAAATAGCCGATGGTCGATGACCCCTGAAAGCGGTTAAAGTTATCTGGGTAAAAAAGAAATAGTTTTTTTTGCAGTCGTAAATTGTACTTGTAGCATTCAGTGTGTTTATATGTGACTTATCAGTATATCAGCACTTTAAATTCAATCAAATTAATCTTTCATCTCGTCGTTATCAGTCCCCGTCCCCGGCGATAATCGATACTGATTTGTAAGCAAAAATGATGTGACATGTGTGTATTTTCTTCATGTATTTTTTTATTATATTATGACAAATACTAATGCTCTATAACTTTAATTCTCAATTACTCATTTAGTACATATAAATACTCTTGAGTATTTTTGACAGCACTCGACTCAACCTGATTCTATGTTTGCGAAAGAACAAACACCTTTATGAGCAAAAGGCGGCATTATTACTAGATAAGCAAAGTAGGCTAAATACTGATATAATCAGTGGAAGGTCACAAGTAAAGAAATTTGGCTGTATAAATATCTTGAAGTGTCGTACATTCGTAGCATGGTCATTTCAACGGTTATTTTGCCAGAGAGGTATACATGAAAGGTACACAGTTGCAGCGGAACACAGCTTGATAGCAAAGACTATGAGCTGCGCACTTCTATTCGAGAGTGTAAGCTACCCAAATCACCCCACCTATAATTAAAATTACATAAAAACAAAGTCCAAATTTATCGTCGGTAATTAAGCCGAGAGAAATATTGGAGTCATACCATGAATTGAAATTAAAGAAAAAAAATAATAAAGTGCTTATGATTCATATAGTTATTCCATAAAATATAAAAATGATTCGAAACAGAAAACAACAAATATTTACTTTGATAGTGTGTTTTTGATAAATTGATAAGATTGATAAGAAATTGGACAACACTCTTTGGTAGATTTCATACAGACCTTCAAAAAACCAAAATTTGAATAATTTTCCCCAAGAAGACGCCGTTTATATTAAAATGTTAAACATTGCACTCATTTATACTTAAGAAGTTGACATTTATTGTGCTGAATTGTTTTTACGATCGTTTAAATGACAACTTCACGTTAAACCAATACGTTATTTGACCCGAAAATAGATGCAATTTTTTAGAAGTTTAGATCATTAACACACGATCTTTAATGTCGTTACACATTAGTTTATCTCGTTGTCAAAGTCGGAAAAATAAATGATAGCAATAATTTTTAACCACGCTATAATCACTTTCAGATATAAAAACATAATGGGGTTCAAATGTGTTTCAAAATAAAAAAAAAAATTATCCTACAAAAGGGAAGGTATATGTTCCGCATAATCTGTACCACATGCGTTCCAAAACAACAATCAAAGTAAGCAATATTCATGTATAATAAATAAAATTTTTAGTTAGATTAATGTTTTCTTTCTTGCCCCTGTTTTATTAAATCTGGCATATACCTACTGCAATTAAGCAAATAAATCAGATATGCTTTTCTTTCTTTACTTTCTTTTTTTCATTAAAATATGTTTGTTATTATCACTTTTACACTTTTATAGGCTGATGAAAATGAAATAAGTCAAATGGTTTTTCATTGATGAAAACATATTTATCGTTATCTGCTCTGTATAACTGAAACGAAAGTCAATACTGATGTATTTTTCATATTTGTGTGAAGAATATGATAGAGTTTAATAATGTTAAGTTTTAGATGACTTATAAAACATTGTCAATTATTGATACATCTAATACCTTCAACTTACTGTCAGCATCAAAACACGAGGTACATTTTCACTCTTGGTGGTAGTTGACGTCTGACTTCCTTTTTTATTTCACACATTATTAGATATAAGTAATGCATTTTCAGGTTTTGTGCCAGGTGATGGTCTAACAGAATCCTTATTGGATCGAATCTTATAAATTTTGCCTCGTTTTAGTCTAAAACGTCCACCTCAAATCCATATCTTTACCCCGAAAAGCTTCATTTTCATTCCCAGAATCCAAAAGGATAATATCAAAATAATGTACCACCCAATTGTTTTCATTTTAGAGTCCAAAATACCTTTATCAAGTGCATATCATTCTCAATCTAGCCTTGTTTTCTTTTTTGAGAGTTAATCCTTACTGTAATTGAGGTAACAAAGTTATGTCAAAATGTTAAAATATAGTGGTGTTATATAAAGAGGTCATTAAACTTGGTTGAGAACAACACTAATTATATCGGACTTGTACACGACTGCGTATCATATATCAGAATCGGTAAGCATCACGTCCAGTATAGTTTTGACAGCTGTGTACTCGAATTCAGTATTGTACTCAACCATGTAAAATAACCGTTAAGTATAATACAATGTATCTTCGAAAAAGTGTTTTAAACCCATATTTACAATAATAATAGTTATTTTATTGTAACGGATAGTTTTAATCAGTTTAGTAGAAATAAACAAAACATTGTATATCCAAAAGCAGAACTGTTAATTAACTGATCATTTGTGTTAAAGGAATAATACATACTACTCAACTTTTGCTAAGCACAAGATGTTTGAGTATAAATATTTTTTGGGATAATTTTTTTAACGCCGAGCGAAAGGTTTTAACCGTTGATTTACTGTTTTATCAAATCAGCTGAAGAACGAATTTAACCCTATAAATGAGTTTACACTGATTCTGTGCTAGAGAAAAGAATGACCCCCTCCCTCTTTTAAGATTTCAGAACATACAGCCAAATTTGTAAATTTGATTTTTTAGTTACAGTTTTAGACTTGATACCGTATGTGTAACCCGTGACTATCAATGACAGCTTTGCAGCGCCTTCTCATAATCCCATTATTTTTCTGAACGTTCTAACGGGTATGGCTGCCCATTCTTGGACCAACATGGCTCAAAGCTCCTGGATGGATCTATGTTGCAACAACTGACGAGCTGAAATTCTAACCTGCAGCTCATTTCACATGTGTTCTAATGGATTTAAGTCAGGTAAGCGAGATGGCCAGTCCATGCACTCAATGGTCTCGCTCTCTAGGCAGTCCTGGACAACCCTGGCCCTATGATGCAGGCATTATCGTACATTAGAATGAACTGCTGATGCTGATGCCTCCCCACACCATAACTGACCCACTTATAGCGGTCATGCTCAGCAATTTTTGCAGCCTGAAACCGTTCTCCTCGTCTTTTCCAGACAAATGACATGTGATTGTAAACCCCATCAAAAACATGAAAATATTAGGGTGCATGCTTTCTATGCTACTTGAACGAGTTGTAACGGATAAGTAAACACGGATGCATTGCTGAATCAGAAATTTCAAAAATTGGAAAGAAATCTGTTTTATACTTGTGATAATACATAAATTAACTTATGGTGCTTAGCAAAAGTTGAGTATTATAATATTCGTTTTTTTTTCTAATGAAATCTGTTCATTTTTAAGATAACTATTTTTGAAAACTTTAATGCCTTTAATGTTATAAATTAAACAAGTGCTGTTTTCGAAAACTCTTAAGGTACAAGATTGTGTGCTTTACTCGTACGAGTGCTGGACACGCAATAATTGTACACTTAGAGTGATCTCAAGAACAATTTATATGACTCTATTAAGAAATGCACTAAATTTGAGTCAAGAGATTCCTTAGAGATCGCAAAGTTACAACATGAAAGGTATGCACTATCTTCATATAAAAGAAGTATTGTTTTACAGATGCATCGTAGTAGTTGTATTCATGTACAGTATTTTTACGTTAATACAATTAAAACCGGTTATTTTTTATATTGCAAATTGTCACAGTCAAAAAATGTTAATTTACAACTTTATTAATAAATAGATAATAAATACAAATTAAATTATTTGTTGTTGTTGTTGTTGTTGATGTATATAAATGTAAAAAATAAGTTAGTTTGCCTTTTTTTGTAGCTGTTGTTGTTTTTGTTGTTGTTGGCTGTGGTGGTGGTTGTGTGGTGTGGTGTGGTGTTGTGTTGGTGTTTTGAGGAATGTACATGCGTTATTTCTTACTTTTAACAATTTGCACAGCTGAATTTCTTAAATTTACTTTTTTAAATATCATAAAAGTGCATTTCTATAATATCTTTATGAGTAATAAGAATAGAGATAGATAATATAAAAAGTTCAAGAACTAATCATAAATTTTAAACATTTCGGATAACACTTAGCGGGTAATGCACATAATAGGTTTCCATGAAATACCAAGGAGGTTTAAAAACTTAATGTTCTGGTATCAGTAGTAAATCAAGATAAAGTTATAGTTTTTAGGTACAAATGTTAAGTGTTAATGTCAAGTTTTTAATAAACGTGAATCTGTTCACGCTTTTTCTTGATTTATTTCGTTTCAACACCTTATAAAGTACAAGTGTCTTACAGGCAGATATACAATGTTTATCATAAAGATGCTTTTGAAACAAGTATGTTTTAATAGGAAAAAACGTCATAAATAAATATAAATCGTGCAATAAAATTTGAAATAATATTGTATACCAAATCAAGAGGTTCGCATGTGACGTCGAATACACCAAGTCAGCACATTTTAGATAAAAACTAAATAACTGTATACAATAAAAATCAATTTAATTCAGAAATACTGTCCTCTTAGATAACGTTCTATTTTAGAATAAATGAGCTTATTATAGTGGGTTTGTTATTGGAATCGAATTAAATACAACTTGAATAATTTTGACAAAGTTATGACAATTATATTTGAAACATTAACTATTGTATCAATATATTTATACTATTTAAATACATTTATTTTTTCTGACGTGTCTTTTAAAAAGAAATATTTGATCGACTTGATCAAAGCAAACCAGTCAACTTTCTTACGCTTTTCGACCATAATATCCTTTGCTTAAACGAGATTTTCGAACTATCATTCCAGACAAAAGCATAAGCCAAAGATATATTTATTATATGTTCGCCAAATGTTTCAACTACAAACAAATCAGTCAGTATATGTTTCTTTGTGTTGAAATAGAGAAAAACAGAATCCCTAAAGAAAGCCCAACACGGCAAAATTTTAAATGTTGCAGGCTCGGTTTGATTGAGCCAGTTCATGGACAGTACTGGAAAGTGCAAGTTATTTTATTTTTGTGGAGTAGGGAATTGGCTGCAGCATTTGCTGATAATTTCATAATCAAAAAAGCAATAAACCTTCAAATGACGTCATATTCGCAAGTGTTAAGCTTTATTAAACCAGTTATGTTTTTACAAAACAAAATAAAACACAAAATAAAAGAAAAAAAGAAAACTTTAATGAAAGAATAAAGATTTATACTGCACTTTATCGTGCATTAGCATATGCATAAGCTCTCGTACTTTTATCAAATTCCGTAACCATGCCGGGTTGGGTGCGTCTTTGTACTACTGCATATGTTTATGCACGAAAACGGTACATTAACCTTCTATTGTTAGAGTAACAACTGTTCAATGTGCAGGTAAAATTTCTTAACCTCCAAAGGTCATTGATACTGAAGGAGATGTACATTTTACATTTTAAATCCATGTAGTCTAATAGATTCATAGTCGAAGGTCGAAAGGGAGGACCAACAAAATGTATGTCAGTATTTTTGTCTTCTCTATGTGTTATTTATCTCTCTGAGTAAAGTTAAGTGTGCTCCGTGTATACTTTAAACTGTTAAGGTACGACACTGGAGCCCGTATCTATCCTAAACAAAACTGATAATATGGAAATATGTGACAAATTTAACGATAAAGAAGACATCGATTGAGCAAAGTGATCAATTGAAAGGACATTGTCAACGTTATCACAAGGGTTATGAATGTAAGATTAGTGGGGCAAAATAATCATGTTTTATGTTTTTATCCTTTATCATTACAGAGTTTATTGCTGTTGATACCAGTGCAACTGCCATTTTCTGTAAGGACATAACAATGTGAGTTATTCTTTTAGATGTTTTTGTTGATATTTTTTAATGCATTTTTATGCGTACATTTACGATTAGAGAAGCTTCTTTTGCATTTGCTTATAAAATTCTATTTCTGCTGCTGCTGATTATTATAAAAAAGAGAATGATGATGATGATGATGATGATGATGATGATGATGATGATGATGATGATGATGATGATGATGATAATGATGAATAATGATGATGATGATGATGGTTTTGGTGTTTGTGTTTCCGTATTTGGGGGCAGGAGGATTGTCGTTAAATTCAACACGAATTTGCATCGATCTTGATGTAAAGTGTAGTTTGCAAAATTGAGGATCAATACTTACATTTATTAACATAATACGTTCGAATTTTTTAATGCTCACTTTCAGCTGAATTTAAAATGAGTAATATATATAAACAAGGGATAATTTAATCTTAGTTACAGAGACATTTGTTTTTAACAAGCTTTTACGTGTAATTAAGAATTGACATGCATTAAAAACTTAAATTCTAACAAAGGAAATTTGGGAAGAAAATGTCAATGGATCTTTTTTACATCTTTTTTGTGTGAATAAATTGTGGTTTTATGTAAACTGTTTTTATTAGGAACTAAGTGTCTATTATCGCATGGTTTCGAACGTTTTCTTTGTTCTTACTAACCCATTATACTGGTACACTTTCAATGAGCACTTGAAAACTGTATTGTGCCGTGTGGCGGCTGTAAAAAGTCTCCCCGTACATGCAATCAATGTTGTTATATTTTCATCCTCAAGGGATTGTTCGGCGTTCAGTGTCGGTGTCCCCCTCCATGTCCAGCCTTCATAGACTAATGGTTTATATTTGTTTGGGGTCCGCCTGGGCTCCTTGCCATTGGTTCTTGTTGCTGGGTCATATGGGGGTTGCGTTCATTGAACGCCGCCTTTCCTTGTTGATCTTGTTTATCATATTTGATATATAATAGCAGTGCAGTTTTTTTTCATTGATTCATACAGGGAAAAAACTCAACTAACATATAGCAGTTGAGGTTTTTTTTTTCGCCCCTTGTATATATCAGTGCACTTTTTTACAGAGGCTCCAATGGGACAGGGGTTACGAACATTGCCAGTAGCCAGTAGCAAAAGAAATATTTAAAAAACAAAAATAAATAATATAAACAAAGATAATTTAATTTAATGAAATGAAATTTATTGTCATTTAATCAAAAGGTATATCCGCTGAATGAATCATTTCCACTGAAGAAAAACCCTTATACTATAACTATTACTTTAACCTTTATAAACTGTACACAAGTTTTGATTTAACGTGTAGAGCAGGATTCTTTTGTTTTCGACCGTTTTCTTTTTTGAGCTATCAATTTTAAGGTGTTGATGGTGGCTTTTCATTTTCTTTGTTTTGTTTTTTTTGGTTTTGTTTTTAGGTTTGCTTACTTTATTATACGTACTGCTTTATTTATCCCTAACGTTGCATCATAAATCCACATATTGCTTTATAGACCTGTACAAGCGCTATTTCGTCATAAATCCACATATTGCTTTATAGACCGGTAAAATCTATTATTAGCGCGCTTTTTGCATTTTTTAACTTACATACTGCTTTTATAATCAAGATATCACTTAATTTATCATACTTTTCAATTAAGTATGTTTATTACCACACGCAAGCATTTTTCAAACACTTTTGCTTCCATAGTTATTATTTGAAATAACAATTAATTTACGGTCAGTCGGGAGTTTCTCTGATAATTGAATTCGTGAATTTGCTAAAATATTGATAATTTACAAAATAACGGCGAAACATTTGGGTACAAACTAAATTTTTTTTCCTTAAATTATTGTTGACAGATTACCGCTGCGCTCCTTGATATCAGCGAGCGAACAACAAATAGGGCAACTTGAAATCTAAAGTAACAGCATTTTTTTTTCAACAAATTTAATCTGGATTAAGGCAATGAGTCGTGAGATGTGTGGCACATTACACTATTTCGTATGGACAGACGAAAAAAAGCATAGTCTGCAGTTGTGAATCAACCCGAGTATCCTTATTTGTTTCTACTGCTCTAGGGGCGTTGCCCCTTTTTTTTATTTTTAGCGTATGCAATAGAAATAGTAATTATAGATGAATATGTATCAATTACAAATACATTATCGCTAAATCATGCTTGTAAATCATTTCCACCAAAAAATAATTAATTTCATATCTGGCTTTGGCAGTATTCTTTACCTACAAAAACATTGTTTGTATATTTATTTATAAATGTTATTTCAAATCTGAAAAAAAAACATAAACTGATGTAACGCTGATTAACTTTAAAAAAAAGACATATCATGTGCTTGATATCATTTACCACACATTAAAAAATAATGTGTTATCTTAACAAGAAATTGAGGTCTAATACTCAGAAATTCATATCTTCAATTTTCTTCCTGGATCATTAAATAATGTATTCGCGAGTAATAAAAGTACATTCTTAAAAAAAGTAGGCTATGTTTTATGATCAAACAAACAGATATCACCGCTGATAAATCAATGGGCTGTTGCAAGACCTAAACATAACTTTGTAACTAAAGCAAGTTCATCGATGGAGGATTATTGAACTGGATTAAAGGTTAAATGTTTATATAGTTCTGACCACGCAAATTCTATTTTGTATTCAATCTTATCATCAAATAACAGTAAATACCTGCACGTTTCTAAAATTGAAAAAAGAGAAACCGTCATCCACTTAAATAACTTTTAAATGAAAGTACATTTTACCAAGAGCACAGAGCAGACGATCGAAGATAACAAACATACCCTTACACATAATACCTTTATTTTAAAGTGCAGATGTATGTGTAAGCCGTATATTTTCAGGTGTTGGTTGAGACTGTATACTTGTGAGTGATGCCGTATATTTGCAAGTGTATGTGTAAACCATATATTTTCAGCCGTTCTGGTGTAGGTTTGGGCCGTATATTTGCCTTTTTAAAATTTACTCTTTTTCGGAAATTTTAGCTTAATCATAAAGACAACTGAATCAGAAATTGTGTTTTTGTTTAAATCAAATACGAATATTCAGTTGATCAGTGCGTTTATTAAAATGTTGTAGTACAGGTAGTAAATAATTTTCAGTCATGTTCATTTGATTAGAGGCCGGAATGGTAATTTAAAATGAATAGTGCACAGAGATATAAAAGATATAAATAAAAGTACAAACCAAATTGGAGTACGAATGATTATAATGTTTTGTGCAAACCTTCCAAGTATGCATACTAAACAAATATAAACAGATAAGAACATAGAACTCACAGGTGAGGCGACATTCCTAGAACGCAATCCCCAACATAATATGGCCTGATAACAGAAATTAACAGTCTTCACAGTTTGTTTTCAATAATTGAATCATTTGTCAATAATATGAGTATCAAAGATTAAACTATATTTAAACATACTGTTTGTTATGCTGCTTAAGATATATAGTTTGTAATGTGATATTATGAGATAATACATTATGTGTGGGCGTGGACGGTAACTTGCACTTTCAAGTACCGTCCATGAACAGGCTCAATCAAACCGAGCCTGCAACATTTTCAATTTTGCCGTGTTGGGCTTTCTTTAGGGATTCTGTTTTCTCTATTTTATGGTCACATCAGTGTTATTTGTGCCGTGTGGCGGCCGTAAAAAGTCTCCCCGTACATTTAATCAAAGATGTTATATTTTCGATCCTTCAAGATCGTACAGCACGACATTATTAATGTGCTTGTGGTATTTTTAGTTTTAACTTTTCGGCATTTTCTAGTTGGGTGGTTCCTACTTGAATAATGTTGAATCAGCCCTAGGATATGTTGCCTGCTTTTTAACTTGTCTTTTGACGTCTTATCTGTGATATGCAGGCTTCATAACCTCTGATCCCCTTTCAAAATTCCATTTTATTTAGTTCCGCCCAATGTTTTCTCGTTTAGGGCACACGCTTTTTATTACTTGGGGACCATAAGCCGCTTTTCATGGAATGCCACGGAAGTGTCACATTAAAGGTTCCATGATAACCGCCGTATGAACACATCTGTGGATGTTTCTAAATTCAAAATTTTACCATTTCATGTTTAAATGTTGAATTCTGCTTAAGCCGGTGCTAGGGGGCGTGGACGGTAACTTGCACTTTCCAGTACCGTCTATGAACAGGCTCAATCAAACCGAGCCTGAAACATTTTCAATTTTGCCGTGTTGGGCTTTCTTTAGGGATTCTGTTTTTCTCTATTTTTTGAGTATTGTACTCAACAATGTATAATAAACCTAATCTTTATTTCAACTCACCAGTTTTTAGCAATTTAACCTAACTTTCTTTACTGTTACATTAAAAATGTTTGTTTCTGTCGACATCTAAGCATTCGTTAGAGCGTCTCATATATGTAAGACAAATAACTCGTAACAGAATGACAAATGAAAACAGGTAGAGTTATTTCGAGTAAGAAAATGTTTTGAATTGTACTTTGTAGAAAAAAAAGAATGCTTAAGAAGTCGCCCGTATCTCACTTCAGAGTTGTTATATTTTTCTTGTCCTTCGGGATCATTGATTCCAACACTTTTAAGAGTAACAAGTAGTGTACCACTCAAGCATGTGCAAGAAAAGTGCATTATTTCAGTATCCTTCATGTACGCACTCACCCAAACCGAGTCTACAATTTTCATATACCTTTGTTGTGATAAATGCTTCAAAGGGATCGCCCTTTCTCCAGATCTTCGGTGATAAGACTGAATTCCAACGATAATTTTCTTCGAAAGGTCACATTGTTCGAGAGTACATCCAATACGCTCGTAAAACTCTGTATTTATGTATACAATTCAAGATTTTCAATTTGATGATGGTGGTTAAATAGTAGATGCATGAGCTTGATTGCTTAATTTTATGTCATTTCCATTGCAACATATCAATATTAAGATATGCAAAATGACTTGAATATTTATATCTTATTCATGTATATGTAGCATTCATGGGAACAAGATAAAGAGCAGTGATGGCGTGTTTGATTCATGCGGATTGGCCAGTTCAATATAATGATGAAGACCCTGAAAATGGTAACGAGGCTGAATATAAAGCTGATGGTCTCAAGAACCTTATTGTGAAAGAAAGTAAAAGTGCTAAACAGAATGTCGTCGTATGTTTCGTGATTAATCTCATTGTACAAACGCATTTGTCCATGGTTGACATTGCAATCACTGACACTGATTTGCTAGAGACATTGGACGTTGACACAAGCGAAGCCAACAGTGCAAACAACATCTTCAAAAGTTTAACAAACGTCTATGGTAAAAAGCTTTGTTTACTTACTTATTACATGATAAACTCATTTTCTAAAAAACCTGTATTAAAGACAAGGAACCTCGGTATTGATCTATTATAATGTATCCATTAGAAACTGCTTGTTTATTATCTTGTGCAATTTATAAGAATCGAAACGAATATCTGAAAGGGAAAGAAATATTTTTCCGTGACTGTAACATAAGTAAATAAAATTTCAAATAAAACGAAGCAGGTTTGATTAACTTTCATATTTTCACCCTTTTAGCAGATAAGGGATTTTGCAATGTTCTATAAACCTTTATTTTAGAAAGTTGTTTATATTTTATTTTTGTAGCACCATTAGCCCTGTTTCTGATGTCAAAATCAAGTTATAGGACCACAGTAGCCGTCGGATCGCTTTTGATATGTGTAGCATTTGCAAATATATCTTTCTTGAATAAAGGACCTGGTGAGTAAAGTATTTCTTGTTACTTTTTACATTTTCTTCTAAAGAGAAATCAAAACAATGTTTATGGCATGGTCAAAAAAGAAACCACTATTGAAAGATTTAACATTCTCGCAGTGAAGAATTCGCTATTGCCTCCATTGGAAACGTAATATAAATGTTGTTTTGAAAGTATATATTTATTACATATACATTTATATTTGATATCAATTGCGGTACTTGTATTTGTGTAAAGACATTGCTTTGCTACTCTCTCAATTATATCTTAAACACATTTAAATTTCTCAATGTTATAATGTTAGAATTTTGTGAAATGTTTAAAACCTTTTATATTGTCATCCTTTTTAGAGGGCACTATTAGCTGGTATTGGCAAGTGTGGTTGTGTGGGCCAGTAGGTAAGTTACATTGTGATCTCCTCTTCATATATATTTTAAAACAAATTGTTATAATTTCCTTAAACAGAATTTATTAAATGGATTATAATCAAGGCAAATATGTTGTTATTTTTGTACTTAAAAATAAGTACACCATTCTTTTCATTAGATAGAAAAATAAACGATGAAAGCCTTTAAAACACAGAACTCATCATTTTTTCAACTGACGCTCCTTTATGAACAAATATCTGTCATTTATTCTACTGTGCTTATGAGGTTATAACAATTCAATTCTAATCTATTAACATCATGATATCTGTTGAATGAAGCTTTAGGTGTGAGCTGCCTCAAACTCGGTGCAATGATTCCAGTCCTGGAATATTTCAAACGTGACAGAATGAAAGCCTTAGTTATTACTAGGATAGGTACCGTCCTTGGTGCTTCAGCGACAATTGGTATAAAGTTTGCAGACAGCCTTAGCTGGAGAACATTGTTTAGGTATGTTGTTGTCATATATAATAGAAATATTAATAGTATGAATATCATCTTGAAATTAAATTGATCCGGTAAATTACATAAATGTATAGGATTTTTACATTTTTTTCATATCATTTAATTGACTGTGTGATTTTATAATTCGTATTTTTACATACAGAATACAAATATACTCCAATTAACAGTCTACTGCTAAAATAGGTAGAGCTGTTATATTTATGTCGGCGAAGGTGTCAGCGTTACAATTTTAAGCTACTTTTTTGCTTCAAGTTGTTGTCTCAAAAAATCGGAAAGGGATGGGTTGAAACTTCATACACTTATTTATGATATAAAATGTCACTGTCCAAAGTCAATAACTAATATTTATTTTGACCCTTTTGAACTTTGCAAATTTTACATTATATAGGCTCCTACTTTTTAGCACTGATAATTGTCGATCACGCTGTTCTATTGACAGCTTTTGAATTTTGGTGTTGTTTGCGTGTGTGCGCGCGCGTGTGTGTGTGTGTGTGTGCGCGCGCGCGTGTGTGTGTGTGTGCATGCGTGCGTGCGTGCTTGCGTGCGTTATTAATATTGTTGTTGTTGCTTTTTGTTGGTGTTGTTGTTTTGTTATTTGTTGTTGTTGGTTTTGTTTCGATTGAGGATGTTTAATTCATTTGATTTGTTTACTTGTTTTAATAACAGGATTATAAAATTTCAGGATAAATGCTGGTCTTTGTGTACCATGTTTAGCAATTGCCTTCATTCTTAAGGTAAATTTATAGATATTTCTAAAACGGATAAAACATTCATTAAGGCGTCAATAATTATAAGGAGAATTTACTGTAATCTTGTATGATAAAATATATGTCATTCTTGCACAATGAATAAAAGAAAATAATGATGTAGACATTATTGAATAGCAGAAACCGAATAATTACAAAGCCGGTTACAATGCTGTCATAACATAACAATATGTCATTATGGTGTATTTATCATTTTAAGCCCTATTGAGATCCTAAGTGTATTTAGTGAGCATGTTTAAAGTCCCAGTAATTACACTATGTAGTCTTATATGACACACTAAATTGTCAATAAAACAAAATATACATATTATTCTTAAAACTTATATATAACGTACAGAAATGCATAAATAGAACAAAGTCTTGGGTGTCTAAACATAATGTTGCAATGAAACTGATATACGTGCATATAATTTCAGTTATCTGTATGTAACAGTCCTGATTTCAACGTACAGGATCTCTAATAATTACATTAGACATCCATGTAAAAGTATATATTTTATATCGTTTATAAGGATATAGTTATAACGGAGAAAATGAAAAAGGAAAATGACAGGAATGAAAAAACAAATGAAAACAAGGAAGAGGATGAGGATAAAAAAGGGTGTAGTGGCATTATTAAGGAATTTCTAAAAAATACATTTCGCATTCCAGTACTCAAAGATAAAACATTTTGGATCACGGTTGTTGTGTTTTTCTTTTTTAGTTTCGGTATGTATTTAAAAGACTTGAATAACATGACATGAATAATTCTTAGTAGTCAATGACTTTGGTGATCGTAATATTCTTACTATATAATAACATTTTTTCGTAATTTTACGTAACAAATTTGCTCGATTAATGCATCTTATTGCATTTTGAATTTGAAAACAATCTAACATGACAATTTTAATGTATTGTATTTATTATTATTTTAACATAAAATTATTCATAATTATTTTCATTATATAATTCAAAAACAGGAACATCGCTACCGACATTTAGTTTGCCAGAAATATCAAGTCAAATGCAGGAACAATTGGCACCGCCTGTAGATTCATTCTATGAAGTTTTATCAGCAAATGTTGGCACCTTACTAGGGCTTATCCTAACATATCTTCTAAAATCACTTCCATGTGTAGAAAGGTAATACCTTATAACACATTTTAATATAAAATTACTATTTGATATCCCTGATATACAAATGCTTAGTATTGATTAATATATTATAATGATATATTTTGATAAAATACCTCCGTGCATACAATAAGGATATTTATATATTTTTATTTGTACGTACGTATATGTATGGAAGTAAAATCACACTCAAAATGATTACCACCCAGATGTTTTATTATTTTTTAGTTATAGGAATAGAAAGAGGAATATGGGTTTTGTGTTCAGCATCATCACATTGTCTGGTTATATCATGGCTATCCTGTCTATAGTAACACAGGAAAACTTTGTTTATTACATTATCTACATACTAGTCCTTACGATTTTCGAAGGTATGCGTCCAAGTTTTTAAACACTTTTGACTTACAATATTTAATTAAGATATCGTTAAATACTTCCGATTTACTATAAAAGAAACGTAGTTCAAAATCAAAACTACATGTATATGTTCGAATTAAATATAAAGTATATTTAAAACAATATTTGTAAAATAGTATCAACTAAGAGAATTTGTTTTTTTAAATACCATTATATTTTTCTTGTAAGTTCTGACAGAAAACTTCCGAGATGAATCAATGCCGCCAGCCTTTGGACGCTTTAACATTAGATTAACACAAGGATTTCTTCAAATGAGTGTAGGCCTAGGTGGTTTATCTGCTTCAGCTTTTCAAAGTAAGTAGTGAAATAAAAATAAAAAAAACATTATTGTCAAATGAAAAGGTACAGGCACATTTCTGCTTTTATATATTAAGTAAACATTCCAAGTAAAGTGTTCTCTTACTGAAGCAGATGAAATTCAATACATGCTGAAAAGTAAACAAGCTGTCATATGCTGCTTGATACATTCAGGTTTCACCTGGAAAGATATTATTTATGTATTTCTTATACTATATATAATTTTTCTCAAGTTTTAATTGATTTCGAAGTTTCATTTCCTAATTTTTAGTCTTGCTATTATAAAAAGTGGTTTATTGCTTTATATGCCTATATTATTATCCAACTAAAATAGGTTACGGGGTTGTTGTTTTTTATATACATTTGTAACATATTATAATGCCTATACTTCAGACGGTATCGATAAAGCTGACAATGACGGAGGGTGGAAACTGAACTTTAGATTAGGTGGAGGATTTCTGCTTATTAGTGGATCTATAACAGGAGTTGTATTAGCGTTTGATTTTATATCAAAGAGAACATTTCTCAGGCATTCATGTTTTGTAAATATATTGACAGATGGAACTATTACTAAACGAAAACCCGCAGCAGCAAAAACGCAAAGCAAATGCTGCACATCTTTGTGTTGTATAAAATATCAGACAATAACAGAAAAAGAAGACGAAAAACCAGCCGAATGCACTGATTGTTCTGATGGCTGTACCGCCTTTAATTGCCCTCGATGTTTGACACTGTCGTGCTGCTTGAAGAAGCGACCAAGCGATCGAAAGGAAGCGCAGTCATGTGATTTACCTTGTACTTGTTGCAAGGGATTTTCACTGTCTTGTTTCTCAATTTGTTGCCTGCCAAAGAAACGACAGAACATAAATAAGGAAGCAAAACAAAGAAAATGTGATTTCAATTGTTGTAAGACGTTTTCACCTACATGTTTTCCAAAATGTTTACCAATATCATGCATATCCAAGAAACGTTCTAAATCTGAAAAGGATGAAAAGGGCAAAACAAAAATTGTATGCAAGGGCTGTTCTCTTCCTAGTTTTCGAAACTGTTTTAAGCTGCCATGCTCCTCAAAGAAACGACTAAAATCTCAAAGTGACGATAGTCAACAAACATCAAGAAAAGAGCCGTTATGTTCATCTAAATGTTTCCCAATGCCATGTCTGGCTAGAAAAGAATCTTATTCTAAACAAGAAGAAGAGGTGAGAAATTCGACTGAAAATGAAGGATGTTCTACTGGATTTCCTAAATGTTTGAAGTTCCCATGTTCATCAAAGAAGCAACCAATGTCTCAAAATAAACTAAAGCAACATAGGGAAAGAAAAGAACTGTCATGCACCCCAAAATGTTGCTCAATCCCATTTGCAGTTAGAAAAAGATCTTATTCCGATGTAGATGAAGGGGCGAGAAATTCAACTGAACAGGAATACAAAGGGTGTACTCCTCCCAGTTTCCCGAAATGTTTCTCATGCCCACCTCAGAAACGACAGAAATCTGAAGATGACACAAAAGTTAATGAATCAAGAAAAGAATTAAAATCTGTAAGCGGAACTGAAACGAAACGTCACAAGAGAATATTTCCCCCATCATGTTGTCTCAATTTCCAAGTACCCGCATGTCTGCCGTCGAAAAAGTCTAGATCAGTTCTGAGTCAGTCAATAGAATCTGATATCAAACCTGAACAGAATGATCAAAACGTTCCTGATCCTGTCAATGACGAATATAAACAAAGCAAATCTAAACGCAAAGGATTCACCTTTTCAAGCTGTTTTAAATTCCCAACTAAGCAAGAATGTTTGTCGCCAAAACAATCAAGTTCTGAAATCAATACTTCACTGCAAGAAGCTACTGATCAAGAAAATGCCAAATGTGATGAATCTAACAAAGAATCTGAACCAAAAAGATCTATCAGTAAACGATTTACCTTTTCAAGTTGTCTTCAGTTTCGAAACATACAGTGTTTGATACCAAAGTCGAGTTCTGAAATGTCATCACCAGATAACAATACTACATTTCAACAATCTCCTTTACAGGACAAGAGTTCTACCTCTGAGTTGGTTCAAAATGAATCTAAATATAGAGGATCAATCCTTCCGAACTGTCTAAGATTCCAAAAATTACAATGTTTATCTCCGAATAAATCGGATCAAGAAATATTGGCCAACAATACTACTGCACACGAAGCTACAGACCAAAATAATACAAAAGTTACTGAACCTGAAATAAAGTCTAAAAAGGAAAAGACACCAAACAAAGGATTCAGCTTTTCACGGTGCTTATCATTTCCAAACAAGCAATGCTTTTCTCAGGAAAGTCTATCTTCGGAAAATCAAACTGCACCTACAAAGATTGAAGATCACATTGAAGAAATCCCAAAACAAGATAAATCAGCATGTAAAGGGATGACGCTTTTACGCTGTGGAACATTTCCAAAAGTAGATGACATGTCATCATATGAATCTAATTTAGACAATGTGACATCAACAGACACAACAGCATTGCAGAATGACACTAAGCAAGACAAAATGGCCAAAGAAGAAGAAGAGGAAAATTTTGACAACTCAGAAAGCACAAGAGCACATCATAGTGAACACAAATCTAGGTTCAACTGTTTTCATGGCATATTATGCCAATCAGTTCCAAATAAAGTTACACCTATATCAAGTCAATATGATAACGTATATTCTTCAGCTAAAACACCAGGAACATCTAACATCGAAACCTCACAGAACTTAAATATTCCACCGAATTCAAGCAAAAATGAGGATAAATTCACTCAATCAAAAACACCTGACCCAACAGCTACGAATGATTCAACGACCAAAGCTATTTTGTTTAATTGTTGTCCTCAGTTTCAAAAGAAGCACGTCTATTTAGATTTATCAGAAACATCTTCCTTGTCCAAACAGCAATCTGATCAGGAAAATACAGAAACAGATACTGAGACACTTTTATCAAACAATGACTTATCTGAAACAAGGCCAGGAAAAGTGTCAACCCCAAAACCAAACTCGGTAACAGAGCAAGTAAATATGAATACATCTGAGGATAAAGGTAACAAAAACAAATCTGTGGGTGGAGATGACATGAATGAACGTGAGAAAAAAGATAAAGATAACAACTCTGTGGGTGGAGATGACAAGAATGAACCTGAGAAAAAAGATAAAGATAATAACTCTGTGGGTGGAGATGATAAGAATAAACCTGAGAAACAAAACACCGATAACAACTCTGTGGATGGTGATGACAAGAAGGAACCTGAGAAAAAAGATAAAGATAACAACTCTGTGGGTGGAGATGACAAGAATAAACCTGAGAAAACAAACACCGATAACAACGATGTGGGTGGGGATGACAAGAATGAATCTGAGAAAAAAGATAACAACTCTTTGGGTGGAGATGACAAGAATAAACCTGAGAAAACAAAAACCGATAACAACTCTGTTGGTGGAGATGACAAGAACAAACCTGAGAAAAAAGATAACGGTAACATCTCTGTGGGTGGAGATGACAAGAACAAACCTGAGAAAAAAGATAACGGTAAGAACTCTGTGGGTGGAGATGACAAGAATAACCCTGAGCAATATGGAGATAACAAGGATGTGGATAAAGATAAGAAAAAGAGACCTGAGAGTGAAGATTCAGAATTGCCGAGCGATACCGAGCCAGGTAGCCTAACAACAGATAGATCCCATATTTCTGAAGAAAAACTATCTGGTATAGATAATAATAAAAAAGCACCTATTAAACCCAGAAGTACAGAAAACGGCAAGGGAGACGAATTTGATTTATCAGACAACTCATTCATGTTTTGTCAAAGACTTGAAAGAGCAAAGGCTCCACCAACAAAGCCCATTTACAGAAATAAAAGACTTGAATATGAAGCATCTCGAATAAAAAGGATGTCCCAAAAAAACGAGAAAACAATGAAATCACAAGAAGTTTCCCAAACGGGTGATAAAATAACAGACCAAATTCCGACAAGTTTATATGGTAAAAATTCTGAAGGAATTGTAGATGACAATACGAAACATCACGTGTCTGAATATGAAGCATCTCGAATAGAAAAGATGTTCCAAAAAGACAAGGAAACAATGAAATCGCCAGAAGTTTCCAAATCGGCTGATAAAATAACAGGCCAAAGTTCAAAAAGTTTACATGATAACAATCCTGAAGGAGTTGCAGATGACAAGTCTAAACGTAACGTAGTTGACGAGTCTAAAAATAAAGTATCTCGAATAAAAAAGATGCCCCAGAAAGACGAGGAAACAATAAAATCAGGAAAAGGGTCGAAATCAGCTAACGATACTTCAAAGGAGCAACAGGATTTTGAAGAAGAATTATTTGCTGATTGTCCAAGATATGAACGAGCACTTGCCCCTCCATATGAACACGTCTCTTTAAATAGAAGGCTTCAATATGAAGCAAAACGGATAAAATCCAACAATGAATACTAAGAAAATCTTAAATTGTCTTCATATTTGATGACAAGTTTGGATATTCAATATTCTTAACGTATACTCAAGCAGATTATCTAACACTGATTATGTGTAATAACTAACTTATCTTGACAAAAACCTTATCAAAGACTTACTCTATGTATTCAATTCAATGTTCAACGTATGCAAAACGTGACATTTAATAAGTCCAAATTTATATCGAGACAGACATTTGTTTTGGTTTCAAAACAGACAAGTGTAATATGCTAAAGACTAGTATCGACTACCATGTGACTAAAATAAACACTGAAATGTTTATATAACAGAACAAAACCAGAAGTTTTAAGTTAATTGTATCAAATCTTTTACATATATGTTTTTGCTGAAATTTATCTGTGTACTTAAACTTATCTAAAACGTTGTAAATAGATTGTTTGAGTTTTCGTACTGGTTTTTAGTATTCAAAGGGGTTGTTTCAACCTCACTCTATTATAATTGATTTTATATGTGAATATTTTCCGTCTTACTTGTGCACTCATATGTAATATACATATTTATTATATACTTATAAATGAAATATTGAGAAGTATTGATGAAGCAAAATGCGTTTTTTTTATTTTCCGTATTTTCATTGAAAAAAAAAAATTTTCACTGTAGTGAAATATACCTCGTTTTTCACTGGTGTCATGCAGGACTACTTTCTTCTAAAATCAGCTAAAGGGAATACTTCCTATTCATAAGGCTAAAAAAAGAGCAAAAGTATATAATAAACAGAAAATTCAATTTATTTCTATTTATACAGGATTTGTTTTCATCTTGTGGTATGAAAATTTTCATATTTCACTCGTGTCAACTGCCACTCGTGAAATATTTATTTTCATACCACTCGATGAAAATAAATTCTGTATGCATAAAAAACTGTAATATCCTCTATATATTTATATATTATATCTGGAAAATAAATATTTAACCAGTTTCTTCAGTTTATCTCTAATAATGTACTCATTTATTCACGATTGTAATAAAACAAATAGTGAAATACTTCGGTGAATCAGCTACTTTACATGATAAAAAGAACTACTGACGATTGCAAAGCATAGAATAAATAAAGCTGGTTCTTTAGATAAAATGTAAATATACAGAAAATTGAAACCCGTCTTTTTGCCTTCTGCCATCGACTTAAATGACTAAAATGGGCAAATGAAGCGTAACATATAGAAATTGCATAATTACGAAAAGAAGCATGCATCGGATAAGTTTCACTTTCTACTATAAACTTAAATGTCATAAATAGGATGTACGTGCACGATTAACAATATGCAAAAGTAAATAAAATAGAAAAGAGCGGGACAGAGGACATTCAGCTTGAATATTTGGGGAATATTTAAAAAAGAAACATTTACGAATCAAGAATCATATACGTATGATGATTAAACAATATCAAAGAAGCTATATTAGAACTACATTTCCAAAGCTCTGATTGAGAAGTTTCAGTTTATACTATCTTTCAAAGGTAATTAAAACAGAATTCTCCTTCTGTTTGCACTCAATAATTACCTCCCTTTTAAGCAAAATGAGTTTAGACAGCTTATCTGTAGAAATAAGCTGTCGATCGATATTAAAGTATTGTTTTATGCGCTCACAAATTTTAAGAATTAAAAGACTTTAAAACGTGTGATAATGTTTGTAGCACTATTTAGGTCATCATATATGGAATATCAATACCAGAGATACTATTTGGTTGTCCGCGTTTGCCTTAACTAATGCACGTAGGGGCACCTGGAGTTCTGTAGTTCTCACTTATCGGCCTTTTTCAGTTGGGTGGTTCCAATATTCCTACTGAATAATCTTGAATCACCTTTGATATATGTTGCCTGCTTTTCAACTTTGTCTTTTGGGGTTTTATCTGTGATAAACAGGCCCCATAACCTCTGATCCCCTTTCTTAGATTCATATTTTCTCTATTGTTAACAATTCATTACAATCAACGTCTTATATTCATATTTATGTATCAACAATTTTCTTATTGAATTTGAAATAATGTTTTCTAATGAAACAAAACGTTTGCACTTCAAACAATAAAATGTCATCAAACAATATTGACATTTCTGTTACCGCTCTTTACTATTTCTTGTCAAAACATACAGTTTTAAATCAAATATAAACTTACTGACTAAAATTGTATCAAAGTTTTAAAAAAAATAGATTGTATTTTCAATGTTCTCATATACACGACCTAAAGAAGAAAGTACGTTACTGTAAAAATAAATCTTCTTTTCATTGAAAAGAATAAGAATAGAACATCTCAAATTATTTTAAACGTATTAAAATATTTTGTCTTAGCTTCCATGATAACACTTTAAGTATGATATTGCAACTTGTTCAACTGATAAATGATCACTTAAAAGTGAATTTAATACAAAATTGTAAAATAAAAATTTCTTCCTCTTTAGACTTAAAGTAGAAATTGTTATTGCTGGTGGCAATGATTATAGAAACTTATGAAGTGAGGTCATAGCATTTAAATTATTTATCAGTGTCACGCTATTCGGATATTTTAAAGGATTCATAATTATATAACGTCTGAAGCCTTTATCTGCATTCAAAGCATGACTTTTTATTAAACTGGTCATGACATGCAAGACAATTCAATAAATTACAAGTAAAATGGTTTCCTGCGGTGAACATTTTAATGATATAATGATATTTCATTTAACTATTTTCAACATTTTTTTTAGGGTGGGGGGATAAATAAACGTTTGTATCAGGAATATAGTTGACAATTGAATAAACGATCACTATAGAAGAAGGTCTTTGGTAACTGGTGACCGTTGAAGACCGGAGAAGGTCGAACATAAAACAATTATTTCTTTTTAAGAAAATGATTAAATAGGCCTACCATTTTATGAATAATTCCGAGCAAAAAATAAATAAAGTAAACACACAAGTTTACGCTGAAAATAACGCAGAAAATAACTCTATTTATTATGGCAGATGCCACTACGAATATTTTAATTTTGTAGATTTTCAGTATAAACAATTTATTGTTTGTAAAATTTGAGATAGATATTAAAGAAACATTGATAATTTTCAAACACATCATTTAAGTTTTCCACCTTAAACGGTAAAATAATTATAGAAAATTAGAAATATCACGTAATAGTTTTTTGTTCTTACTAATTCCCTAGAGGTAAATCCGTAACGTACCGGCAAACGGTATTTAGCTAGGTTTTCGAAAAGGTCAATTAACCAATCATGTACGGTTTACATATCACATGCTCCTCCATGTAGCGAAAACAGGTCACGTGCTCCTCCATGCCTCAAAAGTAAAACGAGTACCAATACCCTGCGGTCTCCAGACCGCAGGGAATAACCATATGGGAAATGAAAGCCTCGGCAATAAGTACGTATACAACCTCGTATTTCATATGTCAATCCAACACATCATGATTATCAGCGTATGATATCCAATTTGTTCATATGTACACAAAATCATAGCTTAAAATGTTTGCCAGCTGAAACAACCCTCGAGTTGTAAGTTCAAAAATAAGGACCGTCTGACTTATGTGTTTCAGCGACAAGCAAATAGAGAACAATTCGGCACAAAGTATCTGTGAATGAAAATTGACTTTTTTCCTGAATAAACTTTGTTTATATATTTCGGGGTTTATAATTTCGTCTTACATTAATACGGCGTTAGATAGTTCTAAATTTTAACAATTAACTTGTATTACATATTTTATATAGTCTTTGTATATAATTGTACTCATCATTTTCAGATGATTTTCAGTAAGTTTTTTTCTTTCATAGTACGATTTTCTGATCCCGTATTCTTAATTTCTTGGGACAGCAAATAAATTCAATAATTCCTATAAGACTGCCTAGAAAAAATATACAAATAATATATACAAAACTACTATAACCATAATATATGTGTAACACATTTGTAGTTGCTACCTTGTAAAATCTGTTCAAGTATGATTTATCATTGTTGTTAATTCACAGGTATGGTGATACATTTACATTACCCCTGATGTACGTGTGCTGTACTTGTGGTATATGTTTACATAACCGATAACAGATAATATTTCATTTAAAACGATAACTACGATAACATCATTTGACTGTTCATCCATTTCATGGAATGTCTAAATATGGTTTCAGGCCAGGTTGAAAAATACGGTTCTGATTAAAACAAAGTGAAAGTAAACATCGTCTGGCGTTGCATAAAATACACATTTAGAAAAAAAGGAAATAAATAATTGGCGTAAAATGTTTATCATTCGGGATTTTATGGGTTTTTTTTTATTATATTTATCGTGACCATCTTCAAAAATATTAGAATGGAATTTTAAATAAAGTAGCCAATATCTCAAAAACAATCATTAGAGGCATATTATGTAACTGAAACTGATTGCAATAATACTTTTGCTTAAGTATTCCTATATTCTATTGTCTTGTTCCAATTATACACCGAGCATCTATTCCACATATCATTTAATTTAAGAGAAAATTTTGTTACAGCATGAATGTTTTCATCAATTTAAAGCAAGACTTGCATTTAGATAAATATTTTTTTATCTTTTCAGAAAATTTATTAATGGGTGAGCTAGGAAAAAGCTTTTCCTACAAAATAAATGTCAAAAACAAGTCAGTATCTTGTTTGGTGTATATCTAGAAACTTATCTCCTTTTTAAATCTGCAGTATGTTGTAAAAGCATTGTTTAATTTTATTAACCTGCCAAACACATACTGATTATACGGTCAGAGCACAGCATATATCAATCCTCAAAGATTACCGGTACGCTCAGTGAGATGTACGCAGCGAGATGCGTTTGAATTTAATGTGTGTTTGTAAAATACTTAAGCTACGCGTAAAAGCACAATAGGGTTGTGTATGGTTTTGGATTTTACGAAGTTCACGTAGTTCACGTAGACCATTTTCTCCTTGAAGTTAAGAAATCACTGAATTAGGCTTGATACGAAAGGTGTTCAAATATAAAGGCAACTAGGCCAACAGCTCGCTTTTAACCACGTTTTGCACGACTATGTTCATGTATCGATGGTTTTGTAAGCTTTCAATTGATACAATACATGTGTAAATCAGTTAAGTCTATATTTGACAATAGCTATATTAACACTATCTCCCCGTGTATACAAACGCTAAAATGGTTGAAAAAGGTCTCCTTTCACTGACCAAATACGGACCTCTATATTTTTGGTATACAGGCAAAAGACATATTTAATGAAATATGCCGTGTCTATAGGGAGAATAAACTTTCTTTTTTCATCTGTCACACGGTGGTTTAAGAAATTTAAAGGTGGTGTGGATTCAGTAAAAGATGCACCTCATGCACGGGGTCTGAAATCTGCAACTTGAAAAAGTAAAGGTTTTGATTGCTACTGATGCAAGATTTACAACTAGGAAATAGCTAAATGCGTTGGTATCTCTGTAGGAGCCGCTTAAACAATTCTCAGACGTAATTTAAAAATGGGAAGGATAAATGCCAGATGAATATTCCATCTCCTTACAAAAGAGTAAACCTTGCTCGGGTAGGAATCTCAAATCAATTTTTGAAACATTTCCCTAAACACAACAAGCGATCCTTCGCAAATATCATCTCTGGCGATGAGACGTCGGTTCACTTTTATGAGTCAAAGCAAAAGATAAAAACAAAATATGAGTAACCAATTGAAAGAAAGTCAAAGACCTCGGATAGCAAACCGCACCATGAGCGTCAAAGAGCTCATGTATGTTAATTTCTTTTACCAATCACGGTCCTGCTATTCAAATTGCCGTACCAAAGGGTAAATATGTCATTGCAAAGTTTTACAAAGGCAAGGTTCACATAAATTAAAGAAATATTTCAAAAAAACATCGACCAGCAACTGGTCTCCGTGGTGTCAGGTTGTTTCATGACAAAGCTTCGTCACACAAAGCGGCCATTGTACGAGAATATCTGAAACAGGAAAAGGTTGTCGAGCTTCTTTATCCTCCTTTTTTGCCAGATCCTGCCCCTTGTGACTTTTTCATATTCCCGAGGCTCAAAAAAACTCCATTCTGGACGCAAAACAAATCTCGGTTCGGCTATTTCCAGTGTATTTACAGAATACCTCGAAAAGATAATGAAAACGCATTAAAAATGGATTTAAAGACTAAAACTTTGTATATCGCATGGTGGTGAGTATTTTGAAGGAATGAGATAATCATTTTGGCACTATTTGTAGAGCATTTCTGAAAATGACCCAGTAGCATTCATATTTGAACACCCCTCGTATAAACAGTTTTTGCTGACATGTTGAACACTTTCACTGGTATTTATGAATGTCTTCCTGGCTTCTTGAGTTGACAAATGCTCATAAGTTGGTTTGTTTCATTGCTGATATAGCTGTCTACCAAGTTTCTGGTAGATTGTATTCGTGTTTGAAATAAATCTTGATACTTTGTAACGGTACTGAATTGTTTACTCATAAGAATCCCGGTAAGGTTGAACTTTTTATTCACCCTGTGAAAATATCAGCGGCAAATTAACGTTTGCATAACAATGCCCATTTTTTTTATATGACTTCTCGTTAATTTTACGGGCAGAAACATAATGGGTCAGAATATATATTGTCTTCGTAATTAGCAGGTCAATAAAGTCAAACAATAACAAATGTGAACAATTTTCTGGATATGAGACCACATTTTACTCGAGATTCGCGAATGAATTTGGTTACATATCAAATTAAATCAATTTGGCACGAAACTGAATGTTTAGCCGCTTTTTCAACCGTTATGCATTATCTACAGACAAGAAGTATGATTTTTAAAAAGAAACGTGATTGATTTGATTTAGCTACTTCTTACACTTTGAAAATATTGTTGTTCAAACATTGTTTATAAAGGCAACTTAACGAGTATTTAAAATCATATTTCAATTCATGTGCTATCTGAATTACGATTAAGAAATAAAAAGGTGATCCACTTCCATACGGTAAATGCTATTTGCATATCAGACATACAATAAAACATAAAAATTATCATTGCTAACTCATCGTTTTATTTGAAAAGCACCGGTATTTTGTGAAATTTTCGACATAAAATGACTGAACACATAATTTATGGCGCAATTCAAACGGGTCTTGAGCAAAAAGTAACACACATTTGTTCATTTTTTTAATTCACAGCATTTCGAAAATGCATGTATATGAGTTCATAATTTTAGTTATGTCAAAAGTACTTGAAAATAATCTTTGTCAAAGATAACACTTGTTTCATAGTCTGAAGGACAATTGTTATCATTTGTGGCTGTGCTGTGCTATTAACTCATTTACATGATTGTGACAAAGAGTAGGGACTTAAAAAGGTGGTAAGTTTAATATTAAGTTTTTTTTCTATTTTTACTTTTTTGATATTGCTGCATATGGTATAAGCAAAGGTTGATAGCTAGCAACAAACATATGAAAGTCAGCAATTAATTGTAAAATTGTGCTGTGCATATACTTAATTCTCAAATGTATCTTTTGTCCAAATTTGAACAAATTCTCTGCCCTGAAACAAAGATTTCAGGTATTTGATTAGCCAGTGACTATTGCAGTATGTTCTCAGACCAATTTGAAATCTTACAATTTGAGAAAGAACTTGAGGAAGAACATATTGAGGTGTTTGAATCTATATTGTTCGACAGTTATTATATATATAATCATTAATATCATTGCATTGCTGTTAGTATAGATATTTGAGATTAGGGAAAGTTATGCGTCTTTTGAAACAAGTATGACGTCACAAAGTTAAAATTATGCATCTGTAATTGGACCTTTTTGTGTTGATTATAGTGAATAAATGTAGGTAATCACTGTTCACATTGGTGTCACAGGGTGAGACACGTGCAGCTTGGCCGGGGCTTGAACCTGGGACACTCGGAATAACGTTCCGCGTCCCTTCCGTCTGATCTATCAGACTTCTTACATATCTTCTCCCATAACAAGTGAACACTTCTTAACCGTAACATACTGCCCGTTACATATTGGGTTGGTCCTCGACTTTCTCAAAGTTACAGAGCAATGTAAATTAAACCATAAGGCTAGGTAGTCACGTTCCCAGTTGAGGACTAGGTGTTACAGGGTTAGAAAAATGTGTCTCCTAACAGAGAATCCGAGACCCTCTACATACTGTTCCGCGGCTTTACCGGCTGATGTTTTCGGTTGCTTCCACCGCCCCCGAAAGAGTAAACCGTGACACTTGTTATAACATACTGATTATTTGTGTTATATAATCCTGTATTGTTAATTATGTAATGATTTTATTATAAATGCAGTGACTTTAATTTAGTTATTCATTTGTTTGTTTTAAAGAAAAAAATGTATATAGTAGAAACTTAAATGACATTCTTTCAAGGTATGGTTCTGAACAAACTCTGTGACCTAATTGATAAAAAAACTTTTGAGATTATAAATGTTGTGATAAATTCATAGAATCGAAACTACACGTTATCTTACGTTTGATAAGAGACTTTTTGAATTGCTTTTTCTTTTGCATTTTGCTATTTTAACACAGCTTGGTGTGTGGTATTTTTAGATATAAGGGTTTTATTACCTTCACGATGCGCCGTGTCTGCAAAAACTGCTTTCATTTTATCATACCATTAATCTCTGTCAACGTGCACCAGCGAAATAACCTAAATAATGTTTGTCTTAACACTCTTTACACTATAAAACAAACTTTTTGCACGTATTAGAAATATAATGCTTGACGTGGTAAATGTAACGGGTTTTTTTTTCAAAACAGAAGTTTTAAGTTTTATGAATTTAATATCGACATATAGGGAAGAATGATAGAATATTTAATTAATTAAAACAAACTTTGCATAATCTAAGAATATGATACCAGAAACATTGAAATAAAGCAAAATGTTTAAGAAATAACATCGGCTTGAGAGGTGTATATCGGCTATTTAACACCGGTTTGGAGTTTTGATGCGTAGGAATTGACCAAGAAGGCCGTAGGCCTGAGTGGTTAATTTTGTCGCATCAAAACGATAATACCGGTGTTAAATAGCCGATATACACCTCTCAGGCCGATGTTATTTCGATTCTAACACGATGAATAAGGAAAATCACTAATGTTATTTTTCAAGCGGAAATAACTTCCGGTGCCGATTTTCGTATAACGCTGTTCGATTTTCGCACCCTACTGTTGCGAAGATATAGAAATTATTAAACAAAAGAAATAATAAGAAAAAAACGTTATTTTATCAAGTTTTCAACAATAAAAACTTACGTCGTATTGTGTTCGTATCAGTGCCCCATTTATCATTCTTGTCTGTATGAAATAACGTCAGCTTGTTTATGAATGAGTTGTTTACTTACGATGACGTCATTACGCTGCTTACGGATTGGCGCCGTTTTGTCAAAATATTTATTAACTGATATGGATCTAATATGTGGCGTTAGTGTATGTGAGATATTATTTCGGTATTGTATGAAAAGAAAACATTATACGAACTGAAAATATAAATAAAAAATGTTTTTTATTGTTGCTTTAAAATGTTTTGTAAACTATACAATCGAGGACGAAAACATAACGGGGGCGCATATACAAGTAGTCCCTAACCGGTGTTTATTGGCAGTTTAACAACAGTTTTTTTCCTTCTTTGTCTATAGTGACAAAATCACGTGAGTGTTAGAATTAAGAAATAACATCGGCCTGAGAGGTGTATATCGGCTATTTAACACCGGTTTGGAGTTTTGATGCGTAGAAATTGACCAAGAAGGCCGTAGGCCTGAGTGGTTAATTTTTTCGCATCAAAACGACAAAACCGGTGTTAAATAGCCGATATACACCCCTCAGGCCGATGTTATTTCGATTCTATCACGATAAAATAAGGAAGAACACTAATGTTATTTTTTCAAGCGGAAATAACTTCCAGTGCCGATTTTTGTATGACGCTGTTCGATTTTCGCACCCTTCTGTTGCAAAGATATAGAATTTATTAAACAAAATAAATTATAAGAAAATACGTTATTTTATCAAGTTTTCAACAATAAAAACTTACGTCGTATTGTGTTTACATCAGTGCCCAATTTATCATTCTTGTATGTATGAAATAACGTCAGCTTGTTTATGAATGAGTTGTTTACTTACGGTGACGTCATTACGCTGCGTACGGATTGGCGCCGTTTTGTCAAAATATTTATTAACTGATATGAATCAAATATGTGACGTTAGTGTATGTGAAATATTATTTCGGTATTGTATGAAAAGAAATATTATAAGAACTGAAATTATGAATAAAATGCTTTTTATTGTTGCTTTAAAAGGCTTTGTAAACTATATAATCGAGGGGGAAAACATAAAAGCCGCATATACAAGTAGTCCCTAACCAGTGTTTAACGCCGGTTTTTTCCTTCTTTGTCTATAGTGACAAAATCACGTGGAGTGATAGAATTGTTTATTTAAAACATCTTCTCGGGATAAATCAAGTAAACAAACTAGTTTAAACAGACTAAGTAAAAGATATACGTAAATGTATGTAAAACACGAGAGGTGAGTTAACATGTATCATTTCGAAGTTACTTTTTATTCCTGGTTAGTATCTAAAGAATGTACGTTTAACCTACCTAGCTCTTTGAGAGAGAATACAAACAAGAAGTATCTTTAAAAAGATACTCGGTCGAAGTTAAACTTGTTAACTTGCATAAGATAAGCTTCTACTAACCATGCTAACCGCAAACAGAACATTTTATTCGTCCTCAATAGTTTTATTTCAGTTCATTAATACTCGCAATGTTTTCCCCATTAATTCTCATCTTAGATTTAAACAATATTACTTACATTATTTGATTTTAATCAAAATGGAATTTGATTTTAATAGGAATTTATAATAAAACAAAGATTTAGTAGATACTGTACACTAATTCCACGGAGAATTTTGCAATGTAAATTAGTCGAAAGTTCGTTTCAATCGTCTTATGCCAGGTTCGAGAAGAGAATATAATGACTAGAACAGCTTAGAAGAGAAACCCAATCGAACGAAAAATATCAAAAAGGCAATCTGTCATATTTAATTTCATATATTTATTGAAAAGCTGTTAGAAACATCTAGAAAATATAGACCTCTAGCAAAACCGAAGTTTTTCTAAAGTATGAATCGAACAGGCTATAAGTGTTAAAATGGCCAATGAAAATTCTGCCTATATTCATTTCTTTACTGTTAATTTAGCGGAAGACAATGTGAAATCAGACGGCCTTCGGCCGAAAAAAACTTATTTTACAGAGCTATATTGCTGAATTAAATAGGTCATGAAAATTGTATCCATTGGTTATAAGAAAACAAGTGCTGAGTTCTTGTCCTATACTTCCAATATTTTTGTTTGCTGCAATAAAAAAGTGTGGGTCTGTCAATTACCTTGTATTAGTATTATTTTATATCGCTTAGGACGAATGTGGAGCGTCATCAAATCAAGATAACAAAAAAGGTCATAAACATTGACTTGCCAATAGTAATTAATATATCAAACATATTGGTATGATAAATACAATTATGCAATATCAGTATCATTCATGATTAACCGTTACAATGATTCAACTACAGATATCATTTTATATTTAAGAAGAAACGGAGATATGCTGTTATATTGCACATGTTCAATTGGTCTGTCTACATTGTTTGGCATTGTTCATTGAACCCTGTACCAGTTGAAGAAAACTTGGGATATAAAACAATTTCAGCACAAGGCTACTTCAAACATTTAATGTGCTGTAAAGAGGAGAGGAAATTAAGGACAAAGCTGTAGAAGACCCTAATGTGTATTCTGAAAGGCAACCTGCAACTTTCCTAAATATTTCATAATTCATTTAGTTCATATTGTACAGTCCAACATCTTAAACAAACCTTGAAATTGTGTCCACTTTAACTAATATGCAAAATGATCACATGGGTTAATAAATATTGAATAAATATTTTCACTATCCAATTACATCAAATGATGCATTTATGGGATTTATTTGTCTGTTGTACAAAATCGATACATATTAAAAACTTTACACATAACTTGAAAACAATTAAGAATGTTAAAAGCAAAGGGGATGACTTTTGAGACAGTACATATTAAAGTATTTTCTTAACATTTGTACAGTGTAAAATAATGGTAAGCGTCGAAAATGTTGTGCGGTGCGTTAATTATTTTTTTAACATAATTGTTTACCTTTTATTTGCCAATCTCTTATTTTAAAGTGTTTGTCTGGTTGGCGTGTTACTACTACTATCAAACACTATTGGTACAGTTGTTTCCTTATACATTCAGAGATCAGATATAACATGCCCCTTTGGCTTTATTTGTAGTTACCGTTTAGATATTAAAAATGAATACCATGCCTTTTAGTTTGGCACAAATTTGATAGTATCAGAAACATTCTGTTTAATAGGTATAGTGGTAGACTAGACCTAGTCAGTTTCTCATATTAAAAAAACGATCATCATCTTAAAATAAAAAGGTTAGCATTGTATGTTATAAACGTACGATTGATATTGGTAAAATTTGATAAATGATTTTCTTGTTTTGCTAGACAAATATGAAAATGTAAAGTATAGTTTGCTGTATACTTTAATATGTTTATGTATAATGTATCATTGTCTGCACTTGACTTCGTATTGTACATTATATGTTATGTACTTGCATTTCTTTTTACCTTACCGTACATCTCATTTATGCTGTAATTGTTTTTGTGACACAACCTGGTGTATATGTACATGATTTTGACATTGTGTATTTTTGTCGCTTGTCTATAATTACGTTACAACTTGAGACTTGAAACTTCATTGATATACAATAGTATTAAACATTGCTGTCATTTATTACGGTCCTGATAAAGATTTTGTGTCCTTAAACACTGTTGTAAAATAATACATACATTTTTAATAAGATTTAATTTAAGTCCTGCAAATAGCAACACTACTATTATAGACAGAGTTAAAAGGTATTTGCGTGTTGTTGTTTGTCTTTGGTGCATCCTTTTGTTGTTTCTTTTAAAAAATCAGTCATATCAGGAATCTGAATAGAATCGTAACATGTTTGGGATTATCAGGTCAGTCTTTCTGTTTACATTTATGCCCTGAATGTGATAGTGATAGGTGATATATGTCTATTATTTAAGAAAGTATTGGAGCTGAAATAACCTCTAATACTTCTGCTCTAGTATCCTCTTCTTATTTGTATGTGCCTCGCAGAGTGCTTTTTTATGTGGCCCTGTGTTACTTGAAATTAGTGTGGCCTTTGTTCAGTTAACGCCGCTCTCGCCTATTTATATTTCCTTTCTTACATGCTTCTTTTTATATCATTTAGCCAAGACCACAGAGGTTATCATGGACGATTATGGTGCAGGTGACTTAGTTGACGTAGAGGAACTACTTGATGATGATTTAGATGATGAAATTGAAATGGAGAAAGCGCCTGATGGCGGTTTAAGAGCCTGGCTGATTGTTCTTGCATGTTTCGGCATCAATTTAATTGTACAAGTGATGGCGTCATTGATAGACATGGGACTACAAGACACTGAGGTTTCAAAAACTTTGAATATCAGCACAACTGACGCTCTTAAAGCAAGCAACTATTACAAGAGTTTGTCAGATCTTTATGGTATGTGTTTAATTAACAGAAACATAATTTCATACAAACTATAACTCACTTAGAAGAATATTCCTTTGCAAATGGATATTTTACAGTTTGGCCGCGATATTGTTAGGAATACATAGAGCTAATTTGTTTAATCATCGTCATTCTACATAACAACCAAGTAATGTACGGATATGTGTACATATGTATATATGTATATATGTAAAATATATAATGATTTTCTATATACCTTCTTCAAAACAAAATCGTTCAATGTACTCACGTGATTAAATAATATCGGTCTTTATTTTCAGCTCCCTTTGCTGTGCTAGTAATGATCAAGTTTGGATATAAGATAACTGTAGCTGTTGGGTCTGTGATTGTTTGTTTCTCATTTACAAATATGTCAATGTTAGGCGGAGGATCCGGTTCGTAAATTACTTTTTTTATCATAAAATAGAATTCTTTTGAATTGACATGTATTTTAATACTTTTTAGCACTCGCATTCTTAGCGATTGATTTCATAGCTCGGAAAACATTATGTATTCTTGCAAAATTCATATTATTATTTAATTATTAATCAGTTTTTAGCGACAAGCAATATCAATAATAAAGAACTTCACTATAACGACAGTAAATTTTGATTGTTGACAAACTTAAATGCTCCACGCTCTTGAAAATGTGCCACAAAAGAGTCCTATATTCCCGGTATATAGACCAGTTATATAGATTTATACAATAATTTTTAATTATGTCCTAATTTATTATTCATTTGTGTAGTACAAACCTTTTACATATTAAACTAAAAATTTATGAAAAAAAGTGATCCCTCGGAAGTATTAATGACAACAAAATTGCATGAAAATTGCTGACTCGGTTTGATTTAATCTGTAAATAAGTTTGATGAAAAATTGCAACATCCCTCATAGCCCCTAGCAACCGGTTTGAGCGGTCCTCAAAGTTCGAAGGCAACGTTTTTACAGTTGCCACACTACACTGCTGTTGTGAAGTATAAAAATCATGTGTGTCCAGATTCTACCCTTAAAAATGACCACGAAAAGGAGTAAATCTATTGCATGTAATGTTATATATTAAGTATTAGTATTTTAATTAAACTCTAATATATTTAGTCATATTTTTGTCTTTGCTTTACTTGTTATTTAATTCTTACTTATAGAAAGTAGTATAGGCGGCTACTGGAAGTTCTGGCTCTGTGGACCAGCAGGTAAATTTTGTCATTTAAAGGTTCACTATGCCTCAAAAATGCTTTCTCTTTTATTTTCAAAATATTTGTATTTTTGTATTCTATTTTTCTAAGTTTCCAACAAGTTACTCATTTGCCAATTATCTGAACTGTTTTCTTCTTTCTTGGCTGTTTTGGCAGCTATTACATCCGTAGTGAACTAGTATTTTGTACGGAAGTCATAATACTAGTTTGTTTAAATTTTGCTACTTTTATGACATATAATTTATGACATATAAAGCCCTAATTTCTCCATGTAACAAGCATTAACATGCTCTTAAACCATTATCTAAATGTTATAAAAGTTATAATGGCCTTTCTAAAAGTGAGAATATTTATTCAATACTGAGGAATAAAGTGCTTTTAATAAATCCTTTACTTCTTTGGCCGAGTGGTTAAGGTCGTTGACTTCAAATCACTTGCCCCTCACCGCTGTGGGTTCGAATCCCGACAGGGACTTTGGATTCTTTCATGTGAGGAAGCTATCCAGCTAGCTTACGGAACGTCGGTGGTTCTACTCAGGTGCCCGTTCGTGCCTGAAATATGCACGGAAGGGAACCTGAGGTCTTCCTCCACCAGTAAAGCTTGAACGTCGCGATATGACCTATACTGTGTCGATGTGACGTAAAACCCAAAAACAAACAAATACTTCTTTGATTTGTCGTTGGTCAGTTAATGATTTGGATATAACAACAGTTAAATGCGATATCTCTGAAAATATAAGTTGCTTATCAGATATTTTCATATACCACATTCTCTTTTGCGATTTTTATATGTATTTTTTTAAGTTATGCAATTGTATTAACACTTATTCACAACATGTTATTTCAGTTATTTTTTATTCAAATATCTCAATTTAAATTTGAACTCTTTTTGCTTTTTTATACAAACTACCCAGCAATGGGCGTAAACTTCCTGAAAATTGGAGCTCTTATTCCTGTGTTGGAATATTTCACTACTAAACGGATGAAAGCACTTGTGTTGTCAAGAGTTGGTACTGCCCTAGGTGGTCTCGTGACAATGGGTTTTATGTTTGTCGGAGGCATTAAATGGAGGACTGTATTTAGGTAAGACTATTATATTTCTCATATAATTTGATGAAAATTTGTCATTCATTTAATTTATACAACTTCTTTGTCAATTATCAAGAGGCAATTATAGATACCAATTTGTAACCACTATATGACTGAAACTCGCAGTTGGCAGATAGTTTGCTGTTATAAGCGAATAGCTAGCCTGTCGGCATGAAGCATCTAATTTGCAAACATAATATAGTTATAGTTATTCATTTCATATGTCTGATTTTGTAGATATATATTCAGAAATCAATAAATTAATTTAAACATTGGCTTAAACAATAGCATATCTTTCAGAATCAACGCTGGACTGTGTATAGTAACACTGATTGCTGGTTTTACGTTGAGGGTAAGTAGATTTGTTACATTATTATCATAATACATTTAAGTATGTTTCTGGTAACTAATTGTTAGTTTACATTCAATAGATGTAGCTTGCAATACGCAGTCACGGACGTGTTCCCGGATGAAGTCCGATCGCTTCGAATTGAATACAATTACACCGGTTTTGAATTTGGGTGTGCTCTAGTGTTGTTGTTCTTTATCTTTGCTTACGTTTAAGGAACGATTATGAAATCAGAAAATTACAAATCATCATTCAGTTTGTGTTTTTCGGACTGCAAAATGTAGTTTATGATTCAAGATGTCACCCTTTTTATGTTTTTATATTGAATTCTGCTTCAGCCGGTGCGTCTACGGGTCGTTGACAGTAGCTTACAAATACCACTACCGTTAATGAATTTCGCTCAATCGAACCGAGCCCGTAGCATTTCAAAATTTGTCTATTTTTGCAATCTTTAGGGATTCTTTTATTTGTTATTTTTTCCGATTTTGTTGCAGTTGTGTAGCATGAATGGTATACATATATTAGAACTGCCTGTCTGACTATTTTTCAGTCAGTGTTCTCGAATCCTTGGAGTCTTCTGAAACTACTTTTAACTCATTGATGATAAATATTACATTAATCAACACTGTAATACATCCCATCCTTAACTGCATATGTTGCAAACTTTTTGCAGCTGTATCCGCAAATAGTCATCAAAATGCGTAATTACTTTGTGGAAGTGTGTTAAATGGTTTCCGGTTTGGGAAGTAACAACCGATCGCTTCCCTTTGATATTCGAAAGACATGTTAATTTGATTAACGTATTTACGGATGCAGCGCTCAAAAATAATATTTACAAATCAGTCAACGTTACTTTTGTGAAACGTTTTATGATTTGCGTTAGTTTTAACATCCTAGAGGTGCAGTGAAAATCAAAAGTAAATTACTATCATAAAATTCAATATAGACTTTGCTCACATCGCATGAAGGGATAGGGATTTTTCATTCCGTATTCCCAATAAAAAAAACTCTCATAGTTTATGTCCTCTGCATATGACTGTTTTACAAAATTGCATTTCAAATTGCAGAACATCGGAATAAAACGGAAAGGAAAGGAGAAACAAGAAGGCGAAAATGTTGCAAAAGAAAACATCTTCAGGCGCATATTGGGAATATTTGATCCCCCTGTGTTAAAGAGTAGATCGTTTTGGATAATAATGGGGATTTTCTTCTTCTTTAAGTTTGGTAGTTAACATTTTTGTATAGATAGACTGTTGTTGTCTTATAATCGAATAGATTTTTAAGGATTTTTAATCTCAATATGAATAGTTTACTTCCTTCTTAAATCTGTGAATACGCAAGCACATTCAGTTTGCGCCTTAAATTCCTCAATCATTTTAACTTGAATGTAAATGACGAATAAAATTACGTTCAATTGATGAATCTTATTTTTACAACCTCATTGAAACAATGATATTTTATCTGTTAAAGGGATAACACCTCTTGCAATAACCTTGCCAACAGTCTCAACGAAACTAAATGACGGATCGCCATCAACAACTGATATGTTCTTGGGAGTGGCTGGAACTAACGTTGGAAATTTAGGTGGAATAGGTACTGCCTTCCTCCTGAAGAGGCTTAAATTTATGAAGAGGTATAATTAACGTAATACCACAGTTTTGCTGCAGTTTGTTTTTGTTTTTGTTTTTTTTGTTTTTTTTTTCATAGAATAGCAACTTGTAATTCCTCCGACCTTTCCTAGAAACAAAAAAATGCAAATACAAAGTCATTATTCTAGCTAAGCATTGACAAATAATCTCATATTAGAAGTAAATGCATAAATATCTGGAAAAAGTGATCCCTCGGAAGCATTAAAAAACAGCAAAATTACATGAAAATTGCAGACTCGGTTTTTATTGAGTCCGTACATGAGTGATTATGAAAATGTGCAACATCCCACACGCCTCCTGGCACCGACTTTAGCGGCACTCAATTATCAACACTTTAAGGGGCTTGATGGGACCAGAAAAGTATAACAACACTGAAGTGAAGTACGGTGCAACCTTTTACGGGCTGCCACACAACACTTGAGACCTGCTGTTGTGATGTATAAATATCTGGTTTTTATTTATCTAGTTTTTTTATATAATTTTTTTCTGACAACTATGTTGAATTTTTGTTTGTTTTTGTCTGTTATTTTGGGGGGAGGGGTTGTAACATATAAATTATTCGAACACTATCATTTTCAGGTTTACAAAAAAAAGTTTAATATTTGTTCTGACAATGGTAGCAATTTCCGGTCCTTTTATAGGAGTCTGTCTTGTGCCCACTCCTGATGACTTCGGTCCTTATGTATTCTTCAATCTTGTCGTCATGGTATTTCAAGGTAATGTTTTGTGATATTGTTTGTAATGTTAAGATTACCATTTAAATGTTTTATTCCAGAATTATAGATAAATGTTAACATTTAAACAGTAAAGAATGAACGAGTTTTTCAAAGAAAGTGAGCAAGAATTTTATTCAGCACCTATGTATAGTAGTTTTCAACGTCTGTAACGCTGTGTGCCACCTTTCCAGTGTACATGGATAATATAGTGGTATGAATCTGGTGACAAATATGTAGTTTTTATATTATCTTGTTGAAGCAGAAATACCTTTACAAATTTGCTTAAATATTATATTATATATTCAATCTAATCAAATACATTTTTTTCTTCTTAAACTAAGCTTCGTTGTTGCTAATTGTTTGCATGGTTTTCTATATTTCATACATTAAGTTTTGTCTGAAAACATGCGAGACGAATCCATACCAACGGTGTTTGGACGACCAAATATCCGAATAACAGAAAGTTTTTTGAACATGTTTGTCGGGGTAGCAGGCATGCTAGCTGGAGCTATACAACGTAATACCATTAGTAATATGGGTTATGAAAGTTAAATGTATTTTATACCTTCGATTTAATAATTATGTTTAAAAAAACATGAAAAAGATAATTGGCAAGTATAAACAGTCTGCACTGAAAAAAACACGATGAATGAATAATGTGGTTGTATCATTAAACATTAAGTGCATGTCTAAAATAGAAAGATGTGCAAATTTCTAAATTATTGCGTTCGAAATTGCATTATATTAGTTATATTAGACGAATCTATTGGTGACATTGCTCCTTATAGATAATCATCTACACAAATTTCATACGATATTTATCACTAGTCAACACATGTTAAGCCGTTATTCAGCTTCATCAATGTCATTATTGCTTATAATTATTTAGATAAAAGATACAAAATTAAAACAATCATTATTATATAATTCAAAATCGCATAAGTTTGTGTTTCTTCATGTAAACGTATCTTGCGTAACATTTGTTTCAGATGGTGTTGACCAGGTGAAAAATGGCTGGAAAATAAACCTAAAATTAGGTGGAAGCTTTTTGATTATCGTAGGCGTGGCCACGGCGGTCCTCATTATACTTCATAAACTTGGAAAAATAAATTTGAAAGAACGGGAAGGTAAGCGATCATCTAACGAGTATACGAAAACAAACGAGAATACCGAAACTAAGAGTGAGACTAAAAATGAACCTGACGATGACTTACCAAAAGATATTGATGACATATCAATGACAATTGAAAGTGGAAAGTTGCATTCTGACGATACACAAACAGGGACTTACATTAGACACAAAAGTCCAGAGAGATCAGATAGTCGATCAGCTGAATTCCCAAACACAGCTATGGTTCAGGCTTCTGGTGAAAGTGATAGAATGGAACATGTCCATGACATTCCGTCTGGCCCAAGACAACCGTCAAATGGAAGGATGTATGGTAACAACGAAGAACATGAAAGTGACAGAATGCAACAAATTTACGGTATGGCGCCTCGAAGGCAATCTTCAACAGAAATGATGAATGGAAATGTAGCGGATCAAATACGATTTGATGCAAGTATGCATCGAAGTTACTCAAACCCTGGTTATATAAACCAACCTGAGATGTTAGCAGTCCATACATACAATCCGAACACACAGGTACTCTATGTAAATCAATTTGGTAATCCGATTTATCAAGGACAACATCCTCAGCCTTACGCTGGTAGCCAAATCATGCCTCAAAACAATTACTTCCCTCCAAATGGTCCGGCATTGCAGGGGAAACAGGTCCAGGAGAAAGGCAAGCGCAAGAAAGGAAAAGACAAGAAACAGAAAAGTAGCAAATCAGTGACAGATATGAGACAAACATTTCCTAATAACGATCCTTACAGAAGAACCAGCGCATCACAAAATTATGTTGAAGAACAGATAACTGATGCTGATACTGTTTTGTATTAAACTGTCTTGAATAATTATGTTCTTATAATTTGTAAGCTTATATCATTTTATTTTTTACAGACATTCTTATAGTACTTCTAAAATAAAACATATATTCATTTCTATTTATCTGTTTTTCTTTGAGTACATACCAACAAGTTATAGAGAGTACAAACATTCATTTTTATACTTGACCTCGAGTTGTTTTGGTATAAATTTATTCCATTGTATTTAAAAGTCTGTATATATGAATATTCATAACAGTTAACTAACGAAAATATGTAAAAAAATAAGTTGCTTTAAACATAGTATTGCAGAGTATGTCATATATATGATGTATATATGATGTTTATCATAATAAGTTGCACGAATGAAGAATATAATATGCCGTTTCATCTCCAGGTCTTATTTGAAACTGCTTCTCGTTAAATTGTCTGAATGACAATTTCTTTTAATCTAAGAGATGAATCAATATTACAGATTGTATGATTACATTATGAACTATGTTAGAAAACGCATAGATCATAAAAAGATTTTACGAATATGAAGGTTGGTTAAACATAACAATTTGTGTTACAGTGGTATAATGTTAAATATTCATTTTTATTAAAAGCAAGTATCTTGAATTTGAAACATAAGGGACATTACTAGTGTTGGATATTAATGAGTATATCATTTAGTTACTTCTCGTCTATGCTGAATAATACGAGTTTCCTTATACAAATTTTCACTATGATTAATATTGCACCTGTTGCAAACGATATAAAGATATTTCATTTAAGACATTTGTATTGTTGATAGTGGTTTTCATTTGTTTGTTTTTCTTTTAGGTTTGCTTATTTTGAAGAATGTATAGATTTATTTATAAAAAACGTTGCATAATAAATCTATATATTGTTTTATAAGTATACAAAGTATTTTTAGTGCGCTATTGCATATTGAATTTAAATTTTGTTTTAATAATCAAGATAGCACTTTATTATTCATATTAACTTTTCTTTTAAGTTTTTTTTTTGTACTATTGTTTTTTAGGATGGAATACCGCTTTGTATTTTTTTAATATTTTGTTACATAGTTTGAAATCATACAAAAATATAAGCTATTAACAATAAATAGAGGTCCAATAATTAATCTTTAATTTATTTTGTTCCTGGTTCATTCCCAACTATAAACAAATACATTTAAGGACCAAGTACAATATACTTAGGATGATAAAACAATGTACATGTAGCAAATAAAGAATTATCGTAATACAAACTCTGTGATTTTATTCAATGTTATTGAGAAGTTTCCATTCATATTGTCTTCGAAGAGAATGAAAACATTTGTTGTATATATCTGATTGTCCGAAATTATCTCCTCCCTTATTACAAATTAAACTCAGATGGCTATAATGCTATAATGTTTTATGTGCACACATCTTTTGAAAATAACGAGCGATTAAAGAATATTTGTAGTGCTATTTAATTTAATTCATTTTCACATATGACATTATGACTTGGTTGTCCGCTCTTACCTTAAAATTCACGAAAGGGAACTTTAGGTATTGACCACCTGCAGAGTTGAAATGTTGCCATATGGCCATAACAGTGTCTGTATGACTTAAGCACACCTCACGCCGCTCCCCACGCACCTAAAAATACAATCATGATAAAAACAACAATGATGAGGCGGAAGTGCTATCGTAATTAATGAACGGTTATTATAAATATCTTTTTTTTTAAAGTTATATCTTTGAAGGTATTATACATTTCATGGTTCGAAAACAATAGGCATCATTTGTTTCTATATGTACGCAGTTATTTCAAATGAGTGAATCTTAATATTTTTAAAAGCAGATGTATTGTATTTGTGTAGGTGTCCATATCATTAAAATATTTTGTGACCCGTAAGGCAAAATCTTGAAAAGCGGTGATCCTTCAGAAGCAATGAAAGAACAAAAATACATGGTAATTACAGATTCGGTATGTTTGTTATAAAAACAATCACGAGATAATAGTGTCAATAATAAGTTATATTACATTTATCAACTTTATTGTAAGCCGGTATTTCTTTAATTAAGAAAAGAAAAAAATATCACTAGCAATGTATATTTTAGTAAAAATACAAAAAAACACTTGGAGCACTTAATGTCATAAAACAATATTGGGATTTCAGTTATCGCTATTTACGATTTTCTATAAAAACACCGTTTAAAATCGACCATAAACTTTCTAACATCTACGTTTTTTTTCAAAAATTGTTTCTCTTTTGCTGTATTTTACATTTTCTTATAGACATGAAAGGTAAAAGGAAAATAACGTTTCTATGAAAATATATATTCTTATCAATAACTCATATAAGAGTTTGAACAGCCTGAATCGTTTCTGTATTAAAATAAATCATAGTAAGTATTAAAATAGCTATTCTGTTTTTTTTTCACGATAAAACTATTTGTGTGATAGTGCGACTTGTTAACCTAACTGATAAATGCTTACTCAAATGTGATTTAAATAAAACCTCACTGTTTTACTTTGACTTTGATTTAAAAGTTTTTTTGTCTAGATTCTTCTTTAACAGATGTGAATTCATAGCATTTATATTATTTGTGTATCGGTTTTCGGATACGTTTAAGGAAACATCTGTAACGTCTTTAGCATTATTATCTTAGTCATAGTCACTGTAAATGACAGATCGTTTCCAATACTTTATAATAGTTAATAACATTTTACAAATATGTCTATGAGGAAAAGGAACAGTAAAGCTACGAATTTGCACAAACGTAAACATTTCATATCATCATTAGAGCTGACGTAAAACCAATGACCAGTTACCAGAACATTAAATCATAGTTGAATATTATTTTAGCAAAGGCTAAGGTGTACATGTTTAGTATGCATATCCGTCTGTATAAATCGTACATGGTTTCATGACTTTTATATAAATATACACAGTTGTTTCATTATAATGAACCTTTAATAGAAGTAACGCGGTATAATGAAGCAAAATATGGCAAAGGAATATCATAGAAGACACTGGGAATTACAAGGATTCAGGTGGGCTATATCTATTTCTGACATGGAAGCAGTTAAATCTACTTCTGATATTAACCACCGTGAAACAGATAATTATCCTTCCATTTACAAATGAACGTGGAAATGCACGTAAGAGGAACGAGGAACATAAATTTCGGAAACTCGTTCAAAAAATGTGTCCTTATTGTAATGAATCAGATATGTTCTTACAGCGTTTCATTTGTAACAAACATTCGTTTAGACGAGGGAATCAAGCGTTTATGTCTTGTATCAATAATATACAAGAAATAAATGATACTTTAAAGTAATGCTTTCAAGGGGAAAAAACAGATAAAATAGAAGTGGAACTGAAGAAAGAATCTTTAAATCTTGTTTTGGATATATCTTATTCTCTGCAATACCTGTGCTTGAAGAATCAAAATTCTTTTTTGCTTGTTCCAATTTGTGACAGAACAATTGTACTGCACGATATGTTCTCTTCAATAAGAGCGAGGATTTCTGTTCCAAATTATTAACTTATATATAAGCTTATGCAGGGTCTCCTAGGAAGAAGCTATGCCTACAAAAACAAATGTCAAATACGAATCCTGTTTGATGTATAATATTGTGTAGAAACTTATGAAACTATCTTTTATGTTATAGAGTATATTGTTTAAATTACAAATGCTAACAGCTCTACATATGAGGCAACATTTTACCCGGAATATGCAAACGAATTTAATATTAAATCAAATCAAATCCATTTGACACGGGCGGGAAAGTTAAGTCGTCTGAAATCAGAAAAAAACATTAAAGAAAAAAGAACATGGGAAGAAGAGATACTTTGGAAGCAATGAAAATAATAATAATAAAACTCGGTTTGAGAGATATGATTAAATAATACAAGCTTTTTTAACTTAGATATTGGTATGATTTTAAAATATCCACCAATGACAAGTTGCAAAGATATAATTAAAAAGATTTATGTTCTGTATTTACTAATGATTCAAGAGTAAGTGATATCGATAGTACGCGACTTTGTAGTATATTTTAAGGTTCAATTACTAACAAATATAATGCTCTGCGAGATGAAATAACAGGGATTTTAACAATTAGTTCATCACACTAAATTTACATAACCATTTCTACTTTTCCGCTTTTTGAATTGTTAAAGAAGTGCCTTATCGAAATAGTCTGATTATCAATAATTACGTTAGAACTATCCTTGTGCATTACTTCCACTCCGAAGAGCATTTTATAAGGCTTCAAATACAATAAACTACATTGAAACAGAGGGTCGTGTTTTAAAACTTAATAACCGTCAAATTTCTTTCTTTCTTTTAAAATATTATTTATGTAATTTTCAGTTACCTAATTTAATGTCAAGAAAAAGTGTTAAAGTTTAAGTATATGATTATCATGTTTCCTTCATAAATGAAATTTGCGTGTCAGTTTTACAGATATAAAAAAGCTACATTATTAATACAGTTGGTACCAATGAAATTTCAAAACAATTAATAGGCTCGTCTATTATAAGAAAAACAATCATTTTACAATCATTATTTTCAGAAAACTCCTTCTTCATTTTAAAACTCAAATACGTCATTTCTTAAAATATCAAAATATTCTCTAAATTGATCTCGAGTTAGTTTTATCATAAACTTTTCCGTCTTAATTTCTTTTTAAATATTTCTTAAACTATTTCGCCTTACTCTTTTTCGTGCATTTTTCTGTCAGAAGAATATATTTTCCTTTTTTGTTAGTGGTGTTACGGTTACAAACAATTATTCTGTTTTCATCTGTTTAACAACAATTAAATTATTTTATCGGTTCTTTATATGTTTTTTCTAGCATCAGTACAATCGTTATTAAACCATTATGTGTGGTTCATTTTTTTCTGCATAACATTTTTTGATTGCAAATTGTAAGAAGAAAGAGGATCTTCAACACCAGATAATTGATGCTGGAGATCATTGTTCCACTTACATCTAATCTCAGAAAATACCCTGCATCATTATCAGTAGTCAGATTGGCACAAGCTCGTTATCCTTTCTTTGCCCCTTCGACAATATCTAACCAAATACATGTTAGTTCTATTTCAAAATTAATCCTGATAACTGTTTTTAGACGATCCAATGCACAACGTTTTTCTTCACTGACTTTAGCATTTTGCGTATACCTTTTTAACACAACTTGTTGTCATTGTCCGGAGATTTTTTATTTTTTGTCTGCATTGCTGTCCACTATCTTACTGCTTTTTTCGGGCAATTTGTTTTTAATTAAAAAAAAACAATTCTCAATTGTGAAAATATAATCAGAAATGACACCCATAGTTACTGTAGCACTTTAATCAAACCTATTGCTATTACAAATTTCATTAACACGGCTATTTCTGACTTTTTTTCTCTTATTTTTCATTTTCGTCTCCTTTACAATTATTACTTATGTTTGTAGTTATTTTGATCCAATTAGATCCATTTTTTCACTATTTTCTACTTTTAAAACTTTGAATTCTTATGAATTAAAATATGTTTCCTCAGAAATATCAAACTACCATTTTTACGCATACGCACTACACAAGCTCAACCACTTCCTGCCATAGAAAGTCACCCGGCGCTGGTTTTCGTTGTTGAAGTATTTCTAAAGTATTTTAAGTAAGACTGGCCATTGCTAGATTGTCCTTTTTGGACTGCAATTTGTAAAGTAAGGCCTTGATAAGTAAAGGAAATAACGTACGTTACCTTTCTGACACTCATGATACACTTGGCTATGCATGGTATTTTGCAATATTTTTAATTTTTACGTGTAGGGCTTTCTTTAGGGATTCTGCTATTCTCTATTTTGATGTAATAGTGAAATAGCAATGTATAATGTATCGAACATCGTTTAAAACGTATGCCTCTTTTTAAAATTTAAAGGCATTTTGTTCATATGTTTATCCACATCATTTCGAAATGAAATGTATGTGAATGAATGACTTAGTATTATATATTCATAATGTCAAGTACTTAAAACTAATCTTTGTACCACTCGTTTCATAGTCTAAAGGACAAATGTTTTCAAAATCTGTGTCATTAGCAAGTTGACATGTGAAAAGGTGTGAGGAGTTAAGTAAAGGGTATGCTTATAATTATTTTTATAGGTCTTTTTTCTTTGCTTTATGTATTGTTCTGATTTAAACAATTTGTGTTTATTAATACGAGTTACCATCCAGAAGGTAGCAATCATTCGTTCTAATACATTGTGCATGACATAACTTTACAAAGGTAAAGGAAGCTTTCATTAATATAAGCAGTAATCAGCGCATCACTAAATATCTTAAAGTGACAACAGATGCCATATTTATCTAAACATAGCAATTCTCCGATGACAACTAGATTTCACATGTCATATCTAGTATGTGTAGTCTGAGTTGAGCAATTATTTTTGAATTACTATTATCTTGTAATTTTCTTTCATAATTTATGATGACCTGAAGTTTACAAACAAAACTTATTGTATTCACAACGAATAAAATTTGTATTTTTAAGTATACACTATTTTTGACGATGCAAAATCGAAATCATGCATTTAATTTCAACAATATAATTATGTAATATCAATTTATATTATTTATATTAATATTTATTTATTTATTTATTTGAGGTATTCAAATGTGAATTTTGAATTATTATACTTAACGCTTTAATACGATCATTTAAATGAACCATCTAAATTCAATTATTTTAAGACCTGGTTATCTATATTAGTTATGGGTTTTTATCAACTGAGAAAAGAAGGCCTATAAAGCGCCCTTACGTTGAAGATTTTTTTCAGGTATTTTCCAGGTATTGTACATTAATGATCCTGTATGTTGTAATTGAGGTTGATTATATATGTATATAATTATGCTTATAAAACAATTTTAAAACATCAAAGAATATGTAAGATATGTACTGCAAATATTTGTACATATTATATATAATCATTCAAATATATGCATTCATTTCTTGTTGAAAAAATGACTGAGACTTTATAGAAAACAAATATTTTATTACCTCTCTTTACTAACATGAAATTTTAGATTCGGTTATATCTTATACATGTACATACAAAATTGATAAATCTTAATTTGAGCATCACATTTATGATATAAAACCATACAAAGTTGTGTTACAGGATCTTTAATATTTATCGAAATGCCCTCATTGATAACAAATAATTGAGAAAACTTGAGATAAATTCGTTGAATAAAAATGCGTTTAATATATATCTGACGGATTGATAACCGAATAACTGGGGTGAAAACACTTTTAAAAGTACAGTTTGTATAGGCAATCCGATCTAAGAAAATAAAAATAAAATGACACCTTTAATGTTTCCATAGACATGACAAAAGAATCAGTTAATATAAGTTTTGAAAAGTAAGGAACTATAAGTTTTGAGAGATCCAGAACTACTTGAATGACAGGTTGTACATATAACCTTAAGTTTGTATTAATATGTTTAATATTTTCAAATGACCTTTTCTGTTGATACTGTTCAATGTGTGTCTAATGTTTCGATATAATCAATTTAATTGTTTTCGTGTTGATTTCTATTTTTTCTTCATCGGTATTTAATGCAAAGATTTCAAGAACACTTTGGTAAGCAGTGTGACACATCTGCGATGTTAAGAAAAGAAATGACACTAAGAAATGTTACTATTAGATTATGCCATTTGAATGTTACAACCTAAAGCACTTTAAAAAGATTGCAAAAATAACGCTTTTCATAAGGTGATTCCGATTGCCTGCACTGACTGTGTGTGTATTTTTCTTTACATTTATGCTATATTCACAAAGGTTTTTGTATGATTTTTAATATTTCTATAGACAGTGATTAGAAAGAAATGGTTGCCAGCACTATTAAGTGGTGAGTATTGAGTACCGCTCAAGCCGGTGCTAGGGGGAGTGAGGGATGTTGCACCTATTCATTATCCTTTATGTACAGACTCAATTAAACCGAGTCTGCAATTCTCTTGTAATTTTGTTGTGATTAATGCTTCCAGGGGATCACTTTGTTTCCAGAATTTTGTTTTAACCGAAATCACAAATGTCTTTATTAAAATTTCACTTTTAATTTGGAGCGTTCTATGAAACACGTTTTGTACAGCGACTCTTTGCGTTTTTGCCGTGAAAATTGGAAATCAACTAATTACCTCATAAGCCTCATTTATTTAATAAAACACTTTCGTCCAGTCACGTCAAACCAAATGATAATGTATAAACAAGATTTCTTTCTGGCTTATATTCGTCCTTTAGACAATACATCACAGCACAAGATATCATGGATGATTCTGAACCAGATGTTGACGATGGGAACGAAAATGAAATAACAGATAACAACGATATTGACAGCGATAACCTGGATGATGGAACAGTCATGGAGAAAGCACCAAACGGTGGAAAAGACGCCTGGCTTATCGTGCTATCATGTTTTGGCATCAATTTGATAGTACAAGTATTTGCATCATTAGTTGACATAGCCTTAAAAGACCCTAGGATTCCAGAAGCTTTGAATATCACCAAGGCTGACGCTGAAAAAACTGGCAAATATTTCAACAGCTTGTCAGATCTCTATGGTATGTACTTACGTCAGCTTAGTTATAAGATTTATGATATTAAGTTATTTCCTTCAACGTCAACTCATAAAACAATATAAGGAAAGATTTTTAACAGTTTGCCTTATGTATTGGTACATTATAAGGTGTCGTTTTGAATATTTATTACCAGTCCACTACTACATTTGTATTAACATTGTGCAAAAGAAATATATATAATGAATTGACTTGCTTAAATGAGTTTTGTTATTTGAAGCACCCTTTGCTGTATTAGTGATGATCAAGTTTGGGTACAAGATAACTGTAGTAGTTGGATCTGTGATTGTTTGTTTCTCGTTTACAAATATGTCAATGTTGGGTGGAGGAAAAGGTTTGTAAAGTGTACTTGATTCATCACATATATTAGTTTAAAAAATCAATATTCCTTAATTTTTCAACTTATTGCAACACACTGATGTCATAAATAAATCATATTATATGATGCATGTATTGTATAGAATTAAACAGATTGTATACAACATTAAAATATTTTATTTTTTAACATGATCAATTATAATTATTATATAGATATAATTGATGTTAAAGAAATAAAATAAGGGAAGAATCAGATTTTTGATATATAGTTTTTTTTTGTGTTTTTTTTTAAACTTTATTGTAATGTAACATTTACTTATAGAGAGTGTAGCTTGGTACTGGAAGTTTTGGCTCTGTGGACCAACAGGTAAATATTGACTTTTTTAAAAATCCCTCTCATTCCTTTGATTTGTTATTTGAGGTAGTCTTCTTTATTTAACTCAATATCTATAAGCACTTTGTCAAAAATACGTCAATATCATTTGTTAATTTTATCTAGAAAATGTCAAAATGAGTTCAAAATGGTTGACAATCTTTTATATATTTTTATACACAATTCTCAGCATTTGGCATAAACTTTCTGAAAATTGGAGCTCTTATTCCTGTGTTGGAAAATTTCACTACTAAAAGGATGAAAGCTCTTGTGTTGTCAAGACTTGGTACTTCTCTAGGAGGACTTGTGACAATGGGTTTTATATTTTTGAAGGACAAAAATTGGAGAACGTTGTTCAGGTGAGCAAGTGATATATAATTATCGTTTCTGAATTACTTACTTCAAATATCACTTATTGAATTAAAAACGGTTTACTTGTTGTTGTTGTGTAAGCTAGCATTATATAGCACCTTATTTGAAGTTATTTCATAGTCATGCACGTTTAATTTTACAATATTATATTCAAACGTTCAATTGTTCTTTTGGTACATTATACAGCTGGTATATTTGATATCTTCAACTTATGAAATAAAGAAAATAAGAATCCCTAAAATAAGCCTAACACGGCACAATTAAAAATGTTGCAGGCTCGGCAGTTTAGAATGTCAAACAAAATTCATCTTAAGTTAATGAACATAAATCGAGCTTTTTCATGAAAATAATTTACTTGCTTCTAGGTATTATACAAAATGTCGAAAGTAGTTCTTTGTAAGGTGACTCGATATTTAGCCTGTTATGACTTTATAACGTAGCAGAAACTCGATCAAATGATGTTTTCAAAAAGGGACTTCATGCTTAAAAAGGATTGTTCTACAATGGGCACATTTTCCATAAGTATATACAATATTGATATAAATTAGAGAAATATATTCTTTGGATATTCACATAAAATATTAATCGAAAGAAAATGTTGTGATCTTATTGATTTAGTATGAACACTTCTGATAAATAATAGTATTACCCCTCACTTTTTGTGTAATGTTAATTTCCCATAGGCCACTAGGAGTTATTTTTACTGTTAATGCAAGTATAACATGTGACTAAGAAACCTGTACTGTTATATAGGTAACAGTATAAAATCTGGTCACATGGAAAACAAAATTTAAATCAGCATAAAAATCGTCACAGTTATTGTTCGGGGTTATACAATAAATAACACATGGGTTTGTGGATAACAGTAAAAATATCAACCCTCGTAAAATAACTGTTACTCTCGACTTACGCCTCGGGTAACAGTATTTTCATTGGGATGTAAATTTTACTGTAACCAACAACCCTATGTGTTTTTATATAATATTTTGTTATAGGACGATTAATTATTCGACTTAAAACAGTCAATTTTTTATGATTTGAATTGGACGCTTGATTTACTGCGGAATGATACGGTTTATTTTGGGGGTCGTCAATAAAAACAATTACATAAAAACATTCACATTCATCAGCTTTACACTTGATGACAAAGTTTTTTAATTCTGGCTGTGTTGCAAATATTTTAGTTACATTTTCTTCAAATGGAAAAACATTGTTTTCTTATCTCCGTATACAAATAATGGACTGTGCAACTGTCTGAAGGATTTCGAGATTAAATTCCGTGGAATCAGGCTAAAATTTTATCATGCGTTAACACGTTGTCTCAAGCTAAAGGGGAACTATTTTGCATTTGGACAAAACGCAACGGAGTTAGAACTGTTGCATTGCACTGTCATTAAATATCTGATTTTTCAATATATTCATTTGTTGACTTTAAGAAAACATGGAACAAGTTCGTTTTGAAGAAATTTATCTTTTGAAGTTTTGTATTTTGAGATTATTTGGAAAGTGCTGTGTGGACATACTTCTGGTTTCAAAACTAAATAGCCACCATTTATATTGTAAAGCGAGGTCAGACGTATGCTGTTTTATTTATTTTTGTTAGACTCGGTAACGGGTCTGATGCCTTATTGTCTTATATACTATGTAATTCCGTGTCGTGACGCTCCCCTTTAATTTCAACAACTGCGCAGATCTTAACACACAATCGTCTAGGTAGCATTTTGTTCGGATCTTCTTAAGGTACGCAGTGCACATCTGACCATTTTACGCGTGTGTAAAACTTCGCTTGTCTACTATATATAAACAAGTCATATCGGTGTATCTCACACTTATTAACAACAATATTGAATTATTACATGATGTTTTGTCACGCATGATACTAAGTACCATCAGAACAATTATTCATGATACTACAGACTTCCATTATGGTTCGTTTCACTATAACTTTGCAGATCAACCTACATTAAGGCCTAGGTACGATGTGATTCCCTTCATTGTGTCATTGTGAATGTTAATGTATGATTTTCAGGCCACTGTCCAGTATTATCATCTATTTGTGTTCATAGATTTGCAAAAAACAGCAAACTTTGATTCCTTTAATAATTAAATTGTTTTTAAATTTACAAAGAATGTTGTTCAGACATACTGGCTGTCATGTCGAAATTGAACGGTAAATTGTATTTATCACAAACTGTTATAAACAGGCTAATTCATTACCAACATCAACATCAAATTTTCAATTTTACGATCTTTCAGGTTCCCATTTCAAACACTATTTTGATTGTTAGGGCTAGTTAGAAATGGTTTGAACTTTTTAAACATTGGATTCTTACAGAATCAACGCAGGGCTATGTATAGTGACATTGGCAGCGGCTATAAAGTTGAGAGTGAGTAGTTTTGCTACCGTTAAATAATGAAGTACCTGCTTTAGTATTTGTAATTTTGCACAAAATTGATTTCAGCTTAACCCGCGGTGTCCTTGATTGAACTTTCATTTTTGGGACCAATAATTACTTACACTGCCTCGGATTATTTTCCATGTCTTGATCTTGGTGGATGCATTACATACCTACGCATACATAATAACCCGGTAAACCTGTTGTTAGACTTTGATTAGAATGACTAAGTTGAGCAAAAAAAGAGAAGCTAGCTAATTGGGCAGTAGCAAGTATGTTTCACTCATCGATAACATTGTGATATGCAACTCATGTTATGGTAGACCATGGGTAATGCATTACCTCCACTTTGAAGAGTATTCAAATAGGCTAGAATTGTTGCAAACTACACTGAAATTGAGGGTCGTGGGTTTAAACCCCAGAAGGGGCAACTTTTTTTTTCTTCTTTTTTTCTTTGTGAGGTAGGGTAACATTTTTATACATATTAAGAACATTTTGTTTAGAAACAAACATTTTGCTTGTGAAATTTGTTACCTGAATGTTATTATTTGTTTCTATACAATGGGCAATAAAAAAAAACATTTTTTAAAATCATTTTGATGATATTCGAATTATTTAGAGTTTCCTCATTTCTGAAAATAAGCCCTTCTAATGGCAAAGTCTTAGTTCAGAAATATATCATAAACTCATAAACCACACGGTAAATTTTATTTAAATTTTGCATACAGGTGACCTTGAAGACATATAACTGTCCTATGTTGTCAATTTTACAGTTCCTTATGGTTCCCATTACCCATGGTCTACCTTAACAGATATATGTCTGAAGAAGTATAATATAAACTTAAAAGCATAATAACGCATAATCAAACGTAATCTGAGTTATAGAAATGAATTTCAAGCTTGTTTATCAAATATGTTTTAGCGTCCATAGCGGAACCATTAAATACGCACAAATGTTAATATTTATACAGAGCATTATTATAATTTGCTTTATTTGGATAAAACTCGCAAATATATTGTAATCTAAACTTGATTATATTTTGCATTTACATTTTATGTAAATTGTAGAACATTGGAATAAAACGAAAAGAAATGGATAGAGAAGAAAAAGATGACGAGGAAAGCATATGCACACGCATAAAAGGAATATTTGATCCTCCAGTTTTAAAAAATAGAACTTTTTGGATTATAATGGGGATTTTCTTCTTTTTTTAAATTTGGTATGTTACACATGATTATATAAACAGCATTTTAGTGTTTATCTGGATGCCAAACTTTAATCATATAATGTTTATTCTAATCTACTTATGAAAAGATCTGTTAAATTTTCTAAACAATTGATTCATGTAAGAATCTTGCAGTTGTTTTTTATATATTTTTTACAAACTTCATCAGGTGGACTCCTAAAGAATATAAAATTTCTGATTAAGAACAACAAGTTACTCATAAATAAAGCTCAATTTCAACTTTACTTCTGTTGAACGTTACGAACATAATAATTACTTTTAATTCAAGGAATAACACCTATTGCTTTAACCTTGCCATTGATTGCAACGAAATTGAAGGTTTCCCTGCCTATAGCGTTCGTGGGGACTGCAGCTGCTATCATAGGAAATTTAGTTGGGACAGTACTTTCCTTCTTTCTGAAGAGGTTTAAAATTTTGAAAAGGTACTAAAAACGTTATTCAAAGAATATATATCATAAATGCGGTAGGTCAGCTTCTTGCGATTTCTTTTATAATGTTTATTTATATACATGTTTTTTTGTAATTGATGTCTTTAATACCACAATAGAATACATTTGAAAATAATGATGACATACAGAAATACATCTGTATATAAGACACCTAATAATTGAAACTTCCTTTTTTCAAATATTGAAACACAATTGATTTTATGACTATGGTTCATTAAGTCGGCTTTTTTAACCATACACAATTTTTTTGGTATACATGTAGTAATGATGTTCTTATTTCTTTTACTCTCTCAAACATCATATGTATAGACCCTAAAGCTGAAAATATTTCTCCGTTTGTATTTGGTGGTTATTTTAGTCATTAGTTAACGTTTGAGTTTTATTATTTTGGATTATATTAACTAAAATGTTATTTTACATTTAGATCTTTCAATATTGATTTTTTTTTTCTTTTCTTTTTTTTAATTCATCGTGGATGGCATTCAGACAATTTTATGAAGCTGAAAGTGCTGCAACGGTCAGTCATTCGTGTAGCCCCATCATAAGTGGCTCAGTCTCATTTTTTTTCTTGTGATCTCAGAATATTGATTGAAACACAATTCAGAAAATGTCTCGGGTATACCGAATAGCAAAAATCAATAAAGTAATGTATGTGTTACTATATTTACAAATATCGACGAAATACAAAAAGTCGTCTTCCATATCATAGCCAGATTGTCAATCTCGAGAATGTTTTTTAAAAGCAAACATTTTTCTAGAATTTTTTCATGATGTAATTTCCCTTATTTGATTAAGTTTTTTAAAATATAAATCATTTAAGTATTGTGATTTGCAGATTTTCAAAACAAAGTTTGATGTTTATGCTGACAATGGTAGCTATATCCGGTCCACTTATTGGTATTTGTGTTGTGCCTGTTCAACGTTATTATTATGTTTATATCTTCATTAATCTTGTCGTCATGTTATGTCAAGGTAGGTAATATATACTTATGTTCTTATTGTTATTTAAAGTGAAAACACGAACTTTTCAGATATGTATATTTATAAATTTTCTTTCTTCATGATAATGATTTGAATGTACATAGCGTTTTTAATAAATTATTCAACAGTAATATAAATAAAATGTTATTATTACTATTATTAATGTTTTAAAAAAGTGAAAAATGTCAAAGTAAGAACGGTGAACGGTGCAATATGGGGGTAGTTTGATAAATTCGCGGAAATAACGTCTAAAGTTATACATTTCATTACAGCAATAAATGGGAATACATTTTACAATATATATACAAAAGCAAAACTTTGATTACCATTTAATGATTTTATCCCCTCCATTTCTGTTTACAAAATATTTCGTTGCGTCATACTATTTACTACTGTAAACTTTGATTGCGTCACTTTATCGTATGACGTTTTTATTAATTATTGTGATATATGTGCAATAGGAATTTAAGTTTCTTGTTAATTCGAAGACTTTACAAACTTATTGCACAGAGATAAATGAACAGCTTAGCATTAATTTATCTACAAACTAGGCTCATAATAACTTATCGTTGGTAAAATTCTCAGAAGATAAAGATTATTAATTGAGACTTTTCCAATCCTTTCTAAATCGTTTCCTTTGGAATAGCTCTATTTTAAAACAACTTTAAATCTTTTAAGTTCTAGATCAAGATTTTAAAAATCATCAACTCGGGGCAAAATTTAATTTTTGGTGTGTTGTTAGTTGTCAAAATGGAAAGAAACATTTGCCAAATTCCAGGACAAGCGACCCTGTTTATGGCCTTAAAACAGGTCCCCCATTCAAGTCGATAATGAATCTGACCATGCAAAAACAAAACAGAATTCACAAGACCTGGCATGTGACACTCCTGTGATCAGCAAATTAGACGCCAATGTCGCGTCTCCTTCTCTCCCTTCTTCTTCTCCGTCCACCTCCTCCTCTTTGTCCTCACTGCTTCTTCTCCCCTCGAGAACCGCTAGAAGCTCCCTGGGAGCACGATTCCTGGATATCGGAAGTATTGATATCAGAAGCCGACTAAGAATGCCAGATTCTTAAAACAAAAGTTGTCCTCACCGAACGGTTCGAGCCACATACAGGTATGGTTGCACCTATCAGAGAACTTGAAAAAAGGCAACAAGTGGGCGAGTGGCGGACTTTGTGTTTGAGCAAGAGAAGCAGCCATCTACTTAAGGTACATCCCTTTATTTGATGGGTTATTTTGTGCTCCATGTTTTGCCTTTAATGCGGCTGAAAATGTGCTTGTTGCTCGTCCGTTGATTGACTGGAGCAATGAAAGAAAAGTCGTTGATGGGCAAACACACTCAAAAGAACACATGAATACCCTCACAAGAGCCGACCACTTTGTACGCATCTGGAAGGAAGAGCAGAATGTGGTCGAGTTCGGATCAACGGCCTATCGGCAGAAAGTACAAAGAACTGGGAGGCGTTAGCAGCCATCATTTAGGCCATATTTTTTGGTGGGCAACAAAATATATCTATGAGTTAGTTCGTTACTTTCTCATCACCGCCTGAGGAGACCTATGGAGTGATCATTAGACCATTTAATATCTCGTTGAATCTAGTAATTTCCCTACTTTCTTACGATGGAATAGAAGTGTTCTCAGAGTATAATTTTTCTTGTGCATCTGGAAATAATACATACACTTGGATAATTAAGACTGAAGGCTTAAGAGAAAAGCCGTTCTTACCAAACTGATTTGATGAGAAATGCTAAAAATTCTGGTTAAATGCTTTTACAATTGAACGAGCATTCATACATAAACCAATTTCATGAGCTGCATCCTTAATCAAACTTCACACGGAAAAAATTTTGTGTATGTTCATATGCACGCGTAAAATAAGAAAACTACAAGGCGTACACTGCCTTTTTTCTTCACAAATCTGTTTGAAATTATAATGAAATAAGTTAAAAAGTAAAACGAGCAGCTATATGTTTATCAATTTAGTGGGAAAAAATGACTTGAAATGCTTCATGCTTTACGTGCATAAGGTGCTTCAAGACATGCCAGAGCCAACGATTTAACATCTAATTTCCGCACGCTCCCCTTCTCGGCACTTCGTGCCACGCTTTGCGTATAATTTTTCAAGTCCTAGCTACGCCCCTGCACAGTGTGACTCATTTTCTGTGCCCGTAATTTACCAGTTTACAGAATTTATAAAACTGTCCTATGCTCAATGTTTTGCATGCAAAATGACAAACCGATTACACAGAATGAAATCTATCATATTGCTGTTTTATGCAATTGGTGGGGTAGGGGCGGCATACAGTATCTCTAGATTAGTAGGAGTAACATTTAAGATTTTTTTTTAATGTTTAACAAATGTGTCTTGTTACTGTTCATATAATATCTATCGATGCTTATAAATAATCAGCTGAAGCACGAAAAGTGCTTTCCCGCAACAAAACACAATTGGCTATTCCACCAAATGGCTATGTCACAATAGTTCGACTGCAAGACCGTCCTGATAGGTCAAGATATTTTACGAAGGGCGGCCGTCGTATATAACAAAAAGCCCTGACCGACAATATGTAGGGCTACAAAATTATTGCACAGCTGAGCAAGAGAGAATTCTGAAAGTGTACATTTTCGTAATTCAGGAGCATGTGTGTGTTCACCATCAGTAACTGCGTCAATGAAATATTATTTTCTTCCTCTGAGAGTAAATCCTGAAAGAATTCGCCATCTCTTGTTGGATTAAAATTTAGTACGTCCGCCATGACCTGTCGATGATCTTACACATTGTAATCAGCAAATTATACATGTGAGGTTTTTCTATCTGTTCTGTTTTATGTTATTTATCGTCCGTTCGGGTATTACCCGGTTTTGCAAATCGTCACAAGTTAACATCGTTAACATAACTGTTAACGACAACAAAATATCTTATTATGGCCATTGCGTAAGTTTCATAAAACGGATGGATCGACAAAAAGAGGGCGGAGTGGTCTATTAGAGGTGTCCAGTTTAACGTCTCTTAAGCAGCCAATGTAAAAAACAATGACTTGCGTCGGTTGTAATGAGATTATACTTTTGTGATTAATTTACAATTTAAGCTATAAATTGTAACGTCTGAATAGTGTAATTTCTGTAACGTTTTGGTGGTGTTGTGAGGTCATTTCCTGAAAAAGTGCCGTCTTTGTTTTGAACGGTGCCTTGTAATACAGCGTTTTCAAGATTATGTAAAAGTAACATTGTCGCAGCAAATCATCGTCATTTGACAAACTGGAATTGCGCTGCGTGACATTTTATGTTGATTTGAAGCTGTCGCCGACGGAAACATTGAAAAAGATAGAGAAGTCGGTTACTTTGCTTATATGTCGGACAATGTTTGTCTATAAGTTGCAGGGACGTTTTAAAAGTGGAAAATGTCAGTTCAGGATGATGACAGGCCAGGTAGACCGACGTCCTTGGTCCTACACAGAACAACGGCACGCGTATAACAGCTAAGCAGGCCTAACAGCCATTTGACTGCCCAGGAAGTCGCAGAGTCACTATCTATCACGAAGTATAAGAATTTCCAGATCCTGACAGATGAATTAAATATGCCAAAAGTGTCCACCTGTTGGGTCCGTCGGCTTCTACTGACAAGAAGCGACGCATCGACTGTTTGCGAGCCTTTCTTCAGTGCTACGAATCTGACGGCAATGATTTCTTAGGTAGCATAGTGACAACCTGTACTATGATCCAAGATCAAGGCAGCAGTCGTCTTATTCAAAGGTAATAACTGCTTAGCATTATTGAAAGATAAAATTGGTTGAATTTCATCACAATTAACTTGTTATTTTATTCTATAAATATATTTTAGTTTTACCGGTTATAGCACTTTTAAATCTTAATTTCATCTAATGTAATTCCAGGATCTGCGACATGACCTGGTCCAAGCGCCTCGCCGAAACGCGCGAACCTGAGTCTAGAAAAGATGATTCTCCACCAGGATAATGCGCCTACCCAACGCATTATACACAACTGAACTTTACATTGCTGGGTTTTGAGCTCCTTCCTCCCCAACGTACAGCCCCTACTTAGTCCCCTGTAATTTCAGACTGTGTCAAGAATTACAATCCAAGTTGAGAGGTCAGCCTTTCGAGACATCTGTGAAACTAAAGATTAGTGATTGGCGTGCTGTAATGTCTTTTGACAGTGACTGGTTTCAGGTTCGACCAGTGGAAATGTTAAGTTACTAATGATGATTACGTGGAAAAATGGAACAGGTCACTTGACTTTGATGCTTAACTGACCCGACGTCAATCATATGCGTACAAGTATTTGTTAGATGTGGTATCGTCATATTTCACGTGATATACAGCCGAAAGTATACCGGTATATTTATCATAGAATAGTCGTCTTTACGAATTTAAACCCCGATATTGTATTATAGGATAACTTCCGCGAATTTATCAAACAAATAGTACTAGAAGGTCACTGCGTCTTTTATCTTGCATTAACATCTACAGAAGCACGAGGACGAATTTAAAGACCGATCATGCAGGGTTTCTGCAGATGTTAATGCACAAAAGAAATGGTGCATTAGTGCTATTTTTGCAAACAATTATATTTTAAGTCGCTTGATTTTGTTAATTTTTAACATTATACACCAATTTCTTGATAAGTATATGTATCCCTACAATTTTCATTTTCACTTTCTATGTCTCTGGACACAACAATTAACCAAACCATTGATCGTTTAATTTGTCGAACCTAAAGAAAACAGTCAATTGTTTACATTTTAATTTTACTGATTCGTTATTTTGAAATGTATATCTATTCATTTCTTTGTTAGAAACGATTCGTTGTTTGTCTTTTTGTTTACATGCGTGTTTTTTTGTTGTTTTTTTTTTTTTTGTTTCTTTGTTGTTTTTTTTTTTTTTTTTTTTTTTTAGTATTATTATTTATTTTTTTCCTCTTCTCTTCCCTATCAAAGTTCTGTCAGACAACATGAGGGATGAATCAATTCCAACGGTATTTGGACGACCAAACATTCGGATAACGCAAAGCTTTTTGATCATGTTTGTTGGAGTTGCAAGCTTAATAGCTGGTGGCATTCAAGGTATAATCCTAAATGTTCAATTGATCATAAATGTTAAACATTAAAACAGTTTTAAGAAAATGCATAATAATATTTAAATATTATGTATTGTCATTTTAATGTAAATAGAAAACATATACTGATTAAAAGTTTAATTAGCAAGAATGTGTATGTTTTGATATTACGTATTCAAAGGCCTTTATTCAAGTCAATAACTGCTTCCAAACATGTCTTCATATGTTTTAACTGAAATGACTTAAATAAGATTCAAACTCAGCTTAACAAAATGAAGAAATTCATAAAAATATTATTTCTATTTCCTTCTTCAAAGCTAAAAGTGGGTGATACTTAGACTATAATTATATTATAAATTATTACTATTATTATTGCTATTATTATTATTATTGCTCCTGCTGCTGCTTTTGTTGTTGCTAATGCTTCTGCTGCTGCTGCTGCTGCTGCTGCTGTTGTTGATGATGATTTGGATGATGATGATGATTTGGATGATGATGATGATAATTTGATGATGATGATGATGATGATGATGATGTCATTATTATTGTCACAGTTGATTCTGTAAGATAAAAATTTATAATAAACTGTTTGATCTTTTAAGACGTCCATTTCATAATTCAAACAATTATATTGACAATAAATTATGATATTTTATATTCAAAATAGCGTTTGTTGATTTGTGATGTAAGAATAACTTCATTTTCTTTCAGAGGGTGTTGAAAAGAATAATGAGAGAAGTGGTTGGGCAGTAAACCTTCAAGTGGGCGGGAGTTTTCTCATTATCGTAGGGGTTGTTACAGCAACTCTCATTACTCTTCATAAGAAGGGTGAATTCAAATTGTTAGAAGAGGCAGATGTACGGTCATCTAATGAGTATACAAAAACAAAAGACAAAAAACAACCCGGAACAAACGGTGAGACAAAACATGAATCTGGCGATGATTTACCAAAAGATAATGATAAAATATCGATGCCAGTTGAAAGTGAAAAGTTACATTCTGATGATACACAAACAGGAAATTACAATCGACATGCAATGCCAAATAGATCAAAAAGTCGATCAACTGAAACCCCAAACACGAGTTCGGCTCAGGCTTCTTGTGAAACTGAAAGACAGGAACATGTCTATGGTATTCCGTCTAGACAATCTTCAATTAAAAGGATGAATGGAAACAACGGAGGACACGAAAGTGACAGAATGAAAAGTGTTTACGGTTTGTCGCCTCAAAGGCAATCTTCAAAAGGAATGATAAACAAAAATGTAGCGGATCAAATACCATCTGATGCAAGTATGCATCATAAAAAATCCAACCACTATGAAAATGTACCTGGTTTTCCATACGCAGGTAAATCGTTGACAGGTTTGAGACAACCATTTCCCAATAACGATCCTTACAAAAGAACCATCGCATCAAAAACTTATGTTGAAGAACAGATGACTAATGCTGGTAATCCTTTGTATTAAACTGTCTTGTATAATTATGTTTTCAAAAATTGTAAGCTTATATCATTTTATTTTATACACTATACAGACATTCTTATATTTCTTTAAAATAAAACATACACTCATTTCTATTCATCTGTTTTACTTTGGGTACATACCCAAAACCTACTTATATAAGGGGCGTCCGTGGGCGAGTGGTGAAGGCTAAATTGTCTTCAAACCACTTGCCCCACACCGCTGTTGGTTCGAATCCCAACAAGAACTTTGGATTCTTTCATGTGAGGAAGCTATCCAGCTAGCTTATGAAACGTCGCTGGTTTAACTCAGGTTCCCGTTCGTGCCTGAAATAATGTACGAAAGGGCACCTGAGGTCTTCCTCCATCAGTAAAGCCGGAACGTCGCCATATGACCCATAATGTGTCGGTTTGACGTAAATCTCTTTCAAACAAACAAACAAACAAACCTAGTAATATTAAGTTCAAACATTGATTTTCATTCTTGACCTTGAAGCAAATCTTGACCTTGAAGCAAATCTTGACCTTGAAGCAAATCTTAAGTGTTGTTTTGGTATGAATTTATGTCATTATCATTGAAATAGGTATGAATATATACATTAATTTATGCGAATTTATATTTAATTGACAATAATATGTGAAAAAACTACGTTGCTTTTGCACAGTACATAGTGTATGATTTATATAATAATAAGTTGTAAAAATCAAGAATATTGCAAGCTGTTTACTATGTATAAAGAATTAATTTCCTCTTTGTAAATATCTCTAAATCCCAGGTCATTCATAAAATATGAAACCCCCTATCCGTTGAATTGTCTGAATAAACTTTTATGTATCATTCTCAGAACTGATTCAATATACTAACAGAACTCGCCGTTGATAATTTTGTGTCAGAAAACGGCCTTATCATAGAGAGACTTTACGAATATGCAGGTCCATGAACAGGCTCTGTCAAATCGAGCTAACAACATTTTCAATTTTGTCGTTTTGGATTCTGTAGTCTCTATTTTTGTTTTGCTACGTTTTTTTGTTGTAAGGTTTCACTGTTTGCATTTATGAAAAGCAAATTATCTGGACTTTGAAACATAAGGGACATTACTAGTGTTTATAATATTATGAGTATATTTAGTTACTTCCCGCCTATGTTGATAAATATCACTTATGTTTACACAGATTTTCACCGTACAATATTGCACCTGTTACCAAACGATATAGACATTGACAAATAAACTTTAAAGTGCCTTTGATCTACATGTATGACTCATACTTCAGTTTGTCTAGTCGCAAAGTCATGATACATCTGTTGCATCTACTTTATAATTAGACGAACTTTCTTTAGGTACAATCAAGGTACATTTAAGATATTAAACATACTGAAATGGTAAACGAAGGAGTGGTTTTCGTTATACTAAATGAAAAAGCTTAAAAATATTTATTTTCAAAACTAAAACTAAGTTTATCCCGAGATAAGAAAATTGACAAACCTACCTTATAAATCCAAGTTGAATACAATTGAAAAATAAAAATGCGTCTCCCTTCCCCTCGTTATTGCACGTCGTTGAAAAGACTCGGAGCATTGGAAGATATTTGAAAATCCACTGCAACGTGTGTGAGACGGCACGCCATTTACAGTTTGGGGAGTCGTTTAAGGCGGTACGATTTAGATTGTATGAAGTCAGCTGCCTGACTAAAGTCGAGGGTAGTGGCTCTACAAAGTAGTCACAGAGGACGACGAAATTGTTACCCCTAAAACAGAGAGAGAGACGGCTTGAAAGACCTTTTGCTGACAGAACAGCCATTTTCGGGGCTATCTCCTTTTCGTGAAGTACATTTAGGTTCTCATTTACCATTAACCTTTTATCCCATGAGCATATTGTGAAAAATGGCCGTTTTCATTGAAAAGCCTCCTGTAACAAGTTCAAACTGCTATGAAACTTTAAAAAAAAACTTCAATACATGTACTGATGACACTTGGCACATGTTGACTAGACCATAGCCTCTGTAACAGCATGCTCAATCGTAAATTTCCTGTTACCATGGAAACGGGGGGACGTCTCAAAATTGCCAAAAATCACTATTTTGCATTGTTTTTTTTTTCATCAAAACTGATTTCAAAGTGCTGCAACTTCTCAATGAATTGAGATAGAGTAAAAGGCTTTTCAGTGTCGGTTACTAGTTACCCTAAGTTAGCCTGTCACATGTCCAAATTTTTCTTGGCGATGAGGGGGACTACCGCCCCTCTTCAACCCCACCCCAAACAGAAGGGGGCATATCCCCCCCTCTGGCAACCCCCTAATGTAACATTTGGATAGGGGCGGCGCCAAAAAAGTGGTCACTTTTTTAACATTTCTCGAACGAAAAGCAGTGTTTGGGGCCTAAATATGGCATTTTTTCACTGTTTGAGGCCTCAAAAAGGGGGGGGGGCAAAAAGCACGTCTATATCAGGGTTACGTAGTTTTGACTCAAATTTTTATTTGTGGCTAATACTCCGTGGTAATGGCAAAGAGGTAAATTATCACCACTTTGTGCTTCAAGGGTTAAAGAGCATGACTTGTGACATGTCAAAGGTCCGTAGTAGACAGCCAAAGTTGCTTTTTGTGCCTTAACGGGCGGATGGTTGCATAAATGCATGCATACATACAAAGATATAAAGATTGCCCTTGTCCTGTTGTTTTAAATTAAGATATGATATCCAATTTGGGTAAAATTATCTTGAACATAAAACATATTCAATAACTTACAATAAGATATCTAAAGTTCGATACTTTGAGATCAAATTATTCTTTTAAAAGCTCATTACACCCAAGAAACATGTTCTGATTATTTTTTGTAGCTTGAGATATTGTTGTAATAATGTTTTTATTTACCTGAAGAAAATAGTGTTGAATGTGAAATATTTGGGCTTAAGAAAGCAAAAAGTGTAAACAAAGAAGTTTTTTCACTACTGTACAAATTACTAAATCACTGTAGGTGTATTAATTTATTTAAATTGTGAAATTGAAAAAAAGGCAAACGATATCTAAGCTTTGTTACCAATAAGTAATTTCTTTAACCTTTACCAGGACACCAAAAATAAAATCTTTTGCAAATTCAGGACAATTAAGATAGTTATACTTTAATGGGCCCTTAAATTAGATATCAAGTACATAGAAATTGTGAATTATTTACACTAATCATAATCTAAAATTCAATGTATGTACAAACATATCATGAAAATGTCTTAATTTGAATATCTGAGACATGCTTTATAAGCATAAACAAATATTATACATTTGTATTATGTCATAAAAGATTGGATGTTCAACTATTTAGCTTCTAAAATCTGACATAACAGAGTATCATCAACACGTTCATGTTATCAAGTGTTGAAATATCATATTCTCACAGTAGTCGTTGAAATTGTAAAGTATAAGTTTTTATAAGCAGAAAAAAAGATCAAGAAAAAGAAACCGAAAAATTGTGTTAATATTGTACACCCACTATGAATTTCATACCAAAAATGAAGTAGAATAACGAAACAAAGCCACTCGGACTTTTCTTATTCTTAAAAAGATATGACAAATATTGATAATTATTCAAATGCTTCATTATTGATATTATCTTCAAGAACGTTTACATCTGCTGGTGTCTTTGGCCTTTAAATATCAATTTAAGAAATCATTTCAGGTCATCATTCTGGTCTTACATTCCAAGCATGTGAAATTTGAATACGTTGTTAACTTGATATTTATAATTCAACTGTTCAAATAGCCTGCATGTATGCTCTTTATTATAGCCTGCTGGATAGTTTTGATAGTCTAGTAAATTAAATGAAAATATTGAACACAGATGTACGTGTTGTGTTTTTGTTTTGGAAACAAATACATATAAAGTTGCTGTAAATTTCCAAACATACCATCTGCGGTATCACACGTGGCAAATGAATAAAAGTAGCATGTATGTTTTGTATGTTTATGTATATCAATGGGTCAATTGGTTTAACATCTGTGAAAACGAATGTCAACTGGTACATTCACAGCTTTCAAATAAAATTGCCAGAGAACTTCTGTTCCAAACATCTGTGAAGAAACACAATGAAATATTTATAAACATGAACCTGTTTAAAATTACCACAGTATAAATTTCCATCACTCTTTCTATCTTCAATTATGAATTCAGAAATCGATCTTTTACTGAAATCTTGAATTCAGATTATTCTGAGACCATTGGTAATCTTGAAACATTGCTCAGAAATGATAAACGCTTTTATTTCTTCAACGTCGATGACACAGTATCTTTTTATTCTAAATTGAAGCTTGAATATATTTTTAGCTCAACAGAACCAAAGGTGAGTTATAAGTATCAAAGGGGGATGCTACGGCGTTCGTCGTCATGTGTCAACATTCATCTTTTTCTCTGAAACAGCTGGGCAGATTTACTTCAAATTTGGTCTGTAGCATCCTTGTGACAGTCACACTTTATTTGTTAAAGTCATTTCAATTGGGCACGTTTAGAGGTCAACAGAACTAAAAATAGAAAAAAACGTCTTAACGTCTTCTTCTACTGAACTAATTGATAGATGATCACCAAATTTTGTCTGTAGAATTCTTAGGTAGTCTTTTATCAAGTTTGCTCATATTAAATTGATTTGCCCCTTTTAGGGGCCTCTAGATCCTAAAAAATCCTTTAAACATCTCCACTTCTGCTGAACTATTTGATGGATGATTACAAAACTTTGGCTATAGCATTCTTTAGGTAGTCTTTAATCAAATTTGCATATAATAATTTGATGGATGATCACCAAAGTTTGTTTGTAGCTTTCCTAGATTTTCTTTTATTAAGGTTTGCTCAAATTAATGTGATTGGTCCCTGTTAGGGGTCTCGAGAGATAAAAATAGAAAAACCTTTAAATGGCTTTTCTAAATAAATTGTTTGAAATCAGTGTCGGGAAACGGTATAACTAGAGGGGCAAGTTAAAGTTGAGCTCGACTTGCCTTTTTGCAAGTTCATTTGAAACACTAAAACACACTTGTTTCAGTTTAGCGATTCCGAGCCATCATGGCTCTCTTGTTTTAATTTTTACAAGCTTTCTGTTTCCATAAATGTGTCATTTTGTCTCTGAGTGCAAT